GTTGTGCGCTGAGATGCTTTTTCGGTTAAAATCGAGAAACCTGTAACAAGGTAATTGCAACAACAACAACCACAATGGTGAAGACGTGGCGGCAACTGCAGTGTGAAGTTGTCGCTAATATTGTTGTTGTTGTTGTTGTAAGTGGCTCCTACGCCGACGCTGCAGCTGCAACTGCTGTTGTTGTTGCTGCTCACTTAAGGAAAATGTGAAAATCATGCAGGTGTCATAAAAATGCCTTAACTTGGCAATCAAAAGTGCTATGGGCAGCTTTCTTGTTGCCACTAATGAGCGTATTTTTTGTTGTTATAGTAGTCGAGTAGTCGAGTAAAAGGGCTTTCAGATTATAGCTATAGAAGCTGTATTTAGGCCTAATGCTAAAGTAAAGCAGCAGCTTGAAGGCTCATCAAAGACAGATTTAGAAGAAACTGCAGTAGAAATATTATAAGTAGATGGGAGGATAAGAGCTTTGAGAGCTGGCACTAAATTGTGAATAATAGCCAAGTTCTTCAAAGAAGTGTCAGGAGTACAAATAAAATAAAGAGTAGAAATATTATAAGTAGATCGAAGGATAAGAGTTTTGAGAGCTGTCACTAAAGTGTGAATAATAGCCAAGTTATTTCAAGAAGTGTCAGGACTACAAAGTTCGTGAGTTAGAGGTCTATACAAATGTTGCCAAAAATAAGGCGTAAAGAGTCTAAAAATCAGCAGTAATTTCATAATAGATGTCTTGGGAGTAAAGAGAACTAAAGCAGAGATCCCCCAAATAAGGCTCTCAAGTTTAAAATTTTCAAATTGAAATATTTATATTTCTTATAATATTCTTATAATAATTATAAATACCCCCTCAATACCATTATTATGGTTGATTATCATGACGATCCGCTCCTTCACATACATGCCGCCGCACATTTCAGGACCTCTGCTATGTTGATCATTAAGTGGCCCATTAAGAGACCCCATCAACAGCAACAGCAACCAAAACAACAGCAACAACAAGAAGAGCTAATTAATTGACCATTGACTGGCATTGCAGCTAATTGAAAGTAGCAGCGCGTATGGTGGAAAACCGTTTGATTAAAAGAAAATGCAGCGAAACGCGCATGATATTATTTCATTCATTCATTCATGCCACAATCTCACAACTCCTCCTGGCTTGTAATTCATATAAAACATACAAGAGGCCGCGGCCAGACGTCGCGCCAACATCTTGCAACAAAACATCAACAATTGCCACAATAAACTGCTCGCAACGTTCATTGACTGTCTCTCCTCTGTTGTTGTTGTTGTTGTTGTAGTTGCTGCAGCAAAAAGTAGGCGGCGTCATTGTCGCAGTCGCAGTCGCCGCCAGCGACATCCTGCAAATAATAAGGCCCAATACACGTAAAGCCGTACTGCCGGCGACGAGAAAAAAGCAGGCAGCAGAACGCGTTGTAGAAACGTGATTTCCTACTTCCGCAAAATGAATGTCATAAATATGCATGTGTGTGTGTGTGTGTGTGTCCATAGCCAATGGTCAATGGGCAACAAACTAACATGAATCAAATACATTCCTGGCATACCCGATAGAAACCCCATGCCTATGTATAAGAGAAACTCTGAATGAAACATAAAGCCTTCAGCTATGGTCAGACAGGCAAATCGTTTGCACACAAAGTGCGTGAATCAAATGTAATCACAAGGCTATACAAAGGAAAAATGATCATTTGTTGGTTGACTGGAAAGAATTACTTATGCTTACTTTCTTAATTAAATATATGAACTAACAGTAATAGTTGTAGTATTCCAAGTTACAGTAATGCAAAATTTTGCTATTCTATACTATTTACGAACGATTGAGAAGGAAAGGGAGTAATTTGCCAAAACCTTTTCAGTTAACATTTTCAATTTATATTTATATTGCCCCAACTTTTTAAAGCGATCATACCTTTCATTTTACAGAACACGTTTGTTTTGGTTTTCTTATAAAAAGTCATCATTTCTGAATAAAAACTGCCTTAACTCCTTAGAAAGCAATTTCCAATTAGAGAGCCTCTCCTCCACCATTAACGTGTTGAGTTGTCTGAAAGGTGGTTCAGAAAATTTGGATATTCTTTACTATTTACGAACGAGTGCGAAGAAAAGAGGAATCAATTTGCCAAATCCTCCATTTTGCACACATTTTTAGTTACAATTTCCAATATCTATTAATATTAACCCAACTTTTTAAGGCGATAAAACTTTATACACCTATGGCTATATATTCCTTTCATTTTATAGAAATCCGTACTTGGTTTTCTTATAAAAATTCATCATTAATAATTAAAAACTAGCTTCGAGCGAGCCCCTCCTCCACCCCATCAAGGTGTTGAGTAAGCAATATTTCAGTTTTTACTGTACTTGTCTGAAAGGTGGTTCAAAAAATTGCCATTTATTAGCTGCTTTCTCATTGGGTCAACGGAAGTTGTTGCTTCCACTGCTGCTGCTTCTGATGCGGCTGCTGTCTCTCCTGCTGCTTCTTCTCTGCTTTGGCGCTGATTTTGCTGTCACTTCCTTCTTCATACTTCCTGCACAGGCGTGGGCAACCGGAAGCGCACTTAATATGTGCATATGTGTGAGTGCTACAGATTTAATATGCAACTATACACTACTCGCACTGGCCGTGTCGAGTCAACGGCCCGAGAGCAGCTCACATCTCCAGCCCGATTCATATTGAATTTCAAGGCAAAGGAGCGTACAACAACCCCTCGTCGTCGTCATCGTCATTGTCGTCGTATTCTTCATTAGGGCTGAGAGTCGTGGTTCTGTTGCTTGTTGTCTTAGTGTGCTTGTAACTCAAAGATACTTTTTGTTTGGTTCCTTGTCTGTCGCATCTATCAGCCAGCCTGCTTTCAGCTATAAGTCCTGCACAACAGTTTTTCATGCACTCGTCGACGCTTTGGAAATTTGAACATCTGCCGTTTTTTTTTTTTTGTCCTTTCCTTTCTTTTCTGCTTTGTGCATTTCGAAAACTACCACCAAAAAAGAATACAGTGATCGCTGGAACTACCCTTGATGACTTGCAGGGTACTCCACTCCTAGGGGTTGTTTTACCTGTCTGCCGCCTCGATAATACAGCTGCCTTGCTTCAGTCTGTACGTGCGAGTGCGTATGTGTGTGTGTAGGTTTCCTTAAACGTGGCTTTATCTGGAACGCCTTGAGGCAGCTGCCACATGCCTCTTAAGCAAACATGATGCTTGGGATCGTCGCCTGCTGTGCTCTGTATGTGTGTCTGTCTGTATTTTGCCACGCGCCGCATATCAGCATGGCAATCAACCTCTCCGTCTCCATCTCCATCTCCTTGCCACCATCTTCTTCGCAGTGCTATTGTTGTCCTGCTGTCGCATTTTCTGTTTGATCGCATTTAACGCACGTTTTTCTTTCCACGATCTTGTTCTCTCTCTCCTTCGCTCTCTCTCTCTCTCTATCTTCGTCATTTTGACTAATTTATTTTGCAACTGTTGGCATGCCGCCGCCTGATACCTTAAAGCCACCTCTCGTGTCTGAAACCTGTCGCTTCTGTTGATGACCCCGACACATGGCGACGACACATCGATCGACCAGCGGCAGAATGCCTTTGGCAATTATTTATAGGCCATATGAATTGTTTGCTGACGATGACATGTGCGTTGGCTGGCGCTTCAGGTGGCGGAGGACGATCATATCCTCAGAAGCCAGTTTGGCATGCTTTGCATTTCATTTTATAATGAGCACAGCTGCTATTTTCTTTACTGCGCAAGCTGCAGGAATTATAGTAATTACAACAGTTATTCGCTAAAAAAAATTCGCAAAGAAATTACTGTATAGCTTGTTTTGTAGAACATAAAAGTTTCGAGGATCTAGGGCTTCTAAGCTACTAACCTTCCTGTTTTAAATAGCATCGTTTCCCCATCTTTCTTTATTTTTTATACCTAGACAAAAGATATTCATAGAGGTTTATGCAACAGCTCTGAAAAACAAAACTTCAATCAATATTTTATTTCTATTCGGGAATCAAGATCTAGTTTCTAATCATCATCGTTTAGCCACAACATTCATCTCTATTCCTTGAGTTTGTGCAACAACTCTGCAGGTTTGACTTTCAATTTCTCATGCATATGCATTTTCCTAGAATTGCCATTCAACATTTTTGTATATTCCGAGAACTACCAATCATTTGAAACGCACATTCCTCGGCGTGTCGTGCTCTCTGATCAATTATCAATTTGTCAAACCGCTTCGCTTCAATACCTTCAATGAGCAGCCACCAGCCAAGTCACGTGCCTCGCTGAAAATCCTACCTAAGCTTAGGGCTTAGTGATTTGAAAGGGTTTGAGAGCTGAAACATTGCTTGGCTTCTGTGTAATTCGAAACCTAGCACATGGTGGCGAACATTTCAAAATCTGTGCAGCAAATGAAACCATTCCTCCGTTTTTTTTTTCTAATTTTGACTTATTTTTTTTGAGATACATTCCAATGCGAATGCTCGATTTGATTTCCATGAAGTGGATGACCCGCTGTTCGGATGAGCTAACCAGGTTTTCGGAATAGAGCGTGGGTAATTCAATACTTCAAGAGGAGACTGGCTGCCTTAGTAACCTAACCTAAGTCAATGGCTTGACTTGAAGTTGCTTGTAGTTATGTGTATTTATAGGTAGCAATAGCTCATTGAGCTGAGCTCATTGGTCATTCTGTTTAGCATAGTTTAAAGAAATACAAAAGACAGAAACATTTCCCCAGAAGCATAAAAAAAATCAAAAACTTGTGTTGTGTGAAGAATAAAAGAATCCTCGTACCAATGCGGCTTGTGGGGGCTTAACCGTTCCCAAAATCTAGGTGTTCTTTGAAGCAGACGGACGATGAATATATATAGTACTCCTATATATATATACTTTATAGTGCCGGAAATGCTGCTCTCTTTGCACAAACCCAATAAACCCTTAGGGAACAGGTTCTACAAATTTATAGATTCACTTACTCATAATATATTCTCTCTCTCTTTACAGTCCGTCGTTCGCCATCCTCCTGCCCGGGTCCCAACAATTTACCCCCACTACAGTTCCACAGTGTGCACGGCGACAATATTCGGATCTCTCGGGATGGCACGTTGGCGCGTCGCTTCGAGAGCTTCTGTCGTGCGATCACCTTCTCGGCCCGTCCAGTGCGCATCAATGAGCGCATCTGTGTTAAGTTTGCCGAGATCTCGAATAACTGGAATGGCGGCATACGGTTCGGCTTCACAAACAACGATCCGGTTACGTTGGAGGGATCGTTGCCCAAATACGCTTGTCCGGATCTGACAAATCGTCCCGGCTTCTGGGCCAAGGCCTTGCATGAGCAATACTGTGAGAAGGACAACATACTCTACTATTATGTGAACTCGGCTGGCGATGTCATCTATGGCATCAATAATGAGGAGAAAGGTGTGATATTATCGGGCATTGATACGCGTGGTCTGCTCTGGACCATCATCGATATCTATGGCAATTGCACAGGCATTGAGTTTCTGGACTCTCGCATCTACATGTATCAGCAGCATAATGCGGCATTGAATGGACTGCCCACTGCCACACTCGCCCAGCAGCAGCAACAACAGCAATTGGCACAACAGCAGGCCCATAGTGGCTCCCTCAGTTCGCATCACCCGCATCAGCAATCACGTCGCTCGCTACCCGCCGCTGGCGGCGGCAATGGCGTTGATCATGAGCTGGAACGTCATGTAATGCCATCGCTGCAGTCTCTGAACATTGCCGCTGGCGCTGGCGCCGCGGATCAGGCTGCTCTCGCCCATGATCTGGCCAATGGATTGCCCCCACTGCGCTACAATGCCAATGGGCGGCTCATACCCGTGCCCTTCCACATTACGAAGGGCCGGAATGTGCGCCTTTCGCACGATCGCTTTGTAGCCTCTCGCACCGAAACGGATTTCTGTCAGGGCTATGTCTTTACTGCCCGTCCCATTCGCATCGGTGAGAAACTGATCGTGCAGGTCCTGAAGACGGAGCAGATGTATGTGGGTGCCTTGGCCTTGGGCCTAACTTCGTGCAATCCTGCGATGCTGCAGCCGAACGATCTGCCGAATGACTCGGACTTTCTGCTCGATCGTCCCGAGTATTGGGTGGTCAGCAAGGATATTGCGGCAGCACCGCAACGTGGCGATGAGATTGCCTTCTTTGTCGCACCCAACGGTGAGGTGTCCATCAGCAAGAACAATGGACCGGCCGTCGTTGTGATGCATGTGGACCAATCTCTGCAGCTCTGGGCCTTCCTCGATGTCTACGGATCGACACAGTCGGTGCGCATGTTCCGTCAGCAATTGCCCAATATGGTGGCCTATCCCTCGCAACCCCAAATCACAGCAGCTGCGGCTGCCTCTACATCGCGTTTGATGCCTTTGCCCGTCTCTGAGTCCATAAACAGTCTGAATGCCGGACAAATGATGAGTGCGGCATCCAAAATGATGCACACCTCCCAGCTGAATGTTACTCAGAGCACCTCCACATTGGCATCCGCAGCGGGCACCACCAATGGCAGTCGCATGATCAGCATGCCCTCCAATGGTGACATCCTGCAGATCCAACCAAATGGAGGCGGTACCGTTCTCGTTGTCAACTTGCCGCCAGCGAATAGCTCACATGACTTGGCCTCCAATCAGGCGAGAATCAATGCGCCTGCCATTAGCACTGGAGTGCTGGCTGGTGCCGTCTCCAGTGGCACCCTCATATCCACGACCAGCAGTCAATATATTGAGGTGAGTCTACAAATCCCAGAAATTGTCTTTTCGGACTTATTTGTAACTTCCATTCCAATTTGCAGCCCATTGCCAACAGCACGAACATGAATGGTGGAAACGCCAAGTGGAAGGACAGCTTGAGTGATCAGCACAGCAACGATTCCAGCGCCGAATGTACCATCTGCTATGAGAATCCCATCGACTCGGTGCTCTATATGTGCGGACATATGTGCATGTGCTACGATTGTGCCATCGAGCAGTGGCGGGGCGTCGGTGGGGGTCAGTGTCCGCTCTGCCGAGCCGTCATTCGAGATGTCATTCGCACCTACACCACGTAGAGAAGGCACCTACAATTGAGCGATGAATCTACCAAATGGAAGCGTTTCAGTTTCCCAAACAATGTATGATTACTGTATGAAGAAACACAGGAAGTCAAAGTAATTTAAAAAACAAAAATGTATCCTAAGAAGAAACATAAAACTTTTAACTCGCAATCAAACAAAATCAAAGCTAATTCATCACAAGCATGCACGCACTTATGAATTTTAGAAAAGCATAAGCATAAATTTTAAATTTAAATTAAATGGAAAGCAAACAAAAAATGGAATAGTGAAAACTGCTTAGGTATTAGCAATAGCGGAAAAAGATCTGTAAAGAAACTGATAGTTCACATCATACCGCCTAGGTATGATCAATATTTGACTTAATAATTTATGTATACTACTCTATAATTATTGCCTAACATGCATATAAATATTTAATTTTTTGTGATTTTATGTCTAAGGGCCAACTAATTTGCTAAATGCTGCAACAAATTTGTTCAATTTTTTTCAAAATTGCGTTTGGAGTATTATTAGTTTAAAGATTTTCATTTTTTTGCAACAATTGGCAGTTAATGTTTTATAATGCGTGTTATAGTTAAAAAACCAAAGTTTATTTCAATGAGAAGGTATCATTTATAATTTTAAGTGTAATTAATATGACGAATTAGTTGTTGCAAATTTTTCCAAATTTCTAATTATAATAATTGTCAAAATTCAATCGAATGTGCAAAATTGAAAAAAAAAAAATGGTTGATTTGCTCACTCGCATATATCTATATACCTATATTATTGTTTGGCGTATAATCATTTTGGTGCTAAATGTGTTTTGAATTTGCGAAAAGGAAATCGTTAAGGATGTAAAGAATTTTGTTAAGCTTGCAGCAACTAAAATAATTATTATTACCTTTCTATACATACAATTAAAAATGCATTTCAATGCGCAAATTATACAATAAACTGTATTCCTCCAATACAATAACAGAAATCTGCCGTTTCCTCTCGAAAGAACAAACAAAAAAAGAAAAGAATCTAAATAACTTGCGAGATTGGACATTTTAAAATCCCCCGATTATGAAATAAATACTACTATATATATAAGTTGAATTTAAATGACAAGCAATTCAATGTTAAATTTAATTGTGGTATGTTTAAAGTGGAAGAACTTCAAGGAAATTGACTTAAAAACATGACACAAACCTATAACTAAACAGACATATAGAAGCACAAATACCTAACAAAGTTTTGTTTAAACTTACAATAAAAAGAAGACTAGGGACATAACTAATTGAAATTTGTTAAAACCAAACAACAAAACTGCAAGCGCATGTTAAGATGTAATTCTAATTTAATTGTAAGTACTTAAGTTAATTTCTAGTCAACGAATTATGCTGAAGTTTAACACATGAATGTATGTAGATAAATGTGTGTGGAACAATAGGCCACTCCACTCAGAATAAAAACGCCCAAAACTAAATATGCACGCGAAGCAATTTAAAAGAGACACATTTTTAAAATAAACTTAAGTAGTGCACAGTTTTAAAATACAAAACAAAAGAAAAACGAAAGCAATTATATAGAACAAAAGACTTGTATGTTGAACCAACAGCTTGAATAAAAACAAAAAAAAAACGGAAACAAATGAAAATTAAAATATTTTTAAATACCATCCAAAAGTAAGCATGCAGTTAGAGAATTGCCAATAATTAATTAACTAACAAGCAAACAGAAAGACAAACAAACAAACAAACAGACAACAGAACAAATACACTTTACCTAAGATTGTATTTAAATTAATTTTAAAAAATACTAATGGCAAATACAAAATGGATAGATGCGCAAATTTACTATTTTGTTAAAAGAGAAATGAAAAGATAGATGTTATTGCCACTACTGATAATTATTTTTAATTTTTTTAATGAGTACGCATTAGTTTCTAAAATCATAAAACTATGCTATGCCTAGTTATGAATAAAATGTATATGTATTTATGAAATTATATTTGATAATTGTAAGAAAACGCAATGCTGTAATACCATTAAATACTGAAATCAACATACATAATTGTTTCTTTTTTCTTCAGGTGAAATTCCTGAACAGAGCTGTGGAATTATTCATTTAACAGAAACGGGGTTATGAGGTCATATTGATTTACAATACAAATAAAACAAAATAGATAAAAGTATAATAATATTGTGCCAGTAAAAAAAGAGCAGAACTTCTTTTCAGATTATACGTGTGAAAAAAGTAATCTTAAAAATTTGATTTACAAATGAGATAGATATTTATAAATGTTTAAAGTGCATAATAATATATGTATTAGACTGAGAGATATTTGTTTATTAACACGCTAATAAACTTCACCTGAAAATCAGTATGTATGTTCACAGTATGTAACGGAATCTTTCAGCGTAATTTTTACCAATTTCCTGATTTTTAAAGTGATGATTTTAAAATTTATAATTTTTTATGTAAATTGCTTAGTTTAAAAAGAAACACCTATTAATATTCTTGTTGGGAATACGTAGACCTTCTGTCAGGATAAATTAAGATCTTCTGGTGACATGAAACGTTAACTTAGAATTATGTTGGATAAGTTTGCTTAATTTTGGCATAATTGGCAAACAATTTGTTTGAAACGGTTATTGACAGTGCTTTTCGGCCAGCCTAACCGCTGATAAATCCATCTGGCAGCACTGGTCGAATGTGGGCTTGTATCGACCTGTTGGCATCGTATATCGATACCTGCTATTACTACCCAGCCCTACGCAGTAAACAGTTTGAGATTTTATCCGTGTGTTTCGTGGAAGAAAATTGTGTAAGTTACCAATTAAACGCGTATAAAACTGTTTAGAAATTGTGTATAAATGTTGTACAAATCGATTCAAGAGTAATTGTGTAAGTTTTAAAAGTATTTATTGCTTTGTAGTGAATTTTGTTACACTGAAAGTGTTTTCTACTTCTTTTGTGTTCCCACTGCGCTCCCCCGCACAAAATCATTCACACAGCCACACATACACATGCATACGAGCGCATACACAACGTAGACAAAATACTCACCCTCCCTCATAATTTTTCAGCAGTGCTGGTAGCTGGACGGCCGCTGCCGCAACAGCAACAACAACAACGTCGACCCAAATAAAAAGAAAGAAAATACAGAGGAAAGCAAAACGGTGAAGAGGAGAGTTAAGAATCTGTTCGGCGAACTAATTAAAAATTCAGATCATGGATGAGGCGAACATGCAGGATAAGGAGCGGTTTGCGAGTCGCGAGAACCACTGCGAGATCGAGCGAAGACGTCGCAATAAAATGACCGCCTATATAACTGAACTATCGGATATGGTGCCAACGTGTAGTGCCTTGGCGCGCAAACCGGACAAATTGACGATATTGCGCATGGCCGTAGCCCACATGAAAGCGCTAAGGGGCACCGGAAATACCAGCAGCGATGGCACATACAAGCCCTCATTTCTCACAGACCAGGAGCTAAAGCATTTGATTTTGGAGGCAGCCGACGGATTTCTGTTTGTGGTTTCCTGTGATTCGGGACGTGTAATCTATGTTTCGGATTCGGTGACGCCAGTGTTAAACTATACGCAAAGCGATTGGTATGGCACCAGCTTGTACGAGCATATCCATCCAGACGATCGCGAGAAAATCCGCGAACAGTTGTCCACACAAGAGTCGCAGAATGCGGGTCGAATATTGGACTTGAAGTCTGGCACTGTGAAGAAGGAGGGCCACCAGTCCTCGATGCGCTTGAGCATGGGAGCTCGTCGTGGTTTTATTTGTCGAATGCGCGTGGGCAACGTGAACCCCGAATCCATGGTCGCCGGCCATTTAAATCGCCTAAAACAACGCAATTCATTGGGACCATCAAGAGATGGCACCAATTACGCTGTAGTGCATTGCACGGGCTATATAAAGAACTGGCCACCAACCGATATGTTTCCGAATGTGCACATGGATCGCGATGTAGATGATATGGCCTCGCACTGCTGTCTTGTGGCCATTGGACGCCTTCAAGTGACATCGACAGCGGCCAACGACATGACCGGAAGCAACAATCAAAGCGAGTTTATTACACGTCATGCTATGGATGGAAAATTCACGTTTGTGGATCAGCGTGTGTTAAACATTCTAGGCTATACTCCAACCGAATTGCTGGGCAAGATTTGCTACGACTTCTTTCATCCCGAGGACCAGAGTCACATGAAGGAGAGCTTCGATCAAGTTCTCAAGCAGAAAGGACAAATGTTTTCGCTCCTTTATCGCGCCCGTGCCAAGAGTGGAGAGTACGTTTGGTTACGTACACAGGCCTATGCATTCCTGAATCCCTATACCGATGAAGTCGAATACATTGTATGCACGAATAGCTCGGGTAAGACGCTACATGCTGGTGCTCCTCACGATGCTCACACGCCGGACCAACAGCAGCAACAACAACAGCAGCAGCAGCAACAACAACAACAGCAAGAGCATGTGTATGTCCAGGCACCTGGTGTGGACTTTACGCTTCAGGCACGCCGAGATGTGCCGCCCACTGGCAGCGCGCCCGGTACTGATGGTATGTATCAGACGCACATGCTCGGTGGTCCTCATATGCAAGCACCGACACCCCTGAGTGCCCAACAACAGCAACAGCAGCGTCCTGCTTCCGCTCAGAACACACCTGTAGGCTTCAATTATGACACGACGCACTCGCCCTATGGCGCCGCAACCGGTGGAGGACCTTCGCCATTGGCCAAAATTCCCAAGTCTGGCTCATCACCCACGCCCACAGCTTGGGGAGCGCTACGCCAAACGCCCCAGCAGCAGCAGCAACAACAGCAGCCCGTCACTGAGGGCTATCAGTATCCGCAGACGAGTCCCGCACGCTCACCCAGCGGTCCCACATACACGCAGCTTAGTGCTGGCGGCAATGGGAATCGTCAACAGGCCGGAGCCTATCAGACGGCGCCACCTCCGCCGCCGCCCAATGCGCCTGGCATGTGGGATTGGCAAAATGCCGGCGCCCATCCGCATCCACCACATCCAGCGCACCCCCACCATCCGCATGCGCATCCTGGTGGTCCGGGTGGGCCACAGCCACAGGGTCAAGAGTTCTCCGACATGCTGCAAATGTTGGATCACAGCGCCACAACAACGTTTGAGGATCTAAATATAAATATGTTCACAACACCGTTTGAGTAAAGCAGCTGGAAATAGGGTCCACTCCTCCCTACCCGTATCTCTCTCTTCTCATATCTTTCTCTCATAAAGTGCAATCGCAGAAGCGCGCAAATTGTTAAAAATATTTAAAGAAAATGCAAAATAGCCAACAAAAGCTGCTAAATGTAATCTCGTAAATAACCAATTAAGTACATAACGGTAGTCACGTACCATACCTACACATAACGGCACATACAGCGCGCTGCTGATATCCACATACAGACAAACATATGTATGTGCTCTATTCGCTACACATTCATACATACAAACATACATACACTTTCTGCCAAGCAGTGCAAAACAAATATAAAAAATTATTTACAATTACAATTTAACTATTCGTAGCTTGTAAGTGGCGCTCATTTAAAAGTTCATTGCATTTTCGAATTGAATTAACAATACATAACACAAATTTTTACATACATAGATACATGCTTAATTGTATTGTAATTGTAATTCCTAGACTAATATTATATACAAATTTTAATTGTGTAGCACTTATAAGTACACCCACACAATTGCATTTTCGAACAACATTGACCCCATTTTTAAACTCAATTCTCAGCTGCATTTCGTTTCACTGTAAAATCAGTTCAAGTGCAAACAAAATTATAGTTTAGAATAACAACAGACAGCAGCAACAATAAAAGTGCTTATTTGTGCAGCTTTTTCTTCTCTCTGTGTTGCAATGACCAAATTGCCAGCTCATGTAAACAATAATAATACACAGTAGCCGCCTAAATAATGTGCACATGTCATTGCTGGGGAAAGTAACATTTAATTAGTTTAAATAAGCGTATTTACGCACTACATGAATACATTTTTAAACAAATTTTTGATAAGCTAAGACTTTGTAATTAAGCAATCAGCGCTATACATACATATACAATGCATTACGCACACTCTACTTGGAATAATTAAGAGAGCACTAAGTTACAATTCAATCAACAAAACAATATAATGAATTTCCGTGCTCCATAACTTTTTTAAGTAGGTGTTTAAGTATTTCAATTTGATAATTTAGAACAAAAAAATGTCGGTTTTTAATGCAAATAAACTTAATGTACTACCATAAATCAATTAACACAGACTACATAAATAACTCAATCAATATCCCTATCCAGCTTTTGTTCGCTAGCACTGCTATCGTTGGAAGCACTATTAACGCCTAGTTGGTGATTTTTCTGTTGCTCCCTTTTGAAGTCTCGAAATCGCGGTCGCTTGGCGGCATTTCCCTCCGACGAGGAACTATCAGAAGAGCAAGCATTGCGTTTTGAGCCAGAATCCACTGATTTCTTTTGCTCCTCATCGCTCTGATCACTTGCCTCAGACTTCAGTTCCTCCTCCCGTTGCTGACGCACCTGTAACCAAGCCATCATCGTTTTATTCATCGGCATTTTCGCAGGCTTGGAAACAAGCTCGATTGGCTTGTTACATTCTGAGCTCTTGTTCCGTGAATTATTCACCAGCTTGGTGACTCGATGCCACTGCAAGGCAGTGGCCGGCCGTAAAGTAGCCAGCGCCTGTTTGTCGCTCACGCGTTTGAAGTCCAGCCAATCCTAAGAATAGATAGAAATTTATTTATTTACCAGACTGCAATATGAAGTTATATCTTTACAAAAAAAAAAATATATATATATATTTTTTAACATACGCTAACTTGCTGTTCCGTTTCGAGTATAGCAGGCATTCGATAATGCATCCAGGACATTATTTTACTAGACTCAAAGGTAATAATGCTATAGCTATACATTTTATCTCCACTCTCGTCCTCCCACACATCAAACAGACCAGCCATCATAAGCAGCTTTACATTTGATGGATCCCAGGTATTTTTGTCATAGATTTTAATATCTGTAGATTGTGGCACATATATGAGGTAAGCATCGCGTTCGGACGGCTTGGCCGACTTGGTTGTTTGCCATTCATAAAAGCCCTCACAGAGCACCACACAACGCTGGCCACGTTTGAAGGGGCCACGATATAGTTTTGAGTCCATCAAATGCTCCAACCGGCAGTTGTTTGTCGTTAGACCATGCCTGCGATAGTCACCTTTGTGCCAGAATGGAATCATACCCCACATCATAGGCACTACGACCCGCGCATTTTTTTGATCGCTGGCATCGGAGAAGTGCGCCGCTGAGACCAGAACAGGTGTAATGTCGGTTGGGGCTATGTTGTAGGAGGGTTGATAGGTACGGCCCAAATTAAATTCTGCGCGCCATTCGGGCTTTTCGCGTTCATTCTCAGTTTCATCATGAGCGTCCGTTTCAAACTTGATATCCCGACCCGGCTTTGCTGCATCAGTTTCCCGCTTTATTTTGTTCGTGGGATACTTGCATGCACAGATCACCTGATCGGGATCGAGGGTTCTGTATGGAATGATAATTATTCAATAATATCAACAACGCAATTACGTTTATTTATAAACAGCTTACAAGCAAGTACGCCCGCACATCGATATTGTTGTTGTTTTATAAAATGTGCGTAAAAACGTAGTATCGATGCCTTTTGCTTAGTCGGAAGATGGTTTGGCTTGCAGCCGATTTTCCAGCAGTGTTGTAAACTGCGAGAAAAAATAGAAGTCAATACAGAGACACTGAGCGGAGCTAAGTTGAACACCTTAATATTTGTCAAATTAAACGAAATTAATTGAAAATGGGCGAACGTTACAATATCCATAGTCAATTGGAGCATCTGCAGAGCAAATACATTGGAACAGGCCATGCAGATACCACTAAATTTGAGTGGCTAACTAACCAGCACAGGGATTCGCTGGCCAGCTACATGGGGCACTACGATATGCTGAATTACTTTGCCATTGCGGAGAACGAATCTAAGGCACGGGTGCGCTTTAATCTGATGGAGCGCATGCTTCAGCCCTGTGGACCGCCTCCAGAAAAGCTCGAAGATTAAGCTCAAATACAATAAAACTATATATTTATAAGTCAAGCAAAATGTTTTTGTTTATGGGGGTGGGTTATTGCTCGTGAAAACAGTGGCGTATCGCCAAAGAATCGTGGGTATTTCCCACCACTAGATGAGTAGTATCGCAGTCAGTCATCAAGAGACAGTCGGGGGAAAGCTTTGAACTCGATCTAACTTATTTTCGTTTCGATTATTCATTAATTTCAGTGCTTTAATTAAATAGTAAATAATAAAATAGCTAATGCTGCAGCACAACAAAGTACGTGGATGCGTGTGTGTCATGTAATAAGTGTTGAAAACATATGTGTAAATATCAAGCAGACAGCGTGAGAAGTGTTAAAAAAGGGAGCACCATACACACATATATGTACATATGTATATACTTACATGCATGTGTACATGCGTTTGTAAAGTGCAGTAGCCGAGGCAGCGCGCATCTTATTTTTAATGTATACACACTATGAAAATTCGCGGCGAACAAAGATTTCAGCTGAAAACATTTTTAATTGCGTAGATTGTGTGTTATACATACATATATATATACATGCAGATGCAGCACCTTTCATATACTCAGCACCTAAGGCACACACAGCTGCTCGCATACACACATGCACATACATATGTATAAGCAGACATACATATAAAAGGATGAATGTGCTACAAATTGCGCGCTGCTCAATAGATGAATAGAAAATGTCGCTTAAAAACAGTGTCAATTATAACAAAAATCATTTCCCATAACAAAACCATAGATAAAGAGCCGTCAGTCATGGCTGTATGTGTGTGTTAATGCGATGGTTATTTAACAAGCGAGACCGCCTGGATAAATACATTTTTCACCTATGCATAAACCACCCACCCCCTTCACCCAAAAATGCAGTATGTTCTTGTAATGAAAGTACAATGCCGTCTATGGAAACAGACGCACTCTGACGCATTACAGCTGCCAATAAAAATAAACGCTTCTGCGCCTATTCTAATGACTCGCATTGTGAATTGAACAAAGCTTGCGCGTTAGCTTTGTGGCGTTGCCATACAGTGAATCTCTCAATTGAACCAATAAGAAAACCAAATTGGCAAAATCTCAGTTCCACCAATAAAAATACTTTTCGTGGCTATGTTATTTGTTCGTAAATCGGGAAATTGTTCATGTTTTTGGTGTTGTTAAGTTTATGGTCAATTCACCTGGTAGAATAGTGGCAACCTCAACGGGAGCAGTTGATGTGTGTTGTGGGCTGTGACGGGACGGGGACGAGCGACATACAAAAGCACACGACGACGACGTCGTCGTCGAATGAGTTGAAAATTTTTCGCAAAGCGAAAAAGTTAAAAATAAATGTTTATTGTGCACAGTTAAAATACTAAATTTATATACATATATATATACATGGAAAGTTGAAAGAAAAGCGGAAAATGCAATAACCCAAGTGAATTCGCTATATTAATAATGTGCACTCGTGTTTATGGATTTCTATTATTACTACTATTTTTTTGGCGTGCAAATTATTTAATTTTTAAATTATTAAACGTAGGTATTTATGTGTGTACGATGCTACTCTCGCCTTAGCTTTTCGTTTAGCTCGCTCGATTGTATTGAAAAATTTCATTGCTCAAGCTTGTGGCACAGGCAGTAGTACATAGTTTGAAAGAGTCGAATGAGGGGAGGGAAGAGTGAGTGGATATCTGTGTGTGTGTGTGGGTTTTTCTGCTCATTTCGTTTTCAGACATTCGCGTACATCGAAAGGTAACCAAAAAGAAAGAACCGTAATCGCGTAGAAGGTGGTGTGAAAAATAAAAATGTAGCCCAAAAAAGACGGCTCGACAGAAATACGAAAAAGAAAAGCTAAAAAGGCTGAAATGCTTTCTAGCAGCTAAACAAAATCCATGGCCCGGGAATCCTTCTTGTTCTTGTACTTGTATTTGTTGTAAAGCGCGGGGGCCGTCGCCTCGTATGTCTGTACATATGTGTGTGTTTATGTGTGCTTGTTACTTAATTTGACATTTCTTTTTCATTGTTTTCTTTGCCTTTTGACCCTATATGTGTGTGTTTACACTAATCGGGAATACTTTCTTCACCCTTTCTTTACTCTATAGCTCCAACTCCGCCTACGCATGTGTACATAAATCTCAAAAACCTAGTGCTTAAGCGATAAAGTTTTGAAAACTGGGCCACACCAACCCAACGTGTAGGCTTTAAAAATATTCACACACATACAACAACACACATACATAAATCCGCTTTGAAGGCAATTGAAGTAGATCTACGCACCACAATCTCTTAATATCCGTGAAGAAAAAATTAAGGTGGAAATTGTCGTCAGTAAGTTAAAGGTGAGCAGGACCCATCGACGCGTAGGAAGGACGAGAGCGAGCCGGCAACGCACACGTCGCTGCTGCCGAATAATGAGTCGTCATGAAGGCAAGTTATCAAAAAATATATAAATCCTTCTATGAAAATATCCAATAATCGGCTTATTATCTTGTATAGGTGTAAGCTGCGATTCATGTCTCAAAAGTAACTTTAATGGACGCCGCTACAAGTGTTTAATCTGCTATGATTATGACCTGTGTGCCGATTGCTATGAGGAAGGCGTCACCTCCACTCGCCATCTGGTTGAACACCCAATGCAATGCATCCTCACACGCTCCGATATTGAGTTGTATTTTGGCGGAGAGATGCTAACATCCGATCAGCCGCAGTCCTTCACGTGTCCTTATTGCAAGAAAATGGGCTTCAGCGACGCAACACTTCTGGAGCACGTCTCCTCGGAGCACACAGAGACAAGTCTCGAGGTTGTGTGTCCTGTTTGCGCGGGATTGCCCGGCGGTGAGCCGAATCTAGTCACAGACGATTTTGCTGGTCATCTAACATTGGAGCATCGGCAAGGACCACGCGAGCTAATATCGTTTTTGATATCCTTTTCACAAAACCATCATAATGCATATTCATATGAAATTGCACATCACATTATTAGCTCATGAGTTAAATGATAGACAGGCATTTGTCATTTGAATGAGATCATATTTATGAGTAATACATCAATCGTTTAGTTACATCAAATTAGTAGAATCATTTTAGTTGTACATTTTACTATTCCCGAACATATATGCAATTGCTTATGAAATCGATTAGATAGACACATTTATTACTATCCGTACTCAATATATGCATTTGTAAGCCATAATAGATAGTTCGTAGATTGTAAAAGAGTTAATCGATTATTATTCACTCATAGTAGGTGAATTCATTTTAGCCAAAGCGAACAATTCCTTTGTTCAAAAATCATGCTAGAGAACAATTGCTTAGTTATTATGGAAGTTGAATAATCAATACAAATCAATTAATGACTTTCTATAGAGAAAGTGGCTAGTAGTGTACTTAAGAATAATATAACAAGTACTTACACGTTATAATCAACTAAGTCTTCTAGAGGTAATTCAAATAATGCCACTTTTTCTTACATCGGTGAGGGTAGAACAAGCTACTACGAATGCCAAATGCCATTTGTGTAGCAATGCAATTTGTTTTCGCCAGTTTAGATTTTAATCTTCTGTCCACAACAGCAACATTATTCGCCCAATTGTGGTTTACCTTAACCTTTAGACAATACGACGAACCGTCAGCTATTCGCCATGGTGGAGGTGTGCGTCGCATGCCAGGACGCACCTTGGGAGGGCCACGCACGCGTCGCTCCAACATGCACTTCAGCTCTTCGACCGGCCTCTCGGCACTATCGCCTTCGGGTCGCGAATCTGTCGATCCAATTGCGGAACTGCTCTCACAGCTGTCCGGCGTCAGACGTGGCGGACCCCCAACATCGCAATTGCAACAATTGCAGATGCAAATGCAGTTGGATAGACATCAAGTTACGGTAAGCACAAACAAACCGAACAGATTTTTGTTTATAATCAACTAAAATTTTCCACTATGTACAATTGCCAACTCTGCTCTCTGCCCGAATTCTCCGCTCCACAATGCTTTGGACGCCTTTTTACATTTATTGCTTTATTTTAGGCATCGCGCCAAATCGATCGCTTGCCAAGACGCGCGCATCCCATAGTCTCAACATCGAATTCAAACGCTACAATGGCGGAGGTGATTAGCGGTAGCAGCGGAGGAGGCAGCGGGGGAGCAGTTGGTGTACTGATGAGTGGCAGCGGTGCGGTCGGAGGTGGAGCCGGGGGCAGTCTAAGTGCCAGCAGTGTGAATGCGCCCGCCAATCTGCGCACAACCGAATGGCCGGTGACAGCGAGCTTCTCAACATCGACCAACAATCATCAGCAGACGCAGTCGAGCAGCCTGGCCGCCAACACACTCAATGCCAGAGAAGTATGAATTGCAATCGAAAGTTCTTTTGAGGATCCATAATCATCTAATCCATCATTACTTTTGCAGTCTGGCGGCAACAGCTGCAGCAACAATGGCAACAATCCGCTTGGTATAAGCGTTGGATGCGGTGGTAACGGTGGCAACAGCGGCACAACCGGTCAGCCCGGTGGTGGTGGGGGAGGTGCTGGAGAGGCACAGTCGCAGTACTTGCTGGCCAAATTCATGCAGCCCACTCTAAGCGATGCCGAGTGGGCGGAGGTGGAGCGAAAGCGTTCAGATCGGTAAGTAATATATCTATAGAGACAGAGAAAGAGAGCTCTCTAGTTTAATACAAATCGCAAATAGATCTAGACTGGCATTTGCATACAAAACAAACAGTCCAATACAACTACTCGTACATACATAGATCTCACATTAAATCGGTTTATCTAAAATCAATTGAGTATATTTAAGTTTTTGTTTATATTTCAATACTCAGCAATAAAATGCACTTTAGGAATAGATATACTTTATAATTGTGAAGCGAATACCCCAGCTCTACCAGAAAAATTATTTTACCGGCTGGAATGGGCCTGTTCCCATATATTTTTGGACTGTTAATGAGTCTTAGCAGTCAGATTCCAAACTTATCGTGTTTTATTTGGCACCTTGTTTCGTGCTTCATTTCACAGAATCGGCAGATTTTTATGCTTAACAATATTTATTTTTGTTATCAACAAGCACGGTTAATGAAAATGTGTTTGACAAATGAAATTATGTTTGCTTAAACGAAAACTTATTAGGCAAAAAGAAACAATTGTGAACCATTAGATAAACAAAAATTTCCAAATCTGTGTTATTGTATCCGTTATTTTCTTGTGGAGTTTTCAAAATGCTAAGATCCAGAATAACAAATAATTTCCAACAAAATTTTCGTTATTTTAAGGAAAAGGCAAGGAAACTATATTAAGATTAGAATTCTTATTGGTTTCAATTGTTATTTAAATTCATGACATAAGTTCTTTTGAAATTTGAGAAATTTGTGTGCAATTGACCAAAGCTTAATAAGTTTTTGTTGTATCTGTTTCTCAACTTAATTAATTTTCGTTTTATCAATTTCTCAATAATTTTTTAATTTAATATTCGATCGTATTTGGATGTTAATGTAATGACCTATTTTCATACAATATTTGTTAGATCCGCACTCTTATCTCAATTAATCAATTAATTTTTAGACATTTCTTTAAAGGTCTTAGATTAAATCAGACTATTTACTAATCATTTGTGTTCTTCCTTTCAGTTCGATGTTTGTGCAGGCGTTGCTGTTGTCGCTGCTCTGCACGGAATCGTTGGATCTAAATGCAGCGGATAGCAGTGATGAGGCATCGTCTTCGTCATCGGCGTCGGCGTCATCGTCTCGGGAACAGCAGACCAAGAGTGATAATGTAAATAAGGAGCAGGCGAACAGCCAGCAACAACAGCAGCAGCAGGAACAGGAATCCATGATAAACAATAATGCGAGTGTGGCTGCACAGCAGCAACAACAACAACAGCAGCAGCAGCAGCAACAAACGTTGCGCCGCCAGCAAGTGAATCAGATGCAGCAGACCTCGCCGGAGGATTTCGTTTGCGATGAGTACAAGCAGCAACAGCAGCAGCAGAAAAAGAAGAGCGCTACAGGGGGTGGGGGAGGAGGAGGCGGGGCGACAACCACCGGGGGTGGCGCGTGCGCTGGCGTGAAGCCAACAGCTGATAGAGGCATTGAAAGACGTGCTCGTCCGCCTCCACCAGCAGCAGCGAGCAGCGCCATGAGCGTTAGCGTTGGGGGCGGAGCAGGGGGAGTGACAGCTGCCACGGGCTCACAGCAGCAACAACAACAACAATCGGCCCAGCAAAAATACAAACAAAATGCGAGTGCAGCGAACACAAATCAAATTCCGGACACTAGGTAGTGCTATGAAAGCCCAAAACGCAACACAGTTGCCATTGGCGCCAAGGCTTGAGGCGGAAACCCAATTGATGGACTCATCATCACGTCAGGAACCATAACCACAACCACAAACATAACCGACAACACCATACACAACAACAAGAACACTACCACAATAAATAGAAGAAGAACAACAACAATTTTAAGAATAACAGCAACAACAACAATAGAATTAGAGGAGCAGTGCTGAACAGGATGCCGATAACGTTTAGAATGAGGTTGGATGACTAGTGAGCCGTTGGCGACAGTGTCCACACACACATATACATACACATCCGCAAACACACACACATATACACCGGATACGTTGCCAACGTAGCGCAGCAACAGCAATTTTGTCAAAAAAAAAATCTAAAAAAAATAAAATTAAAAACTATATTATATATATCGTTTATTAAATATATTAAAATTTATATAATTATAAAGTGAGCATGAGATGTGGCTGATGTGCAGAAAGATGAAATGAAAAAAATTATTGTAATCGATGAATTAATTATAATTTAAAACAAAAAGAAAAAACACGAAAAATAATACCTGCTTGCATTTTTTGTTGCCTATATAACTGGGCGATTGAGATTTTCATTTAGCCTATTGTTTCCAAATTCTTAGCACTATTTCTAAAAAAAAAATAAGTAAATAAGTGCGTTTATAATTCCATTACTATCGGCTTACAGCTTAAAAATTGACCAGAAAAACATTTCAATCATTCCAATCTTTCCACCGATATTTGGGGCAACTCCTCCAAGTCTTGGGCGCTCTGCACGCCCCCGGACTTTATGCAAAACAAATACTCTATGGCCTGCTTGATCTGCCACTCTGAGGCATAAGGGTTGGCTAAGACGATGTGCTCTGCCAGCGTTTTGGCCAATTTCTTAAAGAGATAACGATTCCCTATGAGGCCTTCCTCCATTGGACGCATCAGATGTCGAACTACCCAGGGACGTATGCGAAATATGCAGCTGGCAAGCAGTACTTTGTCTACGAGATCGATGGAAGGACTTGAAACTTCCGTGCTAAAATCGTCATCGCTGTCCTCGCCAAAGAGCTGATGAAATTTATAGCGCAGCACATCCTCGCGTCTCCAATCTGCGTCCAATAAGCGGACCAAACATGTGTTTAGTTTTCGACGCTGGGCGTAGAGTTCGCAAGGCCAACGGCTGTGTCGCAAATCAGTTTCAGTCTTATTAGCATTAGCAGGTATGATGACGGCAGTTGGCGAAATTTCTGGGTCAGATAGTTCCTCAGCCATGGCTGTGGTTGTGGCGCTGGGCAGTTCGGACTCTTCGATTTCACGCAGTATGGCACAAACCTGCGGATCGTCGGTGGCCGCCGTTGGCTCAATGCCAAATATTTCATTTAAATCACTCGGCTCGTCACAAAAGAGCTCCGCCAGCTCTCGAGCAACTGCATCCTCATCACGTCTCACCGACAAGGGGGTGGCAGTGGGTGATATTGTCTTCAGATTGTTGCTCCTGCCTTTTGGTTGATGTTCGTCAAGTTGGAGCCGTTTTTGAAACAAATCGATTTTTTGCATTAACGACAACTCCGTATTAACGAATGATTGCTGCGTTTCTGTCTCGGTTTCGTTGTCTTCCGTTTGTGTGTACTTATCGACAAAACTTTGGGGGGATAATATTTGTGCTGAATTGACAATTGTGTGGACTTGCGTGGACAATTGCTGTTGTTGCATGTTATCAAATAACGCGTCTGCCAACCTACACTCCTGCGTATTGCGACGTACGGCGGCTATCTGTAGAGTAAACATTGCCATGTTAGCGTTCCTCATAAATATGTCAACTATTATTATTTCAGCCATACCGTTTTGATCATCACTCTTTGATAAACCTGAGCAGCCATACAGGCTTTAACAGCGCGCGCCTCCATTTTCTCAAGACTGGCGGCAATGCTTGCCCAGGCAGTGGGTTTGTGATGATTGCGCGACTGTTCGGCCCAGGCACTCACATTCTCCTCCAACTGACGCTTCAAATAGCGCAAGTAGTGTTGGCGCACCTGAAATTAGTTATACGTTTTTACATTGCAATGTTGCAGGAGAAATTCTTGATGTAACCAGTTCAGTGAGCACCACGAATTCACTGCCATTTCGTAGATCCTTCTCGAACGATTTGCTCTCAGCAGTTGCCATTTCATAGAAGTATGTTGCCTTCTATATTTGCGCACATGTTGCTATAAGAATATGTTTCGATCATTAACTTAAGACTTGGCTCCAAGTGAAAACTGATTTTCAAAACAAATTGCCTGACAGCGTTGCCACCCAATTCGACTTAATAACATTGATTAAACAGCTGCAATGCTGTTAACCGTTATGGGATCGGTACTCAGATACTCAAGTGAGTATCCAAGATAATTTCAAATACCCGCCTTAAGTATTTCAAATGCATGAAAAAAAACCCAAGTTCGTTTTTTGGATTGTTTATTGAGAACATGAAAAAAATGTAAATATACGACTAGAGTACAAGCAGCTATGAATAGTTAAGAATAATTTAACAATGACCAATGTTACTATGGGCCTGTTAAAGAATATGAAATAAAAGAAAACTAAACTACATATTTTCATCAGCCCAATAGCTCAAGGCCTGACTTCCAATTATATAGCAAATGCTCGGTAGTAACTTTATTTTAATTTCTTATATAACAATGCCATTATAAGTTGTTACACACTTGTTCCTAAATACTTATATTAAATTCAATACTAACATTTAAGAACTTTGTCAAATATTCAAAAGAAGTTCACTGAGCATAATGGTTAAAATTAAACAAATATACATTTTAAATCACGCATGCACAGGACGCGTAATCAAAATGTATGCCATTTAGTTGTCGGCAGCAATGTAACTATTTAGTCCAAACAAATTAACGACCAGCCTTTGGCAATTTTACACTGTTTTATTCAAGAATTTTTGTGTTTGCTCGATTTCACAGACTCTGTGTGCCTTACAAATTAGCTCACTTTTGTTTTACATTACTATGCAGTTTGAAATTCTGATTACTTTTGTATTATGCATTAAATACAGCATATGAATTGTAAGCGCTATAATGTTTAACCTTATAGCTATTACAATAATTTGAATTTATATAATAGGCATATGTATATTCAAGTATTATGCATACATTTTAGTACAATAAATACAATTGAAGCTTACATATGTATAAATAACTCTCAATTTCGTTTGCTACTTTTCAAAAAGATGCACCCCACTTTTATTTTTCACGTCAAACTCCTTCCATTGTGTTGTTCTTTTTACAAAACTGTATGCCCGTACTACTCCTTTCATTCCATAACTTGAAGTTAGCAAACAGCAACAAACGTTAAAGTGTTCAAAGTAACTTGGAAAATTATGTATTAATTGATTAAATAATTAATCCTGACTTTATGTGTGTAGGTGTATTAAATTGTTACTGCCGCTCTATCTCACCTATCTTTATCTGTGGTTTCTACGGTGTATGAGTGTGTGTTTGTGTGTGCCTTTATGACTTCTTTTGTAAAGAATCAACACTTGGCATAATTTTGGATAATGGAGCCCGCAAATAGGACGCTTCTGCATGTATTAGGAGTGTGCGAGTATCGTGAGTGTGAAATCTGTTTAGTCCAGAAAAATATTGTCGTCATCGAAGGTAAACACGTTATTACGTTGTTGTTGTTGCTGTTGTTGTTGTTGGGTAACCGTTTGCGCCGCTGTCTGACTAGAAGAGCTGGTGTGTCTTGGGGCTGTTGCGGTTGCTGTTACCATTGAATTGGAGCTTGAAGTGCCGTGCAATGTATCGCCGCCGTTTTCCCCGCTTAGGTCTTCCATTTCCACATAGTCCTCATTGGGATCGTCCTCGGCCAAAGATTTTCGGCAAATGGGACAGGTGCTGTGCAGATTCAGCCATGGCACAATGCAGTTTTCATGATATAGATGCGAGCAAGGCAGTTTGCGCACTGTCTCATCTAGCTTAAAATCATCCCAGCAAATCGAGCACTGCATCTTACGTTCCACTTCCTCGGCGGTGACTTTAACATTTGGTATATCATTGATTCGCTGTACGGATAACGGCGGCGGTCCAGAGGTCTCCATTTGATTGAGCATTTGCGTGACAATGGTGTCTAGACCTTCGCGTCCCCACGCATAGTCCCCGGGATTTCCCATAAAAAACATGTGCGAATTCCCAGTACCTGCGCCAGGTCCGGTTACTATTTCCGCTGTAGCTCCACTCAAGGGCAAGCTCTGCAAGAAGTCAAACAGAACATTGTCTAAACGATCCAAGTGGTGGGGCCTCCTTGCACCACCAGCGCTACCACCACCAACTGAGCCACCGCCACTAGCACTGGCACTACTACCCGATGGCCCCAGCGGCAAGTGGACAACGTTACTGTGCCGTCGATTTGGTTCGATGGTTATCTCCAAATTGGGTACATTTCGCATATTAAGCAACGATACTATGTCATTGCGCAGCGACTCGACATTTAAATGAGCACCAATACCACCAACACTGCTACCACTGCTATTAGTGCTGGTGCTGCTCGAAGAGCCGTTGGTCGATCCGCTTCCGCTTAGACTGCTGCCACTGCCACTGGTGGATGCAGACGTGGTCAGCTCTCGAGCGGGCAGCTCTTCAACAAAGCCATTCGCACACAGTGGACAAGTGTAGTCGGCATTTGGAATGTTGATCTCCACATTGCACATGTGACAGAAGAAACGTTTCGGCACTGCGGGGCGCTCCTCGACAACCATAGCCTCAGCCATTTTCGGCGTCTGTTGAACAACAAAAAGACACGTATATATCTAGGCATATATGTTTTTTTTAAAGATGCATATCTTTTATCTGTTTATTTATTGTGCAATTTGCAATCGGTTACAGGGCAGACCCCGAGCCTCGTCTTACCAGAAATTGCTGTGGCTATTGGGTTGTGGTTGTTGTTCTTTATGCTGGGGGTTGGGTGCCTGATATTTGCTGTTGGTGTATTATTTGATTTACTGCGACGATAAGTATAAAATATGCACGGCAAGCTCCACCTCAAACATTTAGTTGCTTGAACATACGAGAATTTTATACAATTTTAGTTAAATTCTAAAAATAAGCAGGTGAGGCCGAAACGAAATAGTTCTGCCAATTTGCGTAGAGTTGCCAGACGGAAGCGACGCAGACCTAACACTCACAAATGTGCTATATATACGTATACTTTTAAAATCATTCACATCAGTTTTTCTTTTCAAATATATAAAATTACTCGCATTTCACAATACTAAATTAATAGCAAGTTTTGAAGGAAAAGTGAAGAATTTTTGCAATCGGATTAAGGCAAAACTACAGCTGAGCCGGGGCACTGCCAACTGGGGTGGAAATGTGACGGGGCACATTTAATTGAAAAGCTTGGCAACGCCGTTTTGTACGCCAGAAACAAAAAGTCATCATCAGTGGAGCGGCATTTAGCAATTTAGTTTGCGGAGAAAATTTAATTTTTTGTAATTTAATTTAGTTGCAAACACAGCTAAAATGTCCATTTTGGCCTATAATGGAGGTTGCGTGGTCGCCATGCGCGGTAAGGACTGCGTGGCTATTGCCACAGACCATCGTTTTGGCATTCAGGCCCAAACTATTTCGACTGATTTTAAGAAGGTGTTTAACATTGCTCCACGCATGTTTCTGGGTCTGACCGGCTTGCAAACCGATATACTAACGGTCCGGGATCGTGTCATGTTCCGTAAGAATTTGTACGAGACGCGCGAGAATCGCGAAATGGCTCCCAAGCCTTTCTCGGCTATGCTTTCGAGCTTCCTCTACGAGCACCGCTTTGGACCCTACTTCATAGAACCGGTTATAGCTGGACTCGACCCAAAGACGTTTGAGCCATTCATTTGCAACATGGACCTGATTGGTTGCCCCAATGTGCCTGACGACTTCGTTGTGGCCGGCACCTGTGCCGAACAGTTGTACGGCATGTGCGAAACCCTCTGGCGCCCAAATCTGGAGCCCGACGATCTGTTCGAAGTTATTTCACAGTCCATGTTGAACGCCTTCGATCGCGATGCTATGAGCGGTTGGGGTGCCACAGTCTACGTTATTGAAAAAGACAAGATTACAGAGCGCACACTGAAGACTCGCATGGATTAAAGAGCGGAGCACAAATTCAATGGCAGGGTTCATCTATTAATTTGATAACTTAATATATGTATCAGTTACACGACATATGAAATACACAAAATTTGTAAGGTATGATGTCTTCTATTTTTATTTGAAGTTCTCATAAGTTATTCCTCTGGCCACTCGATGCTCTTTTTGGCCATGGCTAGCGCAGCCTCCTTGGTTTTCGCCCCACCAATGAATCCGGAATGGTGCACAAATATTAGGCCCTCTATTTCTGCTAGGGTACTCAGTTCGTCATCGCGTAATCCTCGCCACACGGTGGGCAGGAACTTGCGGCCAAGAAAACTGCCAGCTGATAAAGGGACGCCTGCCACCCTCCAGCTTGTGCCGTCGTTGAATAGAACCAACTTTGGCACACCCTCAACATTATATTCCTTCTCTAAATCAGCCAGGTGGGCCTTCCAAGGAACGAACGTTTGTAGGATAAGAATTTCCCCGGTGGGATGAACAGACTTTGCTTCCAGAAGTGCTGAACGCACATGATCGCGCGCTTGAATCCACGAGCAAGCCACTTCCAATACATTTCCGACAAACTCGTTACCCGCCATTTCCATTGCTTGGTAAAAACGTTTGTCTATATCTACATTCGTCTCATGCCACGATGGGTTCAGGCGGCCTACGCGCGCTGATAAATGCGTTGAGATTTTGTAGCGTGGCTCGGCACCATCAAACAACGGCACGCCATTGTCAATGGCATCCAGTTCGCTTATGAAGTTGCGATAGATCTGCACGAACGCCAGTTTCAGATTCTCTGCTGACAGCTCTATACCGCGTTGCTTTTTCAATATACTTTGAATGACTTCCTCGCCATAATGGGCATAAACTAATCCGGCGCTACTCAGCCTTAAAAGAGTCAGAGATGTTAAAAACGCTCAAACAAAATCTGGAATTTGTAATACATTTTTACCTTATGTCAAACTCCTTGCCCAATTCTGGACGTATGCTACTCAAGGTGTCCTGAAAAGACTTCTGGTGATGATCGAAGAGTTTCTTTTCGGGATCAAATTCACTGCCAACATCGACAATAATATCGCACTTTTCTCGCAAAAGCTTATCATCACGACTTCGTAAAATCTCTGCGTTCTCATACTCCGGTAGCTGCTTTAACATGAAACAAGCAACCACTTCATCACAGTGGAAAGTCCCATTATGGGTTCCAATAACGGGCGTTGAAAGAGCACGTTTTGGTGGCGTTACTTCGGTCATTTTGAAACGATGCGACGATAACTTTATGGGCTCAGTAGCTGAAATGAAGCAATAAATATTACTGTGACTTTATTATTTTTCTTCTTATTACAATTTACTTAGAATAGCACCAAAACGCGGCAAAATTCTGATCAACAACCTCATTTCCTACTAAATACGGCCAGCTTATTGGAAATGGGTTGGAGAGTTGCCACTCTGAAACATTGCAATTATTTCCAACACTGGCAAGACATTAACGGTCAAACATCGTGTACTTTAATAATACGAATTTAAAATTATGAAAGCAGCTTTGCCTAATTTAAATTAAAATGTTCTGAAAAAGCATCATCAACAAAGCCTAAAATAATTATAGACATTTATTACAGGATATAATTGTACCAAGCACAGTCGGCTGTTGATTGTATGTGCGTTTGCCTCTGTTGATTTGTATAATTAACAGTTACTGGCTAATTGCTTGCGCAAAATTTATTGCTCACAGTTGTGGTTTTTGGACTGTTTATTAGAAATTCATGAGACGAAATGGCTAAAGCTTGAAAATATTCTACCCAGGCTTTCAGTGCGCAGACTTAACTCACAATAAACGCATGGATAGTAGATTCACGAATAAATACCGCTATTTGGATCACTAACGAGCTACCAATTGCAAAAGCGAAATGGCCGAGGCCCGATTGCGCAGAAATATAAGCCGCCATGTGCCCACAATGTAAGCCATCAAGAAACTCAGAGTCATGCTCGAAATTAATTTTTAAAACGAATGCAATTATTATGAGTGCGTAAAGAAAAACTTTCAAAACCGTGCATGTTATCGCTTATATAATCAGCTACTGTACTAATTCATTCATATTCCACATTTCCGTTAGTTACAAATATTTTCTGTATTCGAGAATACAAATCATTTGAGGAGTAACTGAGTATGTTTGGATATATTATACAGTGTCTGACAGCCTGCATCAATTAATAAAGCAAAAATGTGCATACATAAATCAACAGCGATCACGTGTGCCTTTTTGGTATACAAAAAAAAATCCGTTTAAATTTAAATAAGCTTTGTTTGCGTTTATTCCCATGACCTTCGATTGCATGCGAGTTCGAGTTCGGAAATCGACGGCTGTTCAAATAAAATTGCATAGCGGTTTTGTAACCTATGGATGTATGTAGACAGGCAGGTGTGTGTGCGTTTCTCTTTATGTGTGTGTGTGCGTATGTGTCTGTTTGTAAACCCAACTTAGCGTCGCGCTTTGCTATTACAACAACAACAATAAACTGGCCAGGCAAAACAAACTCGTTTTCTAATGCAAACAAAACGCAAGCTAAATCAAATTTTGTTTTCACTGAAAATAAGCGATGCCAATAAATGGATATTTGAAGACGAAAAAAAAAATTGGTTAAAAACTAGCTCTAAGCTAAATTGCTAATTAAGTAGAAATATTTTACGAAACTCAAAATTGTTGTTCACCGCGAAGGCCCATCGATTTGACTAAATCCAATGGAAATATGAAAATTGGATAGCGTGCCAAAAAAAATGGAAATTTTTCACACTTGGCCTAATAAATGTATAATTACGCAGATGGTCAAAATAATATGTACACTTTCATATTTTTTAATTTGTACTGAAACAAAATCGCTTAAATTATTTTCGCTTTAATTGTAGCATTATAGCAATACCTTAAAAAAATAAGTCTTCAGTCTTGAGTCAGCCGGATTCACGCACACTTAAGTAGATTTCAAATGCGATTCGAGACCGCAATTTCTCTATAAAATTTTGAGAGATGGAAAACTTAGTATGAATTAACTAATTGCTAATTAATGTACTACAAAAAAACAAAAACAATAAAGCATCTGCTGGGACAAAGATTTAAAGAAGCTTTAAGGGGAATCTTAATTATTTTTAAAAAAATCCCATAGTTAACCTTCATTTTACATTTACATTTAATGATAGTGTATTTATTGCTCTGACCATCTGTGTAAACGTACATATGTCACACCTTTTTAAAAATAAATACATCAATTGTCTCCAACACGTCAATTCTAGGCTAGAGGTAATCTCTCTAGAGGTAATCTCTATAAATTGGCAGACAATTTCCAAACAAAATGCTGAATAATAATAATAATAATAATTGACGCGACAAATGGGTATGTGAGAAGTGGCAGACAGAGTAGCTGAAACCAATTAGCCACATAATTCATAAATAGGCATGCAAATCATTGGACTGAAAAGAAACCTGCGCTCTGTTAGCCTCCATTGCAGGGTAAATGACACTTGGAGTGGTTCTGAGATTACGCGCTAAATGTCAGCGACACTTATCGCTGCAGTTTGCTTTTCTAATATTGAAGAAGCGATTTCCATTTTGCATTTTGCATTGTTGTAAAGATTGTCCGATGAAGACTTGAACTTAAGGCCCGCTTGCCGCTTTCTCTGCAGCTCTCGACTCTGCCGCCAGCATTTTGACGTCAACAACGGCAACGTTTTTTTTTTAAATTACTGCTCAGTTTTTTCCTCTTTGCAGCAGGCCGATTGATTTTATTTATTCGAAATTTAATGGAAGATTAATTTTATGTAAACTGTACAGTTGTTGTTTGTTACGAACCGGTTTGCTGTTTGGGTTGATTTTTAGCGTACTATACTTTAACTATTTTGGCTTTTTATTTTTGCTAACTCTTTTGTAGCGTACACCCTTTTAAAGCCGGCATATTGATTTGACTTCTTAGTGAGACAGACTACCATTTGGGCTGTTTCCAAATAATTGAAATTTCTTATTTCATTAATTTCATTAATTTCATTTGCATTTGTAAAGTTTTTAATGATTTTAGCTAATGCCAATCTATTTACTAGTCTACCCTAAACAATATTTTGTTTTTATTTTGTTATTATTTTGTTATTAGCTTGTTTTATGGTAAAAATTTAATGTGTAAAAAAGTATACCTTTACGAATTGCCCTTTGACTTATTTAGAGTTTATTTTAAAAAAGCCATATTATTAAATAAGGTTGTGTAATAAATTTAAATAAATTTTTATTTTGAATAACGCTTTAAATATTAGATTATTAATATTATTTCGGGCTATCACTTAAATAACGCTTTAAAAATTAAGATTATAAAATGCTTTCCAGCTAACATTTGAAAAAGTAAATGTGCCTTAACAGTCTGTTAAATTTAACATTTAATGATGGACCAAATTTTTGTAATGTTCACTTTCTCACATTTTGGCGTGATATTTCATGTATATACCGGTATTATCAAGTAATAGTAACTGCTTCAGCGAAGTGTATAAAAGCGTCGTTCGTGCACAGTTAGCTTTAAATTCTTTGCCATTTGCGCACCTCTTTTGTTAATGTTATTTCCACTGCCCCACAAAACGTGAAGGCGCTAACAATGCAGCAACAAAACAACAACAACCAATAACATAAACATACGAACTATCCCCACAGCCCCACAACCACCCGCAACCAACATTTTTTAAGCCATTCACAATCAAACGAAAAATGTACGTCTACAGCGCAGCCAGCTGCGGAAGCGGCATCAGAGACAGAGAGAGAGAGAGAAAAAATGGTTGTTATTAAGCTCATGCTGAGGCCGAGCCTCATCTGAGCTTGAGTTGCTGTTTCAGTTTGTTTTGACTGCGCGACACATGAAGATGTTTGCATGAAAGGCGGCGCATTTTCCAACACTGAAATACCGTAAATGACGTGCCGTTTAAAATTGAACAAAACAGACGTTCGAAATGATTAGAACATGCAAAAACGTAGCCCGGTTGTTATTTTGGCATCAATCAAATCACAAAACAAACTTAAATGCACAGAACAAATATGTAACTGCAATCAATCAAAGTGTGCAATTAAAAGAATCTTATTACAAACCTTAATCGGCTGCTGTCTGTGGCCACTTATTTCCATAAATTGTTACGACCAAGTGCGGTTGACTGTTTGATATTTACTTTATGTTACAAACCGCGATTGTGCCTCTAACGCGATCTTACAGTTTCCCGCTCAAATGCATAAATTAATACAAATCCTATAATAAATAAATCGAACTAAAAGACTGCATAACTAGTTTTTGACGGGGGAACCGTAGTATTTTAAAATAATAATGTATTTAAGAGCAAACACATTCACGTGCTCTTAAGCCTCTAAAAATGTGTGTTGTGCCAGTTGGTCCCGGGTACCAAGAATAACTTCCAAATGGAACAGCAGTAAAAAATAAAAAAAATAAAAAAACTGTGCGGAGCAATAACAGCAACAACTAGAAACATAAACATTAAGTTGATTTATAGCCGGCGGCCAGACAAAAGACAAATATTACATTTATCTGTATACATACTTTTGTGAAAGGTGCGCATCAGATAAATGCGGATCATTAGATCATGTGACCAAGCCAGCCTTATAAGCAAGCCTCATAAGCATAGGTTAACAGGCTAAGAGGTTGCTAGTTTAGGTGTGGTATTTAACGAGCTGGAAGGGTCATCATTAAAGCAATTGCGAATTACACAAGTGAATTTTGCTTGGCTTAAGTTAAAGTACAATTCATGTAACATTTAAAAGTTCGTTGCCAAAATGTTGCCCATCCACTTGTCCTACATGTCTCTGGAGTCGAGCGAACTTAACCGGTTTTATTTTTGTTTTTACCGGTACTCGCAGACATGACGCTTCTCTTACTGCGACCGTCAGCTGAGCTGTGGATATGAATATTTTTATTTGCATAAAGACATACTTTACGGCGAAATGCTCGACACTTGCGAATAGAATTTCAAAAATTTATTATATAAGTTGTGAATAATGTCGGCCATTTACCTCTCGCCAATTTAAAACATATAACTTGATTTCGTTTTCTTTAAATATCTTGAAATATTAAACATGCCCAGGCAAGCTAATAATTTTTAGTTTAATGTGCTCCAAAAATGCTGATTGTGTATTCTAAATGGCAGACCACCTTTTGTTATTTTGATTTCGTTTGAGGTACTATTTGTAAGGTTAGTAAATGTGTCCAGGGCCACAGCTGCTGAGTAAAGTATTTCTTACAAAAAAGTATTTCTTCAATTAAAAATTCTGTTTTCTAACGTCAGATATTTCTGCATCAGATTTAGTTGTTCTTCCTTACTAGCTTTTAAAATGAGGAGAATACATAAGATGAAATCAAGAAAGGGATCCATTTTAATTGCCATATATTTTTCAATCGGCCCCCAAATTCTTACATACGTGTCAAATTATAATCATAGCTACAAGTATATTGTACGTTGCTCTACATAAATGTTAACAAATAAATTTGCAACGTGCCTACGACATCCGGCCACAACAAAACCCAAGAAATATATTTTTGTGCATATAAACACGTAACAAGGAAAATAATTTGTGTCAAAAAGTGTGACAACAGGTGTTGCATGTTAAGCAAGAAAAGAAAAAAGTAATAAAAGGGAGAAGCGACACTCAGTGCCAAAAAAGAAAGTAATTACAAAGCACTTGAACCAAAATAAGTGAAGATAAATGAATTTACATTTTTTGAACGGCCTCTCACATTTGCAGTTTTTATTTCAAATCCTATTATTAATGGCAAAAATATGTTGGGCATGGTAACAAAAAACTGTGAATAAAACAACAATTCGAATAGTGAATGCAACGCACAAATAAACAAAAAGCACCTAATCGTATACGCTTAAGTAAACAAAGTACTTTATACATCAAGTATACGACATGAGGTTCAGTGGGAAATCAACAACAACAAATGCAAACGCAACAACGGCTGAAAAAAATGGGTAAAATAATGCTACATACCACAAAACGTAATAAACAAGTACAATTTATAACTAAAAACCAAAGTCAATGGGTAGTTTTTATTTCCGCTTGGACAATAAAGGAAATATTAACAAATTTCATTGCTATTTAAATTTTTTATATTCACTTTTTTAAGGTCAGCAAATAGTTTTGGAGTACGTTTTAAGTAACTCTTAAAATATATATAGCTATGGATTAGTCGTCGTTAATGAATTTTAAGATGATTTTTTAAACACATGCCTAAAATAGTGCTCTAGGCTACGCTTATTTTTCGCTAAGAGAACATGATTTATTTATTTTATTGAAGATTTCTGCAGAAAAATCAGAGCCAGGACACAGGTTTACTTTAATAGTGTAGTAAAAGCGGAAAATTGGAAAACTCTAACTTCAAATGAGGGAAAACGGGCTCTAGCATTTGAAAAATAATTTAACTTCTATTGTCATTTCTCAAATAAATTTATATAATTTGAAAGCTCTTTGTAAAATTATATATATAATTGTTAATAAGTACGTTCATTTAAAAAACAATTTACTATATACACAGAAAGACTCGATTGGACAAATTATAGATCAGTCAATTATATTTAATGTGTTAATTTATTTTAATGACAGCCTAAGTTATTCAAATTGGGGAAATACTATAAAGCTGCTTCCATTGCCGCAAAAAGTGCGCTTGTTTTAGCCTGAAAAGTTTGGCTTTTTATGCGTAAAAAAAAGGAAATAAATGTATAAAGCGTACCCCCCAATATGTATACATTTTATGGCTAGCTAATATTTTAAGCTGATTTTAGATTAATTTCAAATTGAAATATTTCAAAAATCATTTGAAACGAAATGCGTTTTATTTGTCTTTTGGATTCCTAAGACACATAAGACAGTAAGCAATTAATTTAATTTTTTTATTCAATTTTTAAAATAATTTATATTTTATCATTGTAGCACACTAAATGATCGTCCTTTGTTTATGCAAAATGGCAGCAGCAACAACAACAATGGACGCTTTTCCGGCATCAATGATGTGGAAGTGAGCAATTTTCGACGCGCCTTGCCACAGTTTCTAGCTGTTAGTATTAAGAACATATTGCTCTTCGGTAAATAACACACAACAACAAAACTGGAAAATTTGAATGTTGCTCAAACGGATTGGATAAATTAGCTAATCAGTTGATTTTTGTTACGCTCAGGTTATGGCATGACCCTGGGCTTCCCCACCATTGTTATTCCGGCCATACAGGGTGGCGAGGGACGAAGCGAGCATAGTGATATAGTTTTAAATAAGGAGGAGATATCATGGTTTAGTAAGTGAAATAATCAAAGTACATACATAACTATAAGTATAATATAAGCAAGAATGAAATAAAGCTGTTTTTCACTATCTTTGAAGCATAGATAAAATATATATTGAGGAAAGATTTATTTACGAAAAGTTAAATCAATATTTTTCTCTATCTTTGAAGCAAAAATGCTGTTTTTATTTTGAATCGTGTTAAATGGAATAGTGTAGTGTAAACATATATAAAATTTTTAATTTACAAACCGTGTTAAATCAAAATCGTTTAAAAAAGACCGCGTAAAAACAGAATTAGATGTAATGGATATTTCTGTAATTTTCAATATTAGAAGCATTTTTAAAAGGAATGGCAATATCTGATACTTTCAGCAAATTTAACAAAAACACAGATTTTTTTTAGATATTTTTCAAAAAGTTATTAACTATAAAAATTATAAAGAATGGGCGCTATATGGCACATTGTTAGACGTATATTGGTATTTTATATTTGCTGCAGAGATAGTTGAAGAACGGTTTCATAACATAAAAGCTGCAATCATGTCAACTAAATTATGTTTAAATCCCTTTGCTTTCCTTCAGGTTCCATAAATCTGATTTGCGTGCCCCTGGGCTGTCTCTTCTCTGGCATGTTGACCCAGCCATTGGGCAAAAGACGAGCCATGCAGGTGGGTATGCAAATAAAATAGAGTGTGGTCTACGAGTGGAACTAACCCCATCACGTGATCAAACATAGCATTGACACACTAATAGTAAAAATATAAATAAAAGCGCGTGATTTTACACCGCTTCGTTGCAAAACTATTCAAAGCTCTGTGGCTCTTCTCTTTGACAACTGATGCTCATTATTGTTTGCGTTTTTCTTTGTTTTTTCTTATTTTTTTGCAGTTTGTCAACCTTCCAATATTGGCTGCCTGGCTTTTGTTTCACTTCTCGACAAGCACCGAGCATCTGTATGCCGCTTTATGCTTGGCTGGTCTTGGAGGCGGCCTAATGGAGGCACCGGTAAGCGATAATCGTTGCGATTGCCAGTTCTGTGGCAAGTTCTAAGTGCATCCAACGTCTAGAATGTGGGGCTTGTGGGCTTGTGTTACACACTCATGGCGCGACTGACCTTCAACTGTGTGCAGCTTCAGCTGAATAGTTTGAAATTAGCCATGCTATTTAGATAAAGGCATTGCATTCCATAGCGCCTTCTAACATTCTCACTAGAACTTCCGCCTTTTGTGTATAAATTTGCATTTTTCGCACATTTACTAAAATCATCAAAAAATTCTCAGTAGCGCGTACTTAACATTTTACTCGAATTTAATATTTGATTGGGACAAGGTTTTAATTAAACGGAAGTTTTAGCAGCGGGGTTCCACAATATCGATAGAGAAGGCTTGAATTGAAGGCATTACTACTGGAAAGCAGCTTGAAATTTTTAATCTGGCTGATATATCCACGTGTTGTTAACAACGGGATGTATGAGTATCATCTTAAAAATGTATAGTCCAACATTTTTGTTTGTAAACTACTATACTTGAGCTACCATCGGCTAGAGACAAAAGTAGGAAAAATCGTTTTGGAAAATTAGGGCCACAAGTTGGATAAAGAAACGTTTATAGTTTAAATAAAATATAAAATAAAATATACTAAAAATTAATTACATCTATATTTAACATAACAGTATACTTACGTACTTATAAAGAATGAGTCATCAATTTAATTATTTAATTAATTAAATAAAGTTGTTCCTGCTTTGAATAGTCGATTGTAGGCACAATAGAATTTGTTGAGAGATTATAAAGAACTAAACAGTCTCACATTATATAACGATATCATAATGTATCTCTCTATATTCATTTAAAAGGAAATGCTAATTTTCTGGAATCATAAATCAACAAACGCTCTGAAACTAAGTTGGTTTCAATTTCAAGCGGGTTCTTATTTTATTTTATTTTTTTTAATAAATTAAATAATTTAAATTTATATTAAATTACATAAAGAAAATATTAAGATTAAATGAAAAACACAGCTATACTCCGTGCTTCTCTTACAAAACACTTAAGCAAAACCAATTGCTGATTAAATTTCATTCAAATTTCTATGACTAAATAATTTAGGTTTAAATAAAAACGCTCTCCTTCGCGCTTCTTATAGGAAGCACTTAAACGAACTTACTTCAGGAGCAAATTTTAATTTTTTCAGTGGGTTCATATTGATTTAAGAGTTCAAGATATAATTTTGAAAAAGGAACTGTGTTAAATCAATAAGTTCTTGCTGCTAAAATATGTTTTGATTGGAAGTTAGCTTTGTCCGCAAATGAATACCCATTTAAGAGTTTCTTGTTAGGGCGACTTGAAAGCTTTCGAGTCGCATACGAAAGAACAGAGACATAATGTCTATCACGACTCTTTCTACCTGTTTATACATTTCACCTTTCTTAGTATAACATTTGAACCCTCAGGAACAAGGTGTAAAAAAATTAAAAGTTCATTGTTTAGAAAACTGAAGTTGCAGCAAGAAATTGTATAACTAATATCTAACTTATCCATTCAAAGGGTCAACCGAAACGACGAATTTTGTATACACAAATATTATTTAGGAATCGAACGTATCATCAATAAATTGAATAACTTTTGGAAACACTTTCTATTTCTTAGCATATATTATTTTTAATAGAATATATCGCTACTATACTTGTATTTCTATAAAAGCTAGGTTTCTTCCGTATCTGCCACCATAGATCTTGAGCTCAGCCAAGATAGTTCATACTCGTATAACAGAAATTGTTGCGATATGTTGTCATTGTTAATGACTTTCAATCCATGAACAGCTCAAGGTCGTATGGTATAAGTGCAATCTTCAACTTGAAATCTTTTTGCAGGTGCTCACCTATGTGGCGGAGATTACGGAACCAAAGTATCGCGGCATTCTGTCGGCTTTGGGGACCACTTGTGTCATCACTGGCGTTTTTGTGCAATTCATACTGGGCTCGCTGATGGACTGGCGGAGTGTGGCGGCGGTTAGCTCGGCCTTTCCAGTGATTACCATCATAATGCTGTGCTTTGTGCCCGAGAGTCCGATTTGGCTGATACGCGAACATCGTTTTCATGAGGCCGTCAAGTCGCTGCAATGGCTGCGGGGTTGGGTGCCCGAGCACATGATCGAAGAGGAGTTCAATCGGCTGTACGATGAATTGATTACTCAGAAGGCCATTGAGGAGGCAGAGGAGAACGGTGGCGTTGCGCCGCCGGAGGGCGCAAGACGAACCCTCAAGAGCCGTCTGCGCATGTGGAAGAAACGCACCTTCCTCGCACCCTTCCTGCTCGTCTCCTTCACCTTCTTCACCGGCCACTTCTCCGGCAAGACTCCTCTCCAAACGTATGCCGTACAGATATTTCATACTTTGAAGGCGCCCATGAATAAATACCATGCCACGATCCTACTGGGTGTCGCCGAAATGTTGTCCACCATACTGGGTGTCGTACTCATACATTTTACCGGCAAGCGACCGCTGGTGCTGATCTCGACGGTGGGCACGGGTCTGTGCTTCTTCGGCACAGCCACCTATGCCCATTTCCTTAACGATGTGCCCGGCTTTACTGTCAACAATGTGGTCGTGAATGCCTCGGCAATTGTGCCCAAGGAGAATATCATCTCGCAGGCGAACATCTCGCGAATCTTTGAGAGTGAGAAGCAAGCGCTGAAGCAGGAAGTCACCACCATACCGCCGGATCTGGAAACTACTACCATGTTAGATTGGCCGGAAGGTACAACGGAATTCCCCTCGTTGAATCGCAGCAAGCGCGAGGATGTAGAGAGTCTGGATTATGGAGAAAGAGGCACCACGTTCTCATCGTCTACTCTAGATCTATTCGATTCAGATGAGACTGGCATTACCAGCACATTGCAGCCGCAAGAAGACGAACTGGAAGAGACAACACTTATCCCCCAGAAGGCCCCAGCGCCCATTCTCGCAAAGTCCACAGAAATAACACCGTCCAAGAAGCCGGCCATCGCAGAGGATCTGCTTTTAACTGTGCCCCAACAGAAAACCAACTACCTTGTCTGGCTGCCCCTCATCCTGCTGCTGCTCTCCGCATTCTTCTCTCACTTGGGCATTCGCATGATACCATGGGTCTTGATCGGAGAGGTATTTCCTGCCGAGATTCGAAACAGCGCCTCTGGATTTGCTGGTGGAGTTGGATACGTTTTTGGTTTTCTGGCCAACAAACTGTTTCTCGTCATGCTTGCGGCCCTGACCTTGCCGGGCACATTTCTTTTCTACTCATGTGTAGCCTTCGTCGGCACAGTGGTCCTGTACTATACCCTACCCGAGACCGAGGGTCGCACATTAGGTGTAAGTATCTTCGTCAGATTATTCTTAGTTCTACTTAAGATGATGTTAAAGAATGTAGAATTTAAGCAGAGAAATCTTAGGTGTAATTATCTTCGTCAGAATATTCTTAGTTCAATTTAACGTAAGATGATGTTAAAGAATGATTAATTTAGGCAGAGAAATCTTTTGTTTCTTCAATATTCGAATTCTTTATCTTAATTTTTTGACTATATATTATGGTCAGCATGAGATTCTAAATTTCTCTAATCTTGGTCCGTTTGTCTTTTCAGGAAATTGAAGCGCATTTTTCAAAGAAAACCGATTTTAATTTATTGGACAAGCCGAAGGGAACGAACGATGCTGAAAAGAACAATGCCATCCATTTGGGGAACCTGCAGAACCTTCAGATGCCCATCAGTCCGAACGCTGCAAAGATTATTCATTTACAGCAGAGCGATTTTGTGCCTCAGCGTCAGGGAGTCAACAATTTGGCTTTCGAAGAGAACAATACGACGCATTTATAATCAGTTGCAGAATTGAAGCCCTTGATCAATTCATCAACCAGCCCGACCATCTCCATTTTTATTACGTGATATACTTACATATGTATGTGGAAAATAAAATTCAACTTACTATATTACATTCATAGCTATCCCTGAATCAATTGTCAAACATTCCTCATACTAGAAATATAAAGTATTTTGTTCATTACAATAATGGAACGTACTTTCGTATTGATAAAACCTGAAGGCGTCCAACAAGGACTGATTAATTCTATTACTGAATTTTTCGAGCATAAGGGCCACAAGATGGTGTGCATGAAGTTCTTAGAGCCTTCCACGGATCTGCTGAAGAAATATTATGCTAACTTGGCTGGGAAGAGTTTTTTGCAAGACCTATTGAAATACATGCGCTCCGGACCAGTCATCCCCATGATCTTTGAAGGTGAGAATGTTGTCGAATACGGACGGGAAATTTCGGATGCATTGGGTTCTGATGACAAGGGACGCCGTTTAGTTCATGCTGCGGCTAGCATTGAAAAGGCAGAGCAAGAGATTTCCCTCTGGTTCGACCAGACACCGGGGTTGGACCAGATCGCTAATTGAAATATTGAACATTTTCCATCTACACAATTGCTTCTTCTTGTTTATACAACTTGCCTAATAATTGGACTACTCTAACGTATCACTATAACATATACCATTGGGACGATATTTCAAGATATTTCTAAAAAACGCTCTGATCTGAAAACCTGAAAACGTAAGTGAAAACTTCCCATTATTTTTTAAATAATTGCAACAAACAAATCCCGCAGGTTATCGAAAATACTAGAAAGCAACTACATATCGATAGAAATATGTGAATCGGCGGCAACGTTAGCAACATTTTTCGATTTAAATATCAAAGCCAAACATTAGCTGTTATTATTATGTCGAAAAGAAAGGGAATCCAAAATTGATTTTAAACAAATTAAATAAAAATAAGCGATGACAATTAAAAACAAAACATCCAATTCCTACGAAATGGAGTTCGCTGCAATTTGTAAATTTATGGCTGGAATTATTATTTGAAAATATATGCACTCATATTTCTTTGCTGGGCAATGTTAAATCACACCTGTTAATTGAACAAATTTAACACCAGACACTATAAATCGTATGCAAAGCGCAGGTTCAAATTAATGGTGTGCACGAGCGCACGCTTTCCTTTGTTCGGGCTGTCGTCAGGTTATAAAGTGAACAATGCTTGAAGATATTTATTGCTTTTAGTAAATCGATTTTAACAAACTATAAATTATTACATATTCCTCTAACATAATAAATTTGTCATTCCTTTAAGAACAATGGAAGTTTGCGTTGCACTCGAATGTTAGCAACAATGTTGCAAGCAGCAATGTGTCACAGCACATTGTCTCAATTGTTGCCAAGCATTGTAGTTGTTGCATAAGCATTTGTTGCCAGAAAAAGTATACATGCTGCCATTGTCTAATTGGGGGAACTTTCAATTATTTAAGTAATATTTACAAAAGACAACTATTACGTTAAAAATGAATAAGAAGAACTGTGGAGACTCTATGGAATTTTTCTTTAAGCCCAATGAGTGTTGTCTCTCAGCAAGTCATGTATTTAAAATTAGAATTGTTTATGCCCAAATTATTCGTGCTCCGATACTTTTTGCTGATAATTTATTTTATTATATATATTTTTAAATCTCACATTTTTATTGTTTCTATACGTTTCGAAATTGCATTTACTTATTATTAACATGTAACTAGCTTGATGTATTTGTTAATGTTAAATTATTATTGTTACTCTGCGTTATAAAATAGATAATTCCAATTCAATTAAAAACAGAGTTCGTGACAGGTGCACACGTTTTTTTTATTACATATAAACGAACACATATTTTGGCAAAACAACGTCTGTGTGTTTCCTTTTGCTTTTGTTTTTTGTTCGACAGTTTTATGAATGAAGTGAAATACAGAAATGAGGACGGAAATGTATTGATAAAATGAAACGTGAAGGAAAAAACTAAATATGTACTTAAAAACTGGATGAGGATATTAAAATTTGATCGGAACGAAAACTTGTTTAAAACTTAAATACGTATATACAAACAGACATATTGTGTTTCGAATTCTAATTCCAGAGAATTGTGCCACAAATCTCCTGCATTACATTTTACTTAAATGTTTTAAGGACCCACCCACACGCATGTATATTTAACGATGATTTTTTAGTTGTGTTTTGGATAATTACAAAAAGCGCTACTAACTAATCCATGAAAATAAAATCTCAACGGCTCTAAAGGTAAAACCCTATTACTAAATTTTCACTATCGTGTTTATATTTAAACTTAAATATTGGCTTGATGCTTCTTTTTAACTTTAATACTACGGCCAGCTTTAAATACTCCTATGTAAGTATATTTTATGGTTTATGTTCTTTCGTTCTTTCACTGTGAAACTTAAAGCCAATGACACACACATTTACATATGCGTATGTATGTATGAAGGTAAATATATGTATGTATGTATGTATTGATGCATGAAAGGTGCTGTTTTAATTTCCCCTCTTAAGCTTAAAACGTCAATTCATGTTATTTTTACTGAATAAAGACTCTCCTAAATTAAAAAACTTGATACTTATAATCTAAAAATACATACGTATTAAGAGAGAATATTAGTGTTAAATTGTTTGTTTGTGTTTGCGTGATTTTCTTTTTTGTGTTTTTTCTTCTTTTTTTGTTTAAACAGAGAACACTCAGACTTCCAGTTGTTTTGATGGTGGTTGCGTTATGAATGGTTCGCTCCACATGCGACGCAAGTCACCCTAAAAATAGATGAATAAGTGAGTATAATATTAAATAATAATGATGAGTGGTTACCTTCAAGTAGGCCATCAACAATAGTGGCAATAACGTAAACGGCACTAAATATAAGAGGGCAGGTTGTGCGGCCTTGAACACCTCCGAGCTAACCGTAGCCGTTAACAGACCCAAGAAATAACTAAAAATGCAAAACATTATAGAGATGGTTACGAAAAGAATACAAGTATATAAATGTGAATTACCCCAATAAGGAACAATGAAAATATGTCAACTTGGAGCCGACACCTTTTGGCGGTGGTAGCGTTGGATCTGATGTCACACCCTGCGATTTCTTGTAGGCATCATAGCGGAGTACGAAACATAATAGGAGGCCGGGCATAACTACATCTCCCAGCCCGAGCATCGAGAAGTGGCCACTATTGTGTATGCTTGGAAAAACTAATTTGCCCGGCAAATTCAGCTTTGGTGTGTCCCTCACAATTCCGCCCAAATTCAATTTGCGCGCAACTATGCCCACAGGATTCTCGGCAGGACGTGTGGCCACCTTAACCATCACGTTTGTGCTAAATATGTACGAGGAGAAGAACACCCAGAATACATCGTAGATGAGCAGCCCTGTCAGCAGCAGTGTAGAAACTTTCAAGCTTGGCAAACGGACAAAGGCAATAAATGCTACGCAGAGACCCATGCCCATTGCTGTAAAGAGAAAAACAAAACATGGTACAGTGTTAAATGATGAAGGAATTCAAGGGCCACTCACCATCCATGAGCAGCCAGTGCCCGGTTAACACCCAAATGCATACAATGGATACGGAGAGTGTAAAGCTGAAGAGCTCGGCTGCCGTAAATCGTCCGCAAATGCCAAACGAGATGCGATTGCCGTCCGTGCACGGCCGTATAATGTACTGGCACATTGGCAGCAGCAAGAAGGCCAACGCAACGGTTGCGATAACTTAAACGAAACAAATTGCGACAATTTCTTTTCAGGTATTTCCTTATATCAATATTTTAGATACTTACTGGCCGTACACACGGCAAATAGCAGCTGCATTGAATCGAAAAAGAAGAACATGATCAGCAGGGAAACCGAGGCGCCCAACGGCAGGCAGAGGGCATGCATTGTATCCAAGGTGGCAAACTTATCTGCTTGAGTAATTAAATGCAAACAGACAATAATTAATGAGCAGCTTTCTAAATTAGAATAGTTCACATCATTTGTTACTTACTTGGCTCTTTCTCAACTTGCTCGCCTGTCAGCAAATTTGTCGTCGATTCGTTGCGCTTCTTTTGTTCGCGCTCCCGCGCCTCCTGCTCGATATTAAGACTACGAAAACTGCCATAAACAATGAGCAGCATCGATATGAGACACGTGGAGACGCGCGAAGAGTCCATAACACTCGACACGGTCCAGTGTACTTCACGATATTCAGTCGGAGCACCGCCCAAGCCACCACCTCCACCACTGCCGTGCGACATGCTCACCAACCACCAATCCTTGTCACCAAGGTGGCAAGCGCACCTTTCTTCCTTTCTCACTCACGCTGCTGCCTCTTTCTTCTTTCAACTTTTCCCTCTTATCAGGCCTCTTGCGGTTCGCAGATTTTCTCCTTATCCGACCGGCAGAGTCGTGCCCTGCACCGTATCGCACGACTCAGTTTCTTATCTTCAGCTTGTTTGGTGTCTTCTCGGACCCGCTCGCCTGACTGTGTTCATGAAAACAAATGAAGAAACAAATACATGTATCATATGATAAGCGATGCGCCGCAAACAAAAATTTGATTCAGTAGTGGGACGGTCTTATCTAAGCCCTCGATGTAGCGGACAGCTGCTCTCTTACTCTTCTTTTTATTTGTACAAATAGCATGTTTGATTTGATAAAAATACTAGATGGCAGTCGTGTGGCAGATGCAGAATTTATTCTACACATATGTACATAAAAAACTGACTTATCTATATTCAGGGCTAAGAACACTTAATCACTTAACATTTTACCTGCACATGGGCGAAAAATCGTTAAAAGGGCATAAGTGGGAATCTAAACTAGGCCCACAAGTGGGGAAAAATTGTGGTCAAATTTTGAAAATGATGCCCTAAAACTAGTTCTTCATTAGCATTTATTAAAGACAACTAAAATGTAAGCTTATTTGGTTAACATTTGGGGATTAATTGGATACCAGTTCCAATGTCTTTATCCAGATACAGCCTGATTCTAACCCTAACTCTCATGTTTCACAAAAATTCATTGCAATTTTTTAAAATTTTTCACGATAACACCAGCAATTACTTTTTACCATATTTTTCTCACGATCACGATTCACCGCATACTACTATTTTTCAGCGGGTATTTCTGTGCTACTCGTGCCGTCAATTTATTCTATGTACAATGTACATACATATGTTTAACTGTATGTATATGAATGAATTTAAATATGTTCGTTTGTTGTTTCTTCAGCTTCTCTATGCACCACATTCAGTAATTCCCACACGTTGCACGTTCTTAATTAATGTAATAGACCGCCGCCGCCCTAGCTCGGGCTTTTGTTTTTGAATGCTAATTATAATAAAGAAAAAAACAACAAAGTTGGGGAATAGTAAGAGAACCTAAGTCGACCTAACTAGCCAAAACAATGTTTTAAAGCACTTTCTAATTTGAAGCAGTCTGGGCTGACCTATTAGCAAGAAATGACTTTGTTCACACATACATACATATATGTACATATATATATTTTAATGCACCGTCCAGAAAAATTGGTTGGCCGTGGCCCTAAGTCTACTGCCCACATTAACATACAAACCCACACTCACACGCATCTATCTGATGTGAAAGTGAAATTACGTTAATAACAGAAGCAATTGTTAACACAAAAAAACCTGAAGTGTTTAAAAGACGGCGCTCCACAAAATAAACATTATTATTATGCAAAGCTTATGCTCAAAGTTTTCGGATTTTTGCTTTCTTTAATGCATGTATGTATGTATGTATGTACGTATGTGTCTCCCAAACATATCTACGTTTATATATTTACATACATATGTATGTAAATATTTCGCAAGTGCGCAACATTAGCAACAACAACAGCAACAACGAAAACACCAACACCACCTCACAAAGATTCCGGCAGCACGGTGGAGAGGGTCAATAGACTGTGTATGTGCAACACTTGAGAAATTTCATATACCGCCAGCAACAACCTTAAAGCGCAAGCTAAGCTTTTCAGTTTTTTTGTTCGGTTACACTTCACTTCACTACCGCACCGCTCCACTGCGTAACTAAATTACAAGACACACAAATACGCATACACATAAAGGTGCTGTGCACACACAAATTAGTTGATGAAACAGGCGAGGAAGGGGTGGGTAGTGATTGTATTTAATTAATAAAACTTATTCACACTGTCATCTACTGGGCCCAGCTTGTTTAAATTTCATTGCATTGAAAATGTTGTATACTATTTGTGGCACCAACCATTTGCTTACTTTGCTTTTTGCTTTACATTTGCTTTCGCATTGAGTATTTTTGCTTTTCTTTTATACCGAAATTCGTTTGCTCTACATGTCGAATGATGTTTCCTTTTTTGCTATTTCGATTCCTCTCTTATTCACGAATTGTTTTAAAACATTTTGTACTTAATTATTAAATATTAAACTTGCATTTTGCAGTTTTGTTTTGGTAGTGCAGGAATTACAACAAACATCATGCTAATGGAAACCTAGCAGTGTTGCTATATCTGTACAGGTACGAGGTATTTTAATACTAAATCGATATTATGTGTATTTTTGCGTTTTTATGCAACACACTTTATCGGTCATCGGTTAAAAGATCTTTTTTTAATATCAGATATGAAGCAGACAGCAACTTTATTATCTTAAATGCATTTAACCTGAGAATGTTATGATTGAATTCATTAATAATAAATGATTCCGTCAATCATAAAAATACCGAATTTATTCATGAGTATTGCTTAACTAGCATATTCCTTGAGTATAGCACCTGCCGTCACCAAACGTTGTATCTCAGAAGTGCCTTCATAAATTTCAGTGATTCGAGCATCACGATAGTGTCTTTCCGCAGCCATATCAGTTACATAACCCATTCCACCTAACACTTGTATGGCCTGGTGGGCACAGAAACTCGCAGCTTCTGATGCAGCCAATTTGCCCATCGCAGCCTCTTTTGTATACGACTGCTTGTTATCCTTTAGCCAGGCTGCACGCCACGTCAGCAAGCGGGCGGACTCCACAGCTAATGCCATGTCAGCAATCTTCTGCTGTATGAGCTGCAGTTTTGATATCGGCTTTCCGAACGCTTGTCGTTTTTGGGCGTAGTCAACTGCGAGTTCCAGAGAGGCTTGTGCAATGCCCAATGCTTGACTAGCAATGCCAATTCGGCCAGCGTCTAGAGTTTGCATGGCAATCTTAAAACCAAGTCCTGGCTCACCCAAAATGTTTTCCTTTGGAATTGCACAGTCCTCGAATATCAATTGACAAGTGGAAGATCCCCGTATTCCTAGCTTATCCTCCTTTTTTCCCAGGGAGAATCCCTTCGAGTTCTTCGGGACGATGAAAGCAGAGATGCCTTTATGTGCTAATTGCTTATTCGTCGTGGCAAAAACCACCGCGGCCTCAGCTTCAAATGCATTGGTAATCCAAGCCTTGGTGCCATTTAGAAGGAAGTGATCCCCTTTATCCTGCGCAACAGTGGAGGCGGCGCCTGCATCAGAGCCATTTCCTGGTTCAGAGAGTGCAAAGCAACCGACTCGCTCGCCCGTAGTAAATGGCGTAATATAGGCGGCCTTTTGCTTTTCATTTCCATATCCAAGCAGTGGTCCGAGATAAAGAGAATTATTCACAGACATGATAACTCCTGCGGAGGCACAACCACGAGATATTTCCTCCATTGCTATTGCATAAGCAAGGTAGTCTAGGCCAGTGCCACCTGTTGATCATTTCAATATTAAATGAGCACAAATAATTCAAAGGATATCATTATGTAAAAGGATACCAACCTAATTCCTCTGGAATTGCTACAGCCATCAGACCCAGCTCTCCCATTTGCTTAATTTGTTGCGCCGGGTAGAGATGCTCTCGATCTATCTTGGACGCGATCGGAGCAAGCTCACTGTTGGCAAAGTCTCGACAAGTCTTCTGGAGCATCTGATGGGTGTCCGAGAGTGCCGATAAGGAGGCGATCTTGCGTTGTTGGCATATCGGCGCAAGGCCCGCTGGATTAACATACAAAAATAAAAAAGGATAAGAACCAAAATTTTCCATAGAAAATTTTCCATATATGTATGTATGTAGGTGCTTGGCTCCAAAGTTCACATGTCCAGATCAATTGGCGTAGGTTAAACTTATAGATATAAATGACAATTTACATATAATTACCGATTTGCAAACTTTTCCTTAGCACAGCAGACTGCATGATAGACACTTTAGGACACTTTGTAGTATACTAAACTTTCGTCTGCAAAATGGTCTACGAAGAAGCCTTCTGATTGGAACTTCTGAACCACTTATATTTAATTAATAAAATCGTGCGCGCTGAATTAGAGTGCTGGCCGATGTCATAAAAACGCTAACAATGTGCCAGACGCTAAGTTATCGATGCATATCGCAAGGAAATTCTCACGCAAGGTAAGTTTTCGCGGTCGACTCAAAATTCAGCCGTTCAAACATTGTAATTCGCTCGATTGCCAGCCAATTTTAGCTCGTATTATTCCATAATTTCCTTAGGGTTTACTTCATGGTCCAAATAATAGTAAGATGATGTAATTGAACGTTTTGCATGGATAGTAGATAGTAACAATAATGATTGGTTGTTTAACTATCATACCTGTTGATATTGGTGGTGGACCTGAAATTTTCCGATAAGTCAAATGTATTTCCCAATAAGAACGTCATTCATACCACCACTAGCTGAGGAGTTGGGCAGCACAGCAAAATATGGCTGGTGACAATAAGTTTAATCAAAACGTACCTAAAGTTAGTGCAAATTCGTGCAACATTAAAAGCGTGCGGTAACGAAAAGTTTTATCAAGAGTGCCAAGAACAGATCTAATCCATGTTATTTTATCCGCTTATGGTATATAAATGAGTCAATGCAAGAAAAACAAATTCCAATCAGATTAACTTATGGCTCCGTTGCTATACCTATTCTCGTTTTTTTTTTAAATAAACAAACCATGCATTAATATAGTACTTGTACTTTGTATATGCTGGCAGAGCAGTGTTTTCTCACAACTCGAGAGACGTTAAAACGCTTAGAAAGCTTAAATGAAAACGGTAGTGGTATTGCGCATTCCACGCATATAGCAGCAGCAGCAGCAACCAACCAACAACAGCAACAACACAGTAAAGGTAAGCGAAAAATGTACATGAGTATGAGTGCATGGGGGTGGGCGGTCGTGGCGTAGTTAGCGACGACAGCGCACTTAATAATAACAATTGCTTCATATTGTACACACAAGTCTACATACATTTATGGAGCGTAGGCAAAACGGCAGCGGCAGCCAAACCTAAAGCAGCTTTGGAGCTCTTTTCTGGGTAGGTGGTTTGTTGTAATTCATATACGTATATGTATGCATGTATGTATATACATACATATACATAGAAACATAAACACAGAGTTCTTTCTGTTTGTGACACTTACATATGTACATATATTGCGACGAACTAAGTACTGAATGAAATTAATTTGATCGTACGGCCTCGCAAATTGCTTCTTTTTGAGTTTCTAAAAAGATGTGAGTGTGCTGTGCCAGCAAAGGGCATGTGCATGTGGCAAAGTTTAGTTGCATGTAGTAACAAATATAAATGCAGTCGAACCTCGATATTTCCAACAATTAGTGTTTATCCAATGCCAAAATAGAACAAGAACCTTTAAACAACTACCACATACTATTGTTGATTAACTCATTTATTTTAAAAGAAATCTTCACATGCCCAAATTTCGTTTTTTTTTTAGTGCAAAATGTGTTTTTATTACTTAAAGCTTAAATTCTACTAAAATGAATTATCTCAAATATTATATAGAGCGTGTTTGAAACAGATAGATTGCAAAGTTCTTGATTTCGGTCTTCATTAGTGTCTTCAATACTATATTTGTCGTATTCATCATCAGAAATTTCAATGTCGTCGTTTAACTGCTAATCAATATAATTTTTTAAATATACATGCATCCGGTAATATTTTCTGAGGGCAACACCGCTAGAGGCAGGTTATCATCTGAATCTTATGCCTTATCTTGAAGAATTTTATTCAAACTTTTGTTGAACACTTTGCCATCCAAAGCACGAGTATTCCAAGAACTAGAAACTAGAAAAAAAAAATCCTTTAAAGTCAGTCAAGAGTTCTATTTTGTAAATATTAATCACACCCTGTCAATTTTCGGTCAATCGGTATAAATCGGTGTGTTTCATATTTGCTAACAGTGTCATTATTCAAGTTATAAAATATTAGAACAAATTATTTCAACTCGTTTGAACCCCATCATCAATACAAATGCCTTTAAATATGACTGTCCAATCATTAGATTTCTATTTAATTTCCCACTAATTTAAGTAAAAACTTGTAAGCTCGCAATGTTTCGTACTTTTTAAGATAAGAAAGAAAGTGTGGTGTCCTTATTACAGTACATACAAAGGGAATGAACGTAGTACTATTATGGCATTGTCCGAACTATCGAGATAGCACCGTCTAGGTATATTCCGATTGCTGAAGTCGGTGCCAGCCACAAATTCGCTCATTGCAAATTTTATTGTTAGACTAATTGTTTTGGAAATGAAGAGCTGTGGATAAAAGCTTTAAGTGGGAAGTAAACTGGGCCTTAGAAAAAACTGGGGAGATTTAAATAGGAAAAGGTATTTATAACGAATACGAGTCGCAGTCCACTAATATCCCAATGGGCCAACACCATTTCTTTTTCGTGTACAGCTTTGTTTTCTCCACCACATGTGGGCAACTAATTTGAGTGACCAATATCCAAAACACTTGTCAGACGAAGCATGGTATAAATATTTGCTTTAACGTTGCACTTTTTCTTTTGCTTGAATATTTTTTTCGCACAGTTGGAAATGGCGACAGCACGAGGAGCTCCAGACACGATTTCATTATGCTCCACCGTCTCCAGCTGCCCCGATCGCAATGGCTTCTACGGTGGCTTTCAACGCACAGACAAACCCAAGGAGCCGCTGTCGAAAGCACAAATTATTGCACGTGAAAAAAAATGGCTCTATATGATAGATAACTGGTCCATATACATGTCAAGAAATTATAAAAAGGTAATTCATACCCATTATTACATTTCAACAAGTTCTAATCGTCTTCACACCCGCACAGATTCGCGATCGCTGTCGCAAAGGGATCCCGAAATCAGTACGACCCAAGGCCTGGTTCTATTTATCAGGTGCTTACTTGCTAAAGAAAAAGAATCCAAATATCTATAAAGAGCTGCTCGAGAAACCAGGGAATCCGGCAACTATTGAGGAAATCAAAAAGGACAAACACAGACAGTTCCCGTTCCATGAAATGTTCCTGGATGAACAAAAAGTGGGACAAATCGAGCTATTTAATGTACTGAAAGCTTATTCAATATATAACCCAAAAGTGGGCTTCTGCCAAGCGCAGGCACCGATAGCTGCGTTCCTATTGATGCATCTGCCAGCGGAGGATGCCTTCTGGGTTTTTGTAAGCGTATGTGATGTGTAAGTGCTTGAAAATCCATAGTTGTGCATGGTTCTCTAACCCCCCGACAGTTATTTGCAGGACTATTTTATTCCTGGACTCGAGGTGATACAAAACGACGCTGGTATATTGGAGGGTCTACTGAAAAAGACATGCCCTCCCGTCTACCGCCATTTGCAAAAGCACAAGGTCGAGCCTTTGCTGTACATGACCGACTGGTTTCTATGCGCCATGACCCGGACGCTGCCCTGGGAAACACTCCTGCGTGTATGGGACTGCTTTCTTGCTGAGGGTATACGCGTCATCTTCAAAGTGGCATTGGTGATCATTGGGGCCTCACTCAGTCGACACAAGGTTCGGAAGACCTGCACGGGTCTCTGTGAGACTCTCGCGGTGCTGCGTTCGCCCCCGCCACACATTATGGAGGAGGAGTTCATAATAAATAACATGATGCGTTTGAATCTGCGCGTTGAGGACTTTCAAATAGAACACACGCGCCAGAAAGCACGACGTGCCAAACAAAAAGCTCAACAGGATGGTGCTACGGGAAATGGCGACTCAAGCACAACCAATGGGCGACGAAATATGCCAACCTTGTGAACGACAAATAGTATTGTTTAGTCGTAGTCGTAATCTTCAAACTACGACAAAGGAAAGGAACATTTTTTATTAAACTAATCAATAAACGAAAAGTGCACAAACTAAACTAAATTAAAATAAAACAAAACTAAACTAAATGAAAAAACTAAGTAAATTGTTAACACTAAATTAATATTTCATTCCATAACATACTACATTAGTCATTTATTCTATTACATTTTTTTGTAAGTTAAATGAACATTTGTTAAACAAACATGTGTATTTAGCATTTGTTTATAGTTTCTGTTTTGTTTTAATGTAGTTGCAATTTTTACACGAGTGCAATTGTTTTTGCTTTTCAAAAGTATTTATTATTATATTTAACTATTTATTTTATAACAAACTCTTTAGCAGTTAATATCCGTACATATCCTATTACCATCATTTTATTTGATTGGCAGCTGCGTATTCAACATAAATGAAAGCAAAGCTTAAAGTATTGTTTATTTATATTATACTTAAAACAAACAACACATTGTATATCATTGTTTGACTAATGGAATGAAGGGGCACGTGGTGCCCAGATCTGAGAATGGTTAATAAATTTGATGATTTTTGAGAAAATGTATGAATTATTATTAAACTACTTATATTTATGTACCTTTTTGAAAATACACATGTAGTATTATATATCGACCAATATCGTATTATTTCAATTTCCCTCAACCGCTACAACAAAATAGGTTAATAAATAAAAAAAGTAAAATTTCATTATGCTTTAGTGGCTGATGCCTATAAGAAAATTCGAAAAATTTTTCCATTATGAACGACCATTGTTTTTGGTTTTGTAAACCTTCCACTTTCATGAATTTCCATCTCTTCTTAAATTTGGCAACCGCTCGTTCCCGAAATTCACGATCGCGCTCAGCTCTATTTCATACCACCACCTGACAGGCTCAGGTTATCCCTTGGAATTAATAATTTCATCTCGGCTATGTAGATATACTATATAACAAAACTTGGCCGGTTATTTATTAAACTAGCGTAGCCCAGCTGCAGCATATATGTACATAAATCATTATATTTGATATCATCATTCCTGAGGGAGTTATTGAAAAGCTACGCACCATTTCATAATTAACTCAAAACTAATAAAATGCCTATATTTTTAAAACTTCCATCCGGCACTTTCAATGAGCCTCAATCGTATAACGGTTTGAGATATCGCTGTAGAATTATATTTATTTGTATGGACTTTTTATATAAGAAATTAATGTTAAGCTACAGTGATGAACAACAAATTAGGTGTTTCCATAATTATTTTATTAAACAATTTCATTTACTGCATCTTGTTTATGCAAAATTGTCTTGTTGAGACAATTATTGCTGCATATATACTCGAGTACAGGGATTTATGAATATAATTAAGTTTTTAATCATGATTTTCGTATGTCATTTAATTTCCAATTGTTTCGCGTAATTTGTTCATTAACGGCTTTACGTAGTCTGCCTAACTTAAATAAATAAGTGTACTTTCTTAAATTAATTTCAGAGGTTAGTACTAATTTCATACCTTTTTTAATAATATTTTTTTACCTACAAATATGAGTCGAAACAGAAGCGCTAATGTCTACGAAATATATATAGATTAGTATATGTTTTAAATACTTAATATCAAATAAGAGTGAAAATTGTGTATTGCCACTGGAAGCATATTCTCAGCTATCTAGCCTAGCCTAGCAGATACTGTTCATCGAAGTCAATGTCGTTCACATCGTCAAGCAGATGAGGCGGCAAGGGCATATAGGGTCCATCATTGGGAGGAATACTGTCCTCCTCATCATCGTCCCTTAGCATTTGCATTTTGGCTTCATCTTCAGCCAACGATGGGTGTTTCTCGCGCATGTGATGCTGCAGGACCCGCATGCTGTTCATACACTTGCCGCCCTGGCACAGTTCGCAGCGTATATAGGCTGGATAGGGTAGATGTTTGAACCTATGCTGCTGCAGCACGCGAACCTTGTTTGTTTCCAGCGTCTCCTCGCATTCGGTGCATTTGTATAGAGCTTCGCCAATTTTATTGAAACACAAGGTCTCGCGCTTTCCCAGTCCATGGAAAATATTAATATGCTCGCGCCACAATGCCTTGGTGGTGAACTCATCGCCACACTGTGGACACAGCAACTGATAGGTATTCGGATTCACGTCAGTATCGTCATCGGCCTCTACAACGCTGCTGGGTTGCTCTTTTTCCTGTTCCAACTCTTGCCCCGCACACGGCTCGTCTGTGCTACTGCGCGGTTGGGTGTCACACCGGTTGGTATCGCGATTCAGATGTTTGAAGAACATTTGCTTGCGCACAAATTCGCCGCTGCAGGTCAGACATTTGAACGACCGATATGGTAGATGGCGGAATTTATGTGATTGCAGCTGGCCGATTGCGCCCTTGGTGTGCGTGACTGTCACCCGCTTGTAGCACTCCAAGCACAAATAGTGATGGTTGTCTATTTGGCGGAAGTTGAGACCTTCCCGGCTATTGTAATTGTGCTGCTCAACGATATGCTTACGCCAGAAGGCATGCGAATCAAAGTTCTTGTTACACTTGGGGCAGTAGTAGGTGATGAAGTCGAGGTCGACAGCATTGTGATAGGAAATGCTATCTTCCAGCGTATTCAGGCCGGCCGGTCGCATGGGCAACTGGCCGGGATTGGGCTTAAGGGTGCGTGCCGCCACAGCAATGGATGTAGACGATTCAGGAACAGGATCCTTAAGTAGCCGATTTTGAGCATGCAACTCACGCTCTGACGGCTGACTCTCAATAATGTTGTGACGTGTGCGCAGATGTGCGGCTATATTGGGCTTGTGGTTGTAACAAGTGCCGCAGACCAGACATTTCAGATATAAGCGATAAGGCAAATGACGAAAATGATGATCCTGCAGTCCTTTTAACTTTGAATTACACACAATGTCCCTACACACGGTGCACTGGTAACGATACTTGTCCAGTTGCCGCATATTCAAATACTGCCGTTTATCGAAGTTGTGCGCCTCATTGATGTGGCGCCGCCACTCGAACTGTGTCTTGTACTCCTCACCACAGGAGGGACACAAGAAAATGTAGTTCTGTTCAATAGTTCGGCCACTAGCACTGCTTACCGCTGGTTCAGCGGTTTCCGAACTATCTAATTTTTCCATGAAATCGTGTTCCTCACTGATGTGCGTTTTAAGAGCCACTTGCGTGGAAAACAGGGATCCACAGTCCACACACTTGTAACGATTGGGACTGGCACTGCCATAGCTTCGGCTATAATTGGTAGCAGTGTCCCTGTTCATCACTGTATAATCCTCCTCATCCGCCTGCATTTGCTCACCAAAATCATTGTCCTCGTTGGGCGGCGGCGACCCTTCATCATCCAAGTAAATAATCTCATACGTTTCATTTGCCACTGTTACAATCTGTTTGCGTGGCTGCTTAACCGGAGGCAGAGTTGAAGGAGTTGCCATTTTGCGGGGCTCATAGCCAACGCGGTGGTAAGTGGCCAAATGTTTGACCAGACCCTTGCGATCCGTGTAGGACTTAAAGCACTTGCGACAGCGTGCGAACGCCTTGTGGGGTAGATGCGTTATGCGATGCTGTTGCGCATTTTGTATGCCATACGCATTTGTTATAATCTTGTCACATTCTGTGCACTTTAGCTGCCGGTCGTTTATCACCTCAAAGTTTAGCTTCGATAGATCATTCATATCATGCGCCCTTACAACGTGCGTGCGCCATTGCTTTTTCTCTTGAAACTCCTTGCCACACTGTGGACAGAGGTAGTCGATGTGCGGCTCGAAAAAATCGTCCGCAGATATATGGCGTCCTCCTCGACGGGGCAGGTCCCAATTCTGCAGCTGCGAGTCATCGTCCAGGTCATTCACATTGTCGTTAACTTCACCATCTCCTTCCCCGTCACCTCCAGCCACGTCGTCCTGTACCAATGTTTCCAAATTATGCTTCTTAAGCAAGTGATCAACCAGCAAGTGGTGCTCTGCATATCCCTTATAGCAAAGCTTGCAGCGCAGCCATTCCTGGTGTGGTAAATGACTGAATTTGTGCTGACGCAGAGCCTTAATAGTATTCGGCTGCACAAACTGTGAATAGAGCAGAAATTGCTGTCATGTAGGATCGGCCACAATTTAGTAAATACCTACCTTGTTGCACTCAATGCATTGCATTTGCATGTCAACACTGCGAAAGTTCAGACCTCGTCGGCTGACAAAATCGTGAACGAACTCAATGTGCTGACTCCACTGCGCCTGTGTATCACATTCAGTTGCGCATTCCGGGCACATATAGTGTATATAATCTTCACATATATCAGCCGCAGTGCCTCCACCATTGGCCCCAGAGGCCGTTGCGTTACGTTTTTTCTTGTTCGATGCCTGCGACGAGCTGCGACTCTGTTCGTCATCAATAAATGTGGACAAGCCGAACGTGGGTTCATCCATATCCGGTTCCAGCACTTCATTTTTTACTTCAATGTTGTCGTCTTCTTCATCATCATACATCCTCTTTTTGCCACCTAGGTCCTCCGTTTGTGGTTCCCTAACGCGCGTCTTTTTCCCCGCGTGGTAATCGTCCTGACACGGTGATCGCATCATGGCAACCACCTCGTCGCAATGCGTCATACGCAAATGTACCATTAAATCCTGCCTGTATTTGTACTCCCGCTTGCAGATGTAACATTTCGTACATCGAAATGGTAAATGCGTAAATTTGTGCTTCAAGAGATTCTCCCTGCTGTGCATGGCTATGTGTTTGTTGCACTCCAAGCACCGGTGGTACAGCTTATCGATGGCCACAAAGTTCAGGCCCCGGCGCGTATTGTACTGGTGAGATTGATTCATATGGCGCTTCCAAAGATCCTGTTGCCGATACTCGGAACCGCATGCCGGACAAATATAAATAACCCCAAGCTCGTAATTTATCGGTATTCCGTTCTCGTCTGTCGCATTAATCTGGGACGTTGTGGGACGCATTGGCACCACAGACATTCGAAGTTCCTTCGGACGCGTCATAGACATAGAACTGCCCAGCGATGCGGGAAGTGATTGGCGTTGCATAGGAATTGAGGCAGACGCAGGTGGCGGAGGTGGTAATGGCGACGGTTCAGCAATACTCACAATTGGTTCCAGCTCGAAGTCAAAAATGGCATCATCGTCGGGTTCTGCCACATTCTTAGCCTTTCTTTTCTCTTCACCATCCCCACCATCGTCCTCGTCGACGGGAAAAGTCTTGCCATTACTATTTCCCAAGTCGGTTTCAATGTCTCCAAATTGTTCGTTTAAGCTGTTTTCTCCTTCAACAAAGTCGGAGGAAAACATTGAAGTCCACAGGTCCATACCCTCCATTATGTGTACATATGAATGTATGAGTGTAAGTGTGTATGGCTAGAACTGGTAGTTTTTTCGCCCTCTTCACAATTTGGCCGCTTGTTACTTCTTTTCACTTTCCCAGCACAACTATGGCTATCAAGCGTTCAATGCGGTATGCTGCCTTCATTTTAATTGCATTTGCACGCATGGCGTTTTATTCAATTGAAGTATATTTATGTGAATATATTTGCACTTGCAAAGTTTTTTTTAAAGTTTTCATCTGTCTCCGTCTGCAAAATTCAGAGCCATTTTGTTTGCGGCGTCGAAAACTTCCGTGCCGTGTATTTTTAGTTGCGCCGTCAATACTTCCAACGTTGATTGATTGGTCGGTCAAGAGGTACTACAGATCATTTCATCCTTCCTGTCACAACATAATCAACAAATAGATGTAAGTTGTGAAAGCTATGCTTTACAAGTCGTATTCTGATTTTATCATTAACTATTTGTTGCAACGCGTTGCCATAATATGGCAGCATGCAGCGCCGTTGTTCGATTTTTGCGCAGCATCACACCGGCGTTGCCAGATCATTTGGTTGCGTATTGCAACAGCCATCGAAGACTCTGCACAAAAACAACGATTGGCTTTAGACAACAAATGGACCACATAATACCTCCAAAAGAGTACCACTGGCAGCCGGGAAATCTTATAAGTCAAAACTTCAAATTGGGCAACAACGGACACATATGCGTAGTATTGAACCGACGAATACAAGTTCCCTCGCACGTGGTTAAGCTGTTGTGGAAAAATGGTAAAGTAAATAAACAAAAAGATCAACTTGCTTGTGGCCTTGTGAACCTGAAAGGCTGATTATATTCGTCTCTATTCCCATAGCAACAGTGCGATGTGCTGTTGATGGTGGCTCCAACCACTGGAGAGACTTTGTGTTGGCAGAAGGTATAAACAGTAGCTCTAAGAGTACATCAGCCACATCGCTTGAACCCCTTGATGTGATAACCGGCGATTTTGATTCGATAACGGAAGAAACTGTGGAGTTTTTTAAAACGACGCCCAAAATACACACACCCGACCAGGATGCTACAGATTTTACTAAAGCTTTGAATGTGCTTCAGCCGGTAATGACGCAGCGAAAAGTGCAGGATGTAGTCGTTTTTCATGACTGCTCAGGGCGCTTAGATCAGGTGATGGCCAACCTAAACACGCTTTATAAAGTACAAAAGGAGAACTGCAATGTGTACCTGCTGAGCGGCAATTCGGTGACCTGGTTGTTGCGGCCTGGTAAGCATACTATACAAGTTCCATTGGATTTAGTTACCAGCCAGCGTTGGTGCTCTCTAATGCCAGTGGGCGCTTCAGCGCACAATGTGACCACCACCGGTCTTAAATGGAACTTATGTAAGTTTTTACACAAATATATTTGTATGTTCAATTTAAGCAAAGCATCAGATAATTTTCTTCCTTCAGACCACGCACATATGGAGTTTGGCGGCATGGTGAGCACTTCGAACACCTATTCAACAGAGTTTGTGCAAATTGAAACGGACAGTAATTTGATTTGGTCCATGGGTGCTTACGACTTTGAAGAGAAGGTCCGCCTCACCGCAAAGTAGACAAAGAATGAGTGCTTAAAGGGGGCTTTAAATACTTAAGTGATCGGTGTAAGGCTTAATATATATTAAGCTATAATAGACAATGAATTAGCTTTAACATCTACGCAAGCCGCTTTATTTTTCTTTATACAAAAAATTAAGATTAAAAGTTGTGAATTCACAGACAGCATTGCATATTTAACGTGAACCGGGTAAAGGCATCAATTGAAAACCACTACTGGTACCTGTCTTCTTACCAATCCAGCCGCTGGACCCAGAGCCGGTACCACCACCACGTTTGGTCGACGAACGTGCCCCTCTGCTGCTGCGGGTCGCCTTATTTCCTGCTGATGGCGATCTAGTGGTGCTTGTACTACTTCTGTACTTCTTGGCAGCGCCTGCAGTGCGGCCTCGCCCCACTCGTTTTCGTTTACCGCCGCGGGTGCCGCCGCCGCCCTTATCACCTTGTAATGCTGCCTCACGGTCCCAATCGTCGTTACCGAAATTTTGTCTACTTTCACCGATAGTGGTAGTTGCTGTAGCAGAACCTGAAGCAGCCGCCTCCTCTTCATCATCCATGGCAAGCAGCATACAGAGCTTCTCTGAGGCATAGTTGCGGGTAATTTCCAAGAGCTTGGCACCATATTTATCGAAATTCGCTTTGGTAACGTGTGGCATAGCGCACATATCCTTTTCCGTCTCCGGCAACTGTTCGGCCATAGCCTTAAGCGCCTGCATGTTCATTATACTGGCCATGGTAACGTTACGCGCTGCTGCTATGGTGCGGCACAGATCCAGAAGATCATTATAACAGCGCTCCTGTATATCACGAAAGTCCAGTCCGGCCTTCGCTCCAGCGGTAGCCGGAGCCGAATCAGATACGGTGGCCACTGTGCGAGCGCCACGCTTGCGCATGAGAGCAAACAATATGCTTGGTTTTCCATTCATTAGTTCACTAATGCGTGGTCCCAAGTACAAATAGGCCTGTGGTATGTCTTGGGTGAAGATGAGGTCTTCCCGCAGGTAGCCATCGATTACCATACGCCGCAGTAGCCGCTGCACATCCATCTTATCCCAATCCTTCATTGCACCATGATGGGGCGTTTTATTATGCCCGAAATCTACAATCTTTTTAATCATGGAACCCTTAAGGACATCGGCCACATGTAGCAGGGTAAAGCGCGAGCGACCGCTGCATATATCCTTTACAGCAAGTGCCACCTTTCGACACTGCTCCAGCACATCTATCTGCTGGAAATCTTCCTTTTTTATGCAATTATCACAGGCTGAGCGCCGGTTCTCCAGACACTGCTCGCTGGTGAAGTGTTCTCCAAAGTAATCCAATTGCAAAGCACGCCGGCAGTCGGTGATGTTCTCGCAGTAGCCAACAATACGATATAAATTATCAATGTGCATTTTTTTCACATCATAGCGCAGCGCACGATCCACTGGAATTGGGTTACAAGTATTAGCTGGCGGTCGGTTAGATATTTATTTTTGTACTTACTGTCCAACATTTTCTTGAGGCGCAACATATCGGAGTAATTATAATAGAGTATGCAATCGGCCAGGTCCCCATCGCGACCAGCGCGTCCCGCCTCCTGATAGTAGCCTTCAATCGACTTTGGCAGCGAATAGTGAAGAACAAAGCGAACATCGGGCTTATCGATGCCCATGCCAAAGGCTATAGTGGCGCAAATAACACGCACCTTATTCATTAGCCAATCCCTCTGTCTCGATTCACGCTCCGTATCCGATAGACCGGCGTGGTAGGCCGCCGATCTTATGCCGTTGCTGCACATTTTCTTCGCCACATCCTCGCACTCCTTGCGCGATAAGCAATAGATAATGCCACTAGCTGTACTCGGACGTGTTTTAATATAGCCGCTAATGTCGTCTAATGTGGCTACACCATGCTTGGGCAATACTTTATAGCGCAAATTGCTGCGATTAAAGCTGGAAAGAAACCACTTGCAATGGCTTAGATTCAGCTGCTGTATGATGTCCAAACGGACACGCGGAGTGGCTGTGGCTGTCAGCGCCATCGTCGGCACATTGGGAAAACGTTTGCGCAGAATCCCGAGCTTTTTATAGTCGGGCCTAAAGTCGTGACCCCATTGCGAAACACAGTGCGCTTCGTCGATCACAAAGCGACTGATGTAATTGTTCTCATGTAGTTTATCGAGCATGTCCTGGAAACGTGGAGAGCTGCTTATTTTTTCTGGCGTAACATAAAGCAGCTTGATGAGGGGAGGCCGTTGGCTAAGGTCGTTGTATACGGTGCGCGCTGCCTCTAACGTTTGTTCCCCGGACAGGCTCGTAGCGTAAATCTGCAAAGATTAAGAAAATAAATATACTCGTAATTATTCCAATTACCAGCTTTGATCAATCAACTGAGCGAACTTACATCCAGGGAGGCCAACTTATTTACTTGATCAAAGATTAATGACTTCAGAGGACTTATAACAATAGTAACTCCTTCCGTAAGGATGGCAGGAAGTTGGTAACAGAGGGATTTACCGCCTCCGGTGGGCATGAGTACAAAGCAGTCCTTGCCAAGCAATGTGGCATTAATCACCTGCAACTGATTGGGTCGGAAACTCTTTAGACCAAAGTTATAGCCAAGTGCGGTCATGAGACGCGTAGAGTGCTCGAAATGCTGACCATCAAACTCCCCGGTTACGCCATCATTATGCACATTATTATGAAAATTTCCGGACAAGCTATTCGTCTGGGTAGCATTAGCTTTGGGAGCAGAGCTACAGCTGGAAACAGGCTTTTCAGAGCTCACGGCTTTGGAGGACTGCACTTGAGACGCTGCTAATTCATAAACTCTTTCAAACTCGGCTTCATCGTAAACTGGAAAGCCCTCGTCATCCAGAGTTGCCCCGGCTTTGGAGTTGGTTGGATATGTTATATTGCGATCGGACTTTTCTGCAGCGTTTGAAGTTTTTTTTTTTTCCTCAAAGTCTCTATATGCATAATTATTGTACACAGATTTTCGTCCATTTAGCGAGTCATGCTCATCAGCTATTTCCGCTAAGACATCATCCAAATCATCGTCAGACTCTAATACAGTCTGCTTAAATTTGGATGGCTGCGCTTTATCGGAGCCCAATGTGATGCTGTTATCATTATCCGACCCTTCGCACAGATCGTAAACCATAGATCCGTGCGGACGAATATCTGTTTGCTTTTGCGGCTTTTTAAGTGTCGATGTATGCGTTGAATTTACTGCAATATTCTGATCTGTTCTAGGGGCGGGTATAAGGTCATCCAAATCATCAGGTGCCTCATTCACATAACTTGTTGGATTCTGTTTTTGCTGTTCCTCCAGAATTTCTTGTTCCGCCAGTTCTAGTTCATCACTGTAAGCATCCGGTATGCACTCCTCGCGCTCGCGTTGTACCTTTGCTGTCCTAATTTGTAGCAGCTCCATTTTCTCCTTCATCTTCTGACGCATAAACTTTAATTTAAGAAATGTGTTTGTCTCAAAACCTGAAACTTCGTTGAACCACGAAGCAGGTATTTGGTCCAAAAGCTCGCAGTACTTTTCCATAAGCTCCATATACGTTGACTTACAGCAGTTGAAAGTGGCCTTTAGAATATGTTCATTGTTCTCAATATTATCAACCTTAAGATTGTCATTTTGCGCTAGATTGTGCAAATAGTCAACCAGCGTGCTATCAAAGACAACGCTTATTTTCGGTGTTGTAGCTGCAGGTGGAGTTAAAGACTCTTTCAAAGGACCCTTATTCTCTTGGCTACAACCATGTTTTTGCGGTTTAGTAGGACTTTTCACTGCCTTCTGTGGCATTTGCTTTTCCTTTGAATCTAGCTCATAGGGATTTTGTGTTTGTTTTACCATCAAATCAAAGCTGTCATCCAGGTTAGTACTGGCATTTGAAGAATTTGGTGTTATATTCTCCGACTGTTGAGACTTGATGGAGGTGGAAAGCGATAATCGTGGTGTTAGCTTAAGCTTATCAATGTGCCCATTAAGCTTAGCCAGAGTCGCCTGATAGTTTACATCCTGTTTTAGTATATCATCCAAATTTTCAAATTTCAATTTTGGTGTTGAATCAGTAGCTGGTTTAGTTTCTTCAGTTGCTCGAGTAGATTCCTTTTTTAATTGAATACAAGGATTAGGAGGCGATTGAGTAGCATTTTTAAAGCTGTACTTTTTAATGAGCGTAGTATTATTGACAGGGGCCGGAAGATCATCATCGGAGGACGAGTCGAGATATATTGGATTGCAGACCTTTGACGGTATTGTCCTTACATGAGGTTTATCTAAACGCAGAAATTAGTTAACAAATGTAAATACATACATACATTTGTCTGCATTCTGAACACACACCTTTCGACTGGCTCTGTCCTAGGCCCAGAAAAGAGCTCATTGAGAGCTGTTTTCTACTCTCCCTAGGCATGTTTTATTGCTGGTGACATTTGTAAATAAATAAATTAATTTATAGCCACAAACTGACACAATGTTCGCCTCATATCTTTGAAAAAGGCGCACGACGCTAAATCCAGCTGAAGAAACAACAATCATATGGTTACGGAGCTGCCAGACCGCTGATATTCCATCATTACCCCTACAAGAGCCGCTTACCGCGCAATTTGTAAGAATTTGGAGCACGACATGCGTTGATCAATTTATAATAAGTTCCGTTGCACCGGTAAGAATTGAAATGCCGCTAACTGTGGAATGCGCAAAAAGGAGTTCAATTCTGCCCTTATTGATGGATCAAGTTTTCAAGAAGTTTACACGGGAAAGTAGCGGAAGTCTAACAAAACGTAATAATAATAACCTTCGTACATACATACATACATATGTATCTACAAAAGTGTATGGGGCTGCCTATTCATAAGACTTTTTATTTCAGGGGAACGAAGACTCCTATTTGTTGAATTGAATGCTTTGTTGAACAAGAGTCTTTTAGAACGTGCCCTTCGTCTTCTTGATGAATGGATATTCGTCGTTTACTATTCACAGGTACAAGGTGGTGTGGATTTAATAAGTGTCTCTGCTACAGCATTCTTGAATATTTTCTAACCTTCAGAATCGACTGAACAGCATAGTTGAGCTCAGCAGCAAGCGAAAAAAATTAGACGTGGTACGCGTTATACCAGACATTAATTATTGCAAGTGTGGATTCTTCCAGCGTAGTGTTCTTCAGCTAACCGGCGAAAATAGCGACCGATGTGATCCGGAGATTACCTGCGAACATGTCTTAGCAGTCCGTCTACATCATGTTTTAAATCGACAGTGCTCTAAGCAGGTACTAAGTTCGGATGACTTTATGGCGTACTTGTGTGACGTTTTCGAAGACCAAGCCGAAACTTGATAAACTAGAAAAATGGAACTGAATCTTATTTTGTTTATTCCCAATAGTGCTGCCACCCTGTAAACTGTATGGTATAATATAGAGTAAAACTAAATAATAATAAAGTAGTTTTTCTTCCTTCCCGACATTTTATGGAGCTACTCAAAAAATTTACCAAAAATACAGTTACAATTACAATAAGTCTCAATCCTGTTAATAGGATTTAAAACCAAGTGGCACCACAATTGCAGTTGTTATCGGTGTGGCCAGAAATGTTTCGATAAGTCTGGGCGATGTTTTGTTTTTAATTTGTCGTGGTCGTGCACTCGAACACTTTTATTATGATAGTGCGAAGTATTGTTTAATACATCAGTTGTAATAGTTTTGGCGTTTTGGAGATCGTTATTTTTCCGAGCAGAAAAAAGAATCCGCTGTATTTAATTAATATTCTAAGATATACAAAATAGCAAGTGCTTGGACCGAAGTACAGAAATTACTTAATATTATTTACAAATCAGGACGGTTTATGCCGACAGGCGACATCAGGAACACAAATGGATATTGGCGAGCTATTGGCTTTTAAAGTAAGTATAAGTTATGTGCGTACCATACATAGTTGCAGGACACGCCCAGTAATGTCTATTATGTACCCATACATACATACTATGTGGCATTTCAACGTGCGCGTTAGACAGGCCGGCTCTATGGTGACATACATAGTATGTGTGTACATCTGTGTGTTGTTATGCATTTTCATACTATATTTGGGTCTATAATTTAATAAAGAACATAATATTTATAGCCGGAGCAGACACCAAAGCGGCCTCACGACGATGATGATGACTTTCCTGTACCAGAGTCGAACAGTATAGGTACAGACGATTTGCGTCGAGGAGGTGATGAAAAGGCTAAGCGTATGCGGCGCATTGCAGATGCCAAGGAGACGGCTAATTACAGCAAGCCGCAAAATACCAATGCCAGTGTAAGTGCATTTGAGTTTGATCCCGAACTGACTGAGGAGGAGCGGGAAAAGATTTTAAAATATGTCGAAAGTGAAGAGGCGGAAGGTGAAGCTTTAGATGAACAGGGCTTAAAAAAACTGATACTTGTGTTTGAGAAACGAAACCTTAAAAACCAAGAGATGAGAATTAAGTTCGCTGATAATCCAGAAAAATTCATGGACTCTGAAGTGGAACTTCATACCGTCATACAAGATCTAAAGGCAGTGGCCACAGTTCCGGACTTGTACCCACTTTTAGTTGAACTACATGGTCTACACAGTCTTCTGGAGTTGTTGGCGCATCAAAACACAGACATATCTGTGGCCATTGTTGATCTGCTTCAGGAGCTTACCGATGTAGATATATTGGGTGAAAGCAGTGAAGGAGCCGGGGCTCTTATTGATGCACTCCGCAAGGAGCAGATCTGCGCACTACTTGTGCAAAATCTTGAACGCCTAAACGAGCAGGTTAAAGAAGAAGCCGATGGCGTTCACAATACACTGGCGATTGTGGAGAATCTGACTGAAATCGAAGGCGACTTCGTGCGGCAGGCGGCTGAGCAGGGCCTGTTGGCCTGGCTTCTGAAGCGCCTAAAAGGCAAATCTCCATTTGATCCCAATAAGCTATATTGTAGCGAAATTCTATCGATACTCATTCAGACTGAAAATGAAAATCGTCTCCTGTTTGGCGCTCTTGATGGCGTTGATGTCCTTTTGCAACAGCTGGCTGTCTACAAACGAAACGATCCGGCCAGTAACGAAGAACAGGAATATATGCAGAATCTATTCAATTGCATGTGCTCGGCGCTGATGGCTCGCGAAAACCGTGATCGTTTCCTTAACGGTGAGGGTCTGCAACTAATGAATTTGATGTTACGTGAAAAGAAAATGTCACGCAACGGCTCTCTAAAAGTACTTGATCATGCAATGGCTGGACAGGATGGGCGTGAAAATTGCAACAAGTTTGTTGAGATACTGGGATTGCGCACAATTTTTCCGCTCTTCATGAAAACACCAAAGCGGAATAAGCTGCGTCTTCTGTCAGCCGACGAGCACGAGGAGCATGTGGCCTCAGTTATAGCCTCGATGTTGCGAAACTGCAAAGGCACTCAACGACAGCGTATGCTAGCTAAATTCACCGAGAATGATCACGAGAAGGTTGATCGCCTGCTGGAGCTGCATTTGAAGTATCTGGCAAAGGTTGAGGCCATCGATAAGGAAATTGATCAGCAACCAAAGGTGTGTTACATGTTGTTGTTTAATTGTCCAATCGTATTCTTATTTCTAAACTATTTTGCTGGCAGGATTCTAGCATTGATGAGGACGAGGAAGCGGAGAACAATTATATCAAGCGACTAACTGGCGGTCTTTTTACGCTACAGCGCATCGATTACATACTGCTAGAAGTTAGCGCCACTTCAGAGACTGTCAAACAACGCGTGCTACAAATTTTAAATTTGCGAGGTGCGTCGATGAAGACAATCCGAAGCATAATGCGGGAGTATGCTGGCAATCTCGGCGATGGCGACACAGATTGGCGAGAACAGGAACAGTCCCATATATTATCTCTAGTCGATCGTTTCTAAGCAACCTCAAACACAACAATAACACCAATCTAAATTAATAATTAATTGTATTTAAATAAAAAAGATGTCTCTTTGCTGAATGAGATTTCAAAAGGCCGGTATTATCTGGTCAACTTTAATTCATTTATCAAATTTGATAAAGTAGTAATAGCAATTTAAATAACAATTGTGTTTAAATAAACAAGAATGTCTCGCAGTGTCTTGAGACTTTAATATACGTAGGCCTGTAGTATGCGGCCAACTTTAAAAAAATTCTTCAATTTGGATATAGTAATGCCGAATAAAGTTTATGTGCGCAGAGTAATTTAGCTATGAAATTTTATGGCTTTGATTTGCATTTGAAATGGTCATTCGAAGATACTTGGCTATGTGTGGCATCACCTGGCTAGGCATATCGTCTCATTCATTTGTGTATGCGCATCTCTTATAATCCCTTTTCACTTACGGATTTATAATAAATGTTGCATTTGCTCTTTCGATTTTCCTGACTCACTATTTTTTGGATTTCTTCTTGTCTTTCTTACACTTGTCTTCGCCCTTCTTCCCCCTGGGTGATGGAAAGTTAAGGAGTTATTATATTAGTTATTCGAATTAAAAATCAACGACTTTAATTTGATATTGACTAACGTGGATTGCATAATACACATCATACTAGTTTTACAGCAGTAACTCGATCTGAATCGGTTACATTTATATGACAAGAAGAACACTGTTTAAAATGTTTTCGATGCTTAAAACTAATATCCTTGTTCTTTGAAATAAGCAGTAATTACAAGCTGTTTGTGTTTTTGTGGAACTCCAATTACGAAGCGAGAGTGTTGTTTTATGCTGAGTAATATTGTTGCAAGCTAGCTAGTGGTTGTGGTTAACTTAGCCGTTCGAGTCGCTATAAATAGAAAGTCCCCCTACTTTTGGTCAGCGGGTATTTCGAAGTTCACATCCATTTTCATTTCGCGAGCCAGCTTCACAATCTGCGCCAGGTGGACAGCTAAATCAGCAGCCTTGTCCAAATCGTCACGCGCCAAAATCTTTAAGCCGGATGTGCGTATCAGCTCACGAGCTTCCTTTACCTTGGTGCCCTGCAAAAAAACAAAAAAATATTTGATTGGTGCTCAGCCACTTAAAGAATCGAGTGGGAAACGAACCTGCAAACGCACAACAACAGGCATATTCAAATTCAAATCCTTAGTTGCAGAAATAATGCCCTCAGCAATGACGTCGCAACGCATAATACCGCCAAAAATGTTCACCAAAATGCACAACACTTTTTTGTCCGAGGTAATGATTTTGAAAGCAGCCTTTACTGCCTCCGCCGTAGCGCCGCCGCCCACATCAAGGAAGTTCGCAGGCTCGCCGCCGTACAGTTTAATAATGTCCATTGTGGCCATGGCCAGACCAGCGCCATTGACCATGCAGCCGATGGTGCCGTCTAACGCAATATAATTCAAATTGTATTTGGCAGCTTCGACCTCCTTGGGATCCTCCTGAGTCCAATCACGCAGACAGAACAGTTCCTTTTGGCGAAATTCGGCATTGTCGTCGAAACGAAGTTTGGCATCCAGTGCAAAAACTGATAACCAGCGGAATAACTTATTAGTCGTAAGATCGTTTATATGTTTTGTGTATGTAAAATAAGTTAGGGTATAGTAAGACATACTATAACTATACATGCAAATGAGGCATTACGTGTATTAGTATGATGTATTATATGATTATTAATACTTACAGCCTATGGACGAACACGATTCAAGGAGAAATGTAAGGTTAGACAAAAGTTAGTACCATGGAAAACGTTATGAGCACAGTTAAGTAGAACGAAATGATCAGTGCATGATATGGCAGACAATTACTTACAGCCGGTCATAGCATCTTCCGCATACGGATTAATTTCAACCAGAAGCGCATCCTTATTTACGAACAACTTGTATAAGTTGAGAAGCATTTGGACGTGTTCATCGGCACTGTCACCGCCAAGTCCGACCTTGTCGACAATTTTGCAGGCCTGTTCTTCAGTAAGACCTTTTATTATGTCGATTGGTTCATAGAGGATAGCATCAGGGTTCTCTTTGGCAACCTCCTCAATGTCGACGCCACCCTCTTTGGACGCAATTAGAACAGGACCCTGCAGCATTAATACCAACAATTAAATAAGAGTCTGATATTGGTAAAAAATAAACAAGTGAACCTACATTGAAGGCTCGCTCCATCATTACAGCAAAGTAAAATTCACGTCTGGGAAATTTACGCTCCGCCACCATAACCTTCTTGCAGATGCGACCAGCTGCGCCAGTTTGCCGAGTTACCAACAATTGATCAATCATTTTAGACGCAAATTCTTCGGCACTTTCCGGGCTAGAAAGGGAATAAATTAGTATTTTGGGGTTTAGTGTAGTTGCCAAAATGTACTTACTTATAGACCACACGGACGCCACCCTTGAGTCCATTTTTGAAGGTGCCCTTGCCACGTCCACCCGCAAGAACTTGAGCCTTGAGAACCAGATTGTCTGTTTTTAACTTTTGCGCAATGTCATGGGCTTCTTTACCATTCTTAGCCACCGCAAACCTGTAAATAAAGATGTTATTATATGTACTATAGTTTTTTTTATGAACATTTTAATTTATCCATACATATATGAATTGTATCCTTTCTACAACTTTAATATTAGCGCTGACTGCAAAATTATTTACTGTTTTCTTACCTTGGTGTCGGGATACTGCTTTCATTTAACAGGCTATATGATACATGTTCCTGGACATTGAGGTTTCTAACGTGCTGGACAACCACTGGAGAGTAGCTGAAGATCTGTGATTTAAAAATAAGGTTAATGCTATTGTTTCGATTATACGAAATCACATGCAAGTTTGTGAAGGTCACATGTGCATACAACACACATACAAATATATGTATATATGATGTGTATATATGTTCATACGTATGTACATACTTATATATGTATGTATATACAGTACAAAATGCAAAACTAGTAGATAACGGGTCATAGTGCCAGAGAGATAACACTTTTTAAACAGTTTATAATTAATTCACTATTTGACGATAATCAACACTAATTAGCGTAGATTAAGTTTTTGTTTATAAGACGGCAGCAACAGCTGGTTAACCGTCATTGATTAAATATGTACATTTGAAAGACCTACACCACTGGGGCGTTCAAAGGTCCTTTACTTCGGCCTGCCGCCCCCGCAATTTGAATACAACACAGATGTTAGATCGTTGCGTCACACTCGCACTCATACGCATACAATTGGTCATTGCCATTGCTGTGCAATTATGTAAAATGTAGGGCACGACACGGCAAATTTGCACTTGTTTTTTCTTACCTTTGCTAATGCTTTGGGTTTGGTCGATTCGATTATAATTCCGCCTGTACGTGCCAAGAGTGAAGCCATTTTTGAACACGAAAATTAATATGACAATCTATGTTTTTCTGACAAGCGAAAAATATACTTTTTCAGCTTGCTTGGCTTTTCAGGGATGTACAAGCAACTGCACCTGTTATCGATGTTTCGTGCATTATATGAAGCCCTAGTCGATGATTTTTCAAAATATCGATGAGCTTTTACACACACCAAACGTTCGGCTTAAATAAAACGGATTGGCAAATAATGTGGACTTTTCCGGTGTTGCTTTATGAAATAATTAAAAAGGTAATTAAATTAAAAAGGTATTAAATTTAAAAGGTATGTCCTTTTACATTTTGTATTTTATTTTATTTTTTTTTTGATTTTTCGTGGCTTGTTATGGACAAAAAAAAATCGCACAGGACAGGCACCAACATTCAATACTTTCACAAAATAATACAATGTTAAAATGTTTTAATTTTTTTTTTTTGGATTTTACATTGCTTGTTATTGTTGGACACACAAAAACATCACACTATCACATACAAATAACATATACTACACTTAGTAGGAAAGATTTTAAATATTAATAAAGATATATCAATAATGCTTCTAACGCAATTTACACGACCGTAGAGCTCTAGGTTTTTCTTTTTATCGCAGTAAAAGCATTAACAGACGCGAAAACGTTTTCATAAAGGCGAACAATTATTCAAAATAGCCCATAACTAAAATGTATCCTGTGCACAGTTTTTTAATACATGAGCATAGGCTGTTTTGAATTCAATTCGAAAATATTGACAGTGGATTTTAATTTAGAACAATGTTCAAGCATTGTTATCTGCGCAGATGACAATGTAAATTGTAATAAAGATATTTAATGATTAAACATAACTTGAAATCAGATACATCCATATCAAGTTATCAGCAAAGTTTTTGGGATAGATGCAAAAAGCATTGCCAAAAATTTGGAAATGGAGTAGCTGAACACAAGGGTATTAATCATTAAGAAAAAGAACAAGGACTTAACAACTAAATTCTATAATAAGAAACATAAATAACTATCACACAATTCGTACTAAACACAGAAACACTAAACAGAAATCAAACGAACGATACATATATATATACATAAAACATTTTAAAATAGCGAATTTCGTTTAAAAGCAGCGTGCCGTCATCAGATAAATCGTAAAATAATGGCTTCCTTTATATTGGCGGGTTCCGGACCACACCACTAATACTCCAGTTTTGCCTCAATCATCTGCAGCACACGTTGCCGCCCGATTTTGTTCCAAAACACATATGGTTCTGAGGAGCCGGTTACACTGCGCGGACCACTAAAAATTTAAGAGCTTAATAATCTTTGTTGTGGTTAGACAATGCTGGGATACACACTTTTGATAGCAATCGAAACGTACAATGCCCTTCTCGTTAACCAGACATTGGTGGATATCAATGACCGTCGTATAGCGACCCTCGTTCCGAATGAAGTTATTGAAGCGCAACACTTTCTCACATATTCCCTTGTCGTGGCAATAGTTGGCCAATGGGGCCAGTGTGGTTAAGACAGCCACAAACCTTCGCTTGTGCATATCATTGAGTAGTTGGCGAAAATCGTGTTCGATTTGTACCAGAGGCTTGCCTTTCATGATGTCCACGGAGCCAATGTTAACTATAATCTGCGTGTTTTCGTTCAACTGTACTGAACGTAGCCGACGTCTCGCAGCCTTTATAGTTTGTCCAGAAACGCAAAGGCCAGATTGAAGAACTTTTTCATCTGTTGGGTAATTAAATTTAGATCAATTTAAAACAGAATTGGTAATCTTACGTTTTCTGAATCTGCACTTTAGCTCCATGCGGGCTAAGTACATGAAAAAGTCATCGCCCAAAAGGGGAAAGTCCAATAGGTAAGCATCATAGTCTGACTTGATTGTCAATACAGAGTCACTCGCTTCCGTATTGGCAGAGATTGTGGTTGGAGTGAAGTCATGCTTTCGTTTGAGACCATTCAATAGCGGCGAAATGCGGTATTTCTGCTGCTTTATAAGTGGGTGTTGGGTTGCAAGCGGATCCAACGCGTCACAGTAAATATTCTCCACATCGATCTGTGGTACTTGCGCCTGCTGATACCGATTATTTCTGCAAATATCAAAATTCAATTAGAATTAATATAATTCGCCTTGGCTGCCATCTTACAGATGATTCCAGTTGTCCTGATAGCACCAGTTATGCTCCACAGTTCCCCCAGGTATACCAATGGGCGATATGGGATGCACAGCAGGTGGTGGATCCGTTGGAATGGGCGTCAATTGTTGCAACTGTGCCTTGACCGGCTGACTGGGTTTGTCTATGATGTTCAGATTCATATTGATGTTATCTAGGGCCCGGCGTTTGTAGTTGGCCCGCCATAGACGAGGTGCGGGTGGTATTTGCTTCATTTGTTGGAAAGAGACCACGCTGGCGGAGCCACTGTTATTGTGGTTGTAATCTGTGCGCTGCCGCTGGTTCAACACCATCTCATGGAGGTGTTTATTCTTATTGTTCGGCTTGAGGTTGAAGAAGCGCGTACCATTTTCATTGCACTCGGCTGTGACCATCGGTATGGTGAGCAGAAAGTCCGTGACGTTGTCCACGAAAGGAAATTCAATTCCCGTTAGCTTGAGATATTCCTCTGCAAGGATTCAGAAACCATGTATTGATGAGTGTAACTTTAAAAACCCTTAACTTTTCCCCTTCCTTGTGCTTACTTTTGATGTTTGATATCGTAATACCATTTTGGGCATTGGCCATTAAAATGGCACGTATTTCCTTATCTATTTCGGGATACTCATCCCGCACAGTCTCATATCTGCTCTGTGAGATGGTCATCCTGCTGTTAAAGATGAAAAGTTCTTCTCGCCTAATGGAGCTGCTGCTGTAGGTACTGGAATTCTCTATTAAGGTGGATGATAATAGTCCGGCCACAATTTGCAACTGATCGTCGGTGTTCTGCTGATGATGACCGGCAGAATACTTGCGCGTTACAAAGATTTCTTTCAGTTTCTGAAACTTTGTCTTTTTGCCAACAATAGAGTACTCCGCATTCAGCAATAAGCGGTACAGCTGTCGATGCCGCTGATGCCGCTCTGTAGTTGCAGGATCCAGTTGCAATTTCTGGCTCAATTTTTGGCGCAACTTCTGAAAACACGTGGTCAAATGATTTTTTAGCACAGTGAAGCCATAAGTGTTCGGCACGCTGTTGAAATCACTTCTGAAAGTCGCCATTGCTGGCACCAAATTGAAATGTCAAATGCAGCGCAGCTAACTTTTTAGCTCATGTCTTCCTACATATGTATGTATGTATGTATGTATGTAATGTACGTAAGAATGTATGTATGTATCTCCATGTATTCACTTGTACTATGTATTCATGTGTCTGAGCATAATTATTCGTATTCCACACACACCTTTTCCATTGTACTAACTGATCAAGTAAAACGGTAAATACAGTCATACATGCATACATACATACATACACACGTATGCATTTGTGTATGTATGCTGTGATCTAGTTTTTCGCTTACCCTTTCTATTGTTCTTTGCTTTTTAACACTAAGCTTGCATTTCTTGCGCACTTGCAGACATACATACATACACGTGTACATATGTATGTACTTAGTAATACAAAATTGCATTTTATCCTATATACATACATATATACATATGTATGTACATACATACATACATATATAGAAAATAACTAGTATGCCTACATACATACATATGTATGTACAATTGTATTTACCTGCACACATATTCTCGTGAAGAAAATTAAAAATTCCGACAGAATTTTAAGAATAAAGTGCTGACTTCATTGACGTCTTTTAATTTTTCAATGCATATTAATACATACTAGGTGCATGTTACAAATATATGTAAATACATACATGCATACATACATACATATGTACATTTATATGTATGAGAAGTGATAATTAATATTACTCTCAATTCAATTGGATTTGTAAAAATGTGTGATTATCTCTCTATATTCTGTGTCTTTGAACATTACATTTATTCCGATTATATTGTATCCTTCTTAATTATCTGTTTGCACTTTAAAGCCCTTCATATCTTTTTGAAATAGAGAAAATTTCTAGTCAAATTTTTTTGGGGAAATTTGACCTTCGATTTAATGTCTAAATATTTTTCGGGTTTTAGTTTTAACAAGAGAAAAGAAGAGAGGAAACTGAATGAGACCGTTAATTTTAGTCACTTGCTTGAATTTAAGTTAATTCTTTATTAATGTTTGACTAAAACTGTTGCTTGCCTGGCAATGTTGGTTTAGGTCTACTTTTGAAGAACAATTTAAAATATCTATCAAAAGGGAAATGTTAAAAAAACGTTACCCTTTTATTTCCCAACTGGGATATTTATTTTGCTTGAAAGGTATTTTGGAAAATATCGATGATCGATACACGGTTGTGGTAAGGCAATCGATATTTTCCAACCCATGTCCACTTGCATCACTAGAGGTAAGTTGCAGGGTGCTTAATGCAATGCAACAACAATATCAGAACAACCCACACATGCGCAGAGCCAGTAACTGTGTTGTTTGCATTTGCATCCACCACTGCATAAGACTTTATTTACTTGCACTTCTACTACACTTTAATTATCGTGTGGGCATTTCTCTCTCGTTCATCGTAGACGGCGGACACATCTCTCTCGTGTGTTTTCGTTTGCAAACACGGTGGTGTTGTTGGTTATTCCGACATGTTGTTTAAAGCCGGTTTTCAGTCTGTCGCTGATTTTGTTCAACGGAACTTGTGCAAGCGGGAAGTTGCTGTTGTGTACATGTCAACTTCAGAGTAAAACAAAAGAAACAAAATATAGTTAAACGAACATATATGTGTATATATTAATTGAATAATACATAAAAAACATGTAAATAGAAGCCTCGCTTGGGCGAATGTGTGCAATATCGTACAACTTACGTGTGAATATAAAGGCATACGTATGTACGGTCGTGTTTCTGTGAATGTTCATGTGTGTGTGTGTGTATATGTATGTACATACAATTGTGAACTATTTTAAACAACTACCTACAGACATACATACATACATATGTACTACGTAAAGTGAAGTGAAGTGCAGTGCAGTTCGTCAAAATGGCACACGAAGAAGAAGAAGAGGTGCGGTCGTTGCTTTTGAGACATCAGGAGCGTATAATGCTCGATCTCGGCAGCACGGATATGCTGGCTGTGCTGGTGAAAAACTCGGTGCTTAGTCAATCTGAGGAAGATTTATTAGTGAAGTCATATCCGCCAGAATCTACCGTTGTTGACACAGTGGCCGCGGATGCGGAGTCGAACAGTGGAATAGTAAATGGCGATCAAGGGAGCGACAATCGATCTCTGACGCCGAGTAATAGTGGTGGAACGGAAGCGGTGCCCAGCTCGTCGTCGTCGTTACAATACAATTCGTTGAACGACGCAGACATTCTGCGGATGCAATGCACCAATCTAATCGAGATCATATCGAAAAGCGGATTCGAGAAGTTCAAACAATTCTGTTACGCCATCGAATGCGAGTGCCCACAGCTGATTGAGGATTTAATTAACGATCGCCTAAAAAGCGGTAAGACTCACTGACTATATTTCGTCAACCGGTTTTCCTACGACTTCCTCCATCGCCCCCGCCCCCGCCCTGCTCGCAACGCTAGCGTTGTTTAACAAGTTTTGGTCGATCAATGCGACACTCAGCCCATATGGCAGCTATTTCACCTGTAAATTATACGTGTAATTGTTAAATATTCAAATTGGTTTTGCACACATACATACATACCTACTTACATCTGTATACTATATACATGATTGCGGTTACAACGACAACAACATAATAATAGGTTGTGGTACTGGAAGTGTACGTGCGGCCATAAACGGTGTCGTGATTAGATTCTTTAAAAAAAAATACGCATTTTTGCAACGCAGTAGACAGCATGAGAATATCTTGTGGATTTCTTCATACAGTCTTTCCAACGTCGAATTTCTAGCGAAGTTGTTGTCGTTGTTGTCCTATTTTTATGGTACACATAGCTAATACAGAACTTTCATGTGCTAAACCTGTCATCAGTCCGCCAGCCTAGCGATTCGTCATTATGAGAAGAACACATCATAATGGTCTTGCTATTGTCTCTCCTTTTGTGTGTGTAGATACATATGTACTTCGTAATTACGTACGTGTGTTTATAATTGTGTGCGTTTTCCGTGTGCCATTCTTATGTACATACATACAAGTATGTATTTGTACGTTGGGTTTTCTATTTTTTTTTTCGCATTTCCTGCACAGATTAGTTCGACTGCGAAAATGATCTGCGATATAATCGTAGAACATTTGTCGTTTTTTTTTTTATTGTTGTGGCTTTATTTGTTTGGAAATGCCAGTTAACATAATTACCAAAATTAAAAAGCAAAATAATTGAGCCTGCTAGCTTTGTATTGGATGCAAACACCACCTATGTCAGCTTTATAATATAGTCGAAGATGGATATTCCTACAATCTATTTCTATTTGGTACAGATATTTTCATATCACGATTTAGGCATCCTGATCGTTTCAAGGCATATCACTAATAATAAATGATTGATTCCTCAGAAAACGTAGAGTTTTTAGTGAAATTATTGTAATTCGACAAACGAAATGGTTTGATGAAATTTATAAACGTTGATTTGCATTTCGTTTTTAGTGAAAAGTCGGCTAAAACGAAAAACGTCTTAATGTCCGATTATGTTACTCTTTGCTTTATACATCAACTCTTTTTTAAGTCAGATTGTTTCTATGGCGGCTGAAGTTATATTTTAGCTTTGTATTAAAGCAAAGATTTTTAAAATCTTTGTGCAAAATTTCGACTCATAAGCGTTAAACTGACAGACTAGCTTGCGTAGGAACACACAAACGGACATGGATATAGTTGTATATCCATACACCGCCTCTGGTCAATCATTTATTCAGCAGATGAGGTCTGGCAGGCCTTCGCAAATGTTTTCATCTGTGAATCCGTCCTGTTAATATCTGCAATAAGCTCGAACCATTTTGCGAAGTACATAAATGTATGTACATACATATGTGCACATAAATAATCAACTGCGCACTGAAGAAAATGCTTTCAGGTATTAATTTAGCCCTTATACCTATGTACGAATGTATATTTATGTGTCTGTGCATTTCCTGCATTTTATTTTTGCGGCTACTGCTGGCAAACTTTGTTTACACACATTGTTGTATATGGTTGGATTGTTGTTGTTTTCATTTCGTTACTTTGCATCTCCCTTAATGCTATAATGAGCGCTATACACGCCATAACCGATTGTACCAATTGTGCTCTCTTAATCTGTAGGAACAATTGGGTGTTTGGGTCATTCTAACTACTACTTGGTCGTACGACTCAATTCAACTCTTGCAAATTTGAAAACATATTAATCTAAGTCTGCTGCACGCTAAAAGGGAGTGATCGACATTTTGATACCCTTACAAGCCTCTAGGAAGAGGTAAATAATTATTTATGTTGAGAGAGTTGCAGAATTTTGAATCTATCTTGAAAAATTGTTCGCATGATAACGGGATCCTTGCATTGGTCTGTGTCGGAACATTGCTTAGACTCTACTTGGGCAGTATTTTAGCAAAAAACGACGCACTGATATTCCCTTAATCTTTCATTCATTTTTGTTGTCTTTTTCATAATTTAAAAGGCAATTATAATACAAATTCTGCACAACGAACTAAAAAAAAAACAAAAACTACAATAGAAGACTTCCCAAAAAATATCTGGCACTTAAGTATATACATAATAATATTTGAGGTAATCTGAAGTATTGTGAAAGTTCGTCATTTGTGATTACACCTTTCCGCATTTTCTTATTTCATGACGATTGCGGTTATGTCATGATTTATCACGATTTGTGGTTTGGATTATCAAGACAAGAGTGCATCGACTTTTACACTTTCGGCGAGGCAGCCAAAAACTGATAAGACATAAATAGCATTCTGTGAGATTCAGGCAGCCTTGGGAATTAATTCACCCAGCATACATAAAATATTGCATGATCATTTAGCCGTGAACAAGATTTGATCTCGTAGAGTCCCACATAATTTGACGAAGCCTCACAAAGCCGTTCGTGTCGATTGGTGCAAGGAAACGATGAAAAATATCATCATCTGACTCTGTGTACAGAATTTATACAGGTGGCAAGAACTTGGATCTAAGCATGTGATCCGGAAACTAATCAACAATTGACCGTGTGAGTCTGCCAAGCTGAGACGAGCTCCACAAAAGTTGTTCGGGCCAAGCGCACCTCGGAGCAATTGGTGCCCTCTTTCTTTAGACAAATGGGTGATGTCGCAGGCATGCCCTTTGAAAATCGTACATCGCACGCAACCATTTGATTGCCAAAAGTCAGTGGAAAAGTAAGGGTAATCTATCAAAGGGGACGCCAGCGAAAATGTGTCATTTCCCTAGCAGCCCAGACTTTGAATTAAATGACATTTTTCCAGTCCCGCATCTTCAAAATAAATTGCGTTTTAAAACATCCGAAGAAGCATTAAATGTGTTGAAAACTGATGTTTTGGAGGTACTTGAGTGGAGTGGAAAAAGTGCTACAAGTTTCTTGAGCCTCATATGTGGAAATACTATAAATATATTTTCAATGCTCAATTACTGCATTTAATGGGCGACATCGATGGCTATTGTGAGGGGAAAGGAAAGTTTTTAATTGTTTCCGACAATCACCAAAATAAACAGAGCATTTCTGTCTTTGATTGAAATAGTAAGAGAAGTTAAATAAAAATATTCCTGGAATAGGGAAACTACATTCTGGTGATATAAAACGCTGCGGGCAAAAATGTATTAGTTTGCTTTTCTGTTTTGCTGAATCGCCTGACTATGATGAAAAAATGACAGTCTCTTTCGTAGTATTGTATTCTACACAATCTCAGCAAAAAAGATAAGAACATTTGCTGATTGAAATATACCAGGAAAACAGAGTCCAACTTGTTTATAAACCCCACACATTAAAGGCCACACAGGCAAATTGTTTGTACAACATTTTTTTTAAAGAGTGTTAAAAGTTTTAACGACTCTTGAATGTCCTGCACCTATCCTACAGCCTTTAAACAAAATTAAACATAGCAGTAGGTTTTAATTAAACTTACATATACATATGTAAAGTTTGGTGAGCCTAGCTGTTATGGTTTAAAAGTTCTCGGTGTTCATACAGACGGACAAATAGACGGGCATTTCTATCTGGCTAAGCTGATAATGCCCTTTCACCCATCGGATACAGTGTATAAAAAGAAAGATTTCCTTCACAACAAACATTCTAGGGACTTGTTTGTAAAATTGATGCAACATTTTTGCTTAAACTTAAAACAGCTGATTAATTGCGATCTTTTCAAAAAGGAAAACTTACATTTTTATGGCTTTTTGGTAGCGATTTCAGCATAAAATATTAAAATTAATTTCCTTAAACACGGTGCGTACATAAATTATTAGTATACACGTGTTTTGTCTCAAATAGAAAGCGTGTGACTTCCTTAAAAGAATGGTTTTCTATTCATTCATTAGCCCACAACCGAAACCACTAGCGACAGAGATTTTAAATTTATTTATATTTTTTGAGTGAACGTTTTGGTCATAGATCTTTAAGAAATACAGTAATATATAAGCAATATACTTTTCAACATAATGTGTTGAACATTTAAGTAACAAATATTTTGTTAATGGTCTTCAACAACTAAGATTTAAGACAGTAAAAAATTCGAGAGACAGTAAAAAAATGAGAGTAGAAATATAGGAAAGTACAGGAAGCTTGAAGGGCGAATAAAATTAATTTAGAATTATGCTGCCAGCAAACAATAGATTAAAATCTGCTTGCATTTAATTATGGATATATACAGTGCCCGACTCAACTTGTATGTATTAGTTGCGCTTCTTTAGAAGAGCAGCACTATATGTATGTATAGATGCGCTGAAAATACATATATCGTACATACATATATACATATGCGTTCTACAAACACTTATTTTTATCATAAATAAGCTGATGTTAATCTGCCGAGATTTTACTGATAACAGGCGCGCCTTAGCTTCATGAGTTCTCTTTCAGACCGAAAGTGGCGCACGGGCCCAAGTGTGAATTTTATGATTTTGTCAAGTATGAAAACCAGATGCCCCCGAACACGGTCTGGAACTCTTAGGGAGTACTGGCGGTACCCCACAGATGCCACTAACTTGACTCAGCGGCCAGATGCCGTTGCTGGTTGGTTCTTTTTGGCTGCATTTAAAAAGCTTGGCAGTCGGTTGCTACTTGAAGATTTTGGGGCGGCAAGGGAAAGGGCTGGGCCGAAATATAAATACTGCGCACCACCAGCAGAAAGTATTTTCAATTTCAATAAAAGTTCGTGTGGTAAATAGGCGAAGCGCACTCTTTCACAATGCCCCACAAATATTCCCCATGGCAGCCGCAATGCAGCCGCCACTTTCCAGATCCCGCATAATGCTCGCCGCACCAAATTGAAGACGACTGGGCCTTGGCTGGCTGCTTGGCTGTCTACGGTATTTTTACATCCATTAATTGCTTCTGGGAGTATGTGTGTGTGTGTAATTTTGAATACGGAAAATAATGGCACATGCACTGTTTTTTCTGTTCAGGAAACTTAATTTTCGAGTTTCGTTTTTTGTAGACCAAACAAACATTTTCAGTTTACAGCCTTCTTTCTTATACCTCGAATCGATAAAATGGCTTAAGATTTATAGAATTTAATTAAAATTTTCTTAAAAAGCTGTAATGTATTTATTATTTAAATAATTATTAGGGAGAACTCACTAGCTTATAAATAACAAGAAAATACATCTAACAAGCTTCACAGGAATATAATAGAAATATTTAAATGTATAAAATAAAAAGTTTCTAGCACAGGTTCCATTCAGAAATACAAAAAATCTATATCAATCCGCTGTATTGGACTTATAGATTGCTGATGCTAGCTTTATTAAATTCTTGATTTAAAATATTAGGCTTTTTTAAATTTTGTGGAATGATTTCCCATCTGTCTCTGACTTTTACGATATCTGTACACATTAATTATTATTTATGATTACAAAAAACTGCTACAGCATGTGAAACATTTTGATTGTTCAGTTTTCTCATTTAATGTGTAGTTTTATTCAAGTTTGTTGCCAATAAAGTTGACCTAATATAATAATCCTGAAAAATACAAAATATTATGTTATACAATATAAAATATAAACACACTGATAATGATAAGAAATCAGCAGTTTAATTTAGCATCTACCCATGGATCAAGACCTATAATTTAGTGATAATGCTTTTAAAAACAAAATTGCACAAATTCCAAAATAGTATTTTCTTTGACATAAACAAAAAGCAAAATAGTCTTAATAGGCTGTTTTATTTTATTTTAATTTCGTAAATATCGACAAAGCCCTCTTGTTTTCCAATTTGTTTCAAACTGGCAATTATTCTTATTATACTCTTATTTCCCATGTATTCCAAATGCCACGCCAGCTTTTTTAATATTTCTTTTGAAAAATAAGCTAAAAACTGCACTCATTCTGTCTGTTTTTGAAATAGAATAGATTTATGATTAAGCCGCCAAACAGAGTGCTGAAGATTACAAGTTTTTTTCTTTAAAAAAAAACGTAAATTTTTTCATTAACATCATAACTCTTTAGTTGCATATGAAGGTTATATTATTAGTTAACCTTTGACAAATTATGTCGCGCTCAAAAGCGAGGTTTCTTTTTATATTTGCTGAAGTTAGCTAATTGCTGCAGTTTATGGTACGACGAATTGGCGTCTTCAAACTTTGTTTTATACGACATCTGCAAACATTGCATTGTCCGAGTTTAACGACTTGTTAATAATATTAAAAGAAAAATCTGTTGAAGCGACCTTTCAATAATTATGAACCACAATTCCAAGAGCAGTCACTGATGGGGGCTGAGTAGCTGATGTCTGTTGTTTGTTGTAGGTTTATCAATTTCAATTAATTAACCAATAAAAGTTAATTAACAGCTATTAAATCTCTGGGCCTGACACGCCAAGCATGCTTAATCAAATTAATTGAGATAAGCCTGAACATAACTGACAAACTGATGGCGCTTTTTATACACTGGTCCCCGAAGGGTTAATGAATAAATATACATATGTACTACAACGCAAAAATGTATGCTCGAGTATATGGTCAGCATGACTGGTCGAATGCCCGCCTGTCCGTCTGTATGAACATCGAGAATTTTTGAACCATAACTGCTAGGTTCACTAAACTTGGTATATAAGTTTGTCTTATACTTGTGCAGAACGAGTTTATCACAAACCATATATAGCCTTACTATTTTATATAGCTGCCATAGGGCCGATCGGTGGAGACTTCACTCTTAGTAGGATCCCTTGTTTGTTTATAAATAAAACTTTGTGTTTAATTGTTTCAGTTTCATTAAAATTTGCTCACCATATCATAAAGCTGGAATAGGAATATATGCATTAAAAAGCACTCCTTAAACTGAACACTTTTATGTATAGTGCGGTATCTTAACCAAATTGCAGCCTAGATGGAACTTTTCTTGTAAAAAGATAACATCTGTAATTTAATACTTTTAAGTTAAAGGTACAGAGGCAATATTATGACGAAGCTGCATATGAAGAACAAGTCTCTATTACATAAGACAAAATACAACTAATGTATGTTTAAAGAATTCCGAAGCGCGTAGAAGGAAAGTTTATTTTCATTGGACTTTAGACAACAAACAAGAAATTCAAAACACAATTCGTTATTTTGTCATGATTTATTTGTGGAATCTTTTCCGTCCACTAATATGCTATGTGAGTTGTATTCCCGTAAAGCCAATAAACATGCAACAACTTTCTTCAGTTTGTAATTCATATATTTTTGTTATATTTAATCTCATGCTGCTCATTCAGCTGATACCTTAGAAGTGCGTCTTACTCGCTTCTACTCGATTGGTTCGACTGTGCGTATCTGTGAGAAATTCTGAGTGTTTTCTTATACACGACTGGGATATGCACGAGTGGCTGCACAGTAGTCACAAACATCTCTGAAGTCAATGTACGCAATTAAGATGAGCCCTCGAGCCTATTAAGTTATTAACTTCTTACCTTCCTCCTCCGTATAAAGCCAGCCTCAATTAGAGTTCATGGTAGATTTCTTTAGTAAATCAAGTTAAAATTATTCCCTTAGAGCAATAAATGGGAATATCACAGATTAGATATTTCATATTAGATATATTTGATCAACAATAACTTAATAATGTTGAAACTTCTGCCATTCAGAGCATATTTTTGCAATATTACATAGGTCAACATCTTTTAACAATAACATCACATTCTCCACTCAATTCCTTACTCAACAACAGATTCTTCAGAAGAATGCACCTCATCTCTTTATACACAACTCGTGTCACATTCCATAGGGTATTAAAGTTCTTTATTAGCATATTGGGTGGATCTTATTGATTCACAGTGCACATAGGAGTTTTTTTTTTTTTTTGATTTATTTATCGTATTGTATTATTCGATCTTCTTTGTTTAAGATTACATTCTTTCCTTCGTACAAATTAGTAAAATTTAAATTCCCTACAATTCCAGATTCCACCATCATTAACAGTAGCCAAAGCGATGAAAAGATTCAAGAGCAAATTAACACGATCGATGACACCAACAAGTAAGTAAAGCACTCTGTAGTTTTAAACCTATTTAGGTCTTAATTTTGCTTAATGTTTTAGTCTATATTTAGAGTAATTTATATCAAAGTCTCCCTAAATTCGAAGTGTAAACAAGTCTGTGTATATGTAAAAGCAGAATTAATGTCCTAGCTATATATGATTAGCATGACGAGTCGACGAATCTACTATATGTGTATCGAGATGTCTGTCCGTAGGAACATCGATAACTTTTGAATCATAAAATCTAGGGATAATTACTTGGCATCTAGCCTTGTCTTATGAATTAGCAAATCAAGTTGATCATAAAACATACATATGTATATAGTCTAATTATTTCATACAGCTCTTATGAAAAGTTTCCATTGAATAATCTCCTAGTGAAGTAAACGCTTTGTATATTATAATATCTTCAACAAATTTGGATATATAATGCAGAGCTTTATATGGAAACCTCATCAAAATCAGTAAGATGTAGTAGGAAGGTAGGCTGTGAAAGAGGGAACGGGTACAGGGTATGTGAGCAATCCCCAGTCTATTGGGTACATGTAATCAATTAGAAAACTAAATTACATTAAATTAAGAACGTTAATTGGTGCATGTAGTTGCGTAAGTTCCCAGTTGCATTTTAGAACCGAATTGACATATCAATTTAAACTTTTCTGGGGCCCCTTGCTTCAACTGGACCGCATCAATTGACACGAGACACTTTTCGCCAATGCGTATAGCAGAAGAAAATATATAGCGTCTAGTATTGTTGAAAACTGCTGGAATACCTATCGATTTCCTACTTCTTATCGGAACTCTAAAATGGCATTCATTACCATGAATACATATCTTCAATAATATCGCATTCACAACATTTTTATAAGGAACCATCAATTCAGCTTTGTAAACAAAACAGTTGATTTCTAATATGGTTTTCTAGTGCATGCCAATTATACAGGGTGTTGGAATATTTTTGAAATGCGTTAGATGTGTTGGATTGAACTCAAATGTCAAATGCTTAATTAATTCAAATGATCGATCAGTCAAACGAACGAAAGAGCATCTTAAGAGAAGTAGAATAATACTTAACTGAAATATTGATGTATTTATTAATTAATGCACGACTGGGTTGAAGGGTATGCCGTATTCAGGATCGCCCAACCCTGCGCTCTTACTCGCCTGTATTAAAACGATTTAGTGGACAATATTCTCATCACATGTCTTCTATTTTTGTGTGCTCCCCATTTTCTGTCGCTCTTTAAAATTTATTTCGGTTCTTTTGGTCGGATCGGCCCAGCAAAGAGTGTGGCATAAATATTTGTGTCGCGCTGTTCGAGTCAGTTTAAAAATTGATCGCGTTCCGCGTACATATTCATGTTCCATTCGTTTGGCAATATTTGTTTTTAAATAAATATGTTCCCACAAATGTGTATTTAATGAATGTTTTGTGTCTGTGAAAATCGTGCTTTTGCATCGAAAAGAAAAAGCGTGCAATAACAAGTATTGGAAAACTAAACAATGTTAAGACCTTCCAATGCAACTTAGATGAGCAATATGATGGGAAATTGATTAGTATTGTGTGGAAAACACTTTTCATTTTGCTTTGAGGTTGTAGTACTTACTTTACACTAAATAAGTTGAACAGACAAGTGTATATATAGTGAACGAAAAATTTTGAGAAACGGTAGTATTTTCTGGAGAATCTTCAGTTTAAAACTGTTTAAATTTTGAGATATTGCTTCATACCCTGCAAAAATTTACTGTTTAAAAATCCACAAAAAGCTGACGTCTGAAATATATATTTTTTGCCGAGACCGTTTTTCTCTACAAAAATGATAATCATTGAGAAAATATGAAATACTCATGGGATGACTTCCAAAAGTTTCGAAACATTGACTTTAGGAGCACATAATACATACATATAGGTGGTAATTAATACGATTATGTTTTCTTTTAATTTAACCCGCAATTCTACAAATTGTATTTGTGTTTTTATAGAACTGTTGGAACTATCCATAAAATGTGATGGTGGAGGCCTATTATTTTCCTAGTTTATTACCCCTACATTTTTAGTGATCTTTTGCATATACTAGTGCACAATTTTAACTTTGTGGGTATATAATTTGTTTGTTACATATTATTTACTATCCAGACAATCTTTCTCTTCAATAGCAAAATATGCTTTGACGTCCACAGGAAAATGTCTTCTCATATTTATTTTTATGCCAATTATTCTTTGAATACTCATCTCGGAATTCCCAATAAACTGAGTGCAGTCATCATTCTATTTTCCCAATTCTCATTAAAATACGAGGGTACGAGGGGGGTTTAATAAGTCTTAAAAATTGGGAAATTGAAATCCTTAAACACCATTTTGTCATTAGTTCATCAGGCGACTGCTTTCAAAGTTATATCGATGTTTATAAGTTCTCAGTATGGTTTAATCTCATTTTTTAATAAAAATAAATTCATAAACATGAAATAAATCAAACGATCGACCAAGACTATAAAGAATAAAGTGCATTCGATTCAGGAATTTGCTATTGCATTTCTAATGAGACTTAAATCCAAAACTACGGTCAAGATTCCCAAAACGATCCATAGAATTATAAATATACTCATCATTATAGGATTGTCAAAATAAAACAAAAGTTTTATTTACCAAAGAACAGAGTGTTATTTTATGAAGGGCTGAAGAAGAAGAAGGAAGAAAAACGCGGAGCGAAGTATACTAAGCTAAATGGAGAAAATTAAAAAAAGTATACAATCCACGATTTTCCATTCCTGACTTATATTCTGGGGATTATTAATTTAACTTGTGTTCAAAATTATATAATTAATTTACTTTCTGGGCTCTGTGCAGGATATGCGCCAATACCAAGTGATATAAAAAGTGTTGTGGTTAAGAAAATAAATTTCCACTCCCGCAATAGCTAAGTATCTCAAAACTAGTAGAAGTCTAATGACTTAGCAATTGTTTCCCGGGATTTAGCAATTGAAATAATATAAGAACGTGTAATATTTACAATCGTAATCATAAAGGCCTAGCTATCTACAAACTATAATCCAGGCCAAGTAAAATAAAGAGTGAAACTTTTCTCGCAACAGAGAAATACAAATAAATATTTTGAGAAATGTCGCAAGGCAAGAAGGTTTGCTACACACTTCCCGAGTGCTCTAGCGACGAAAACGAAATGGCGGACAGTCCAAAAGATAGCGCCAGCGATGACACTTTGGAAAACGCCGTGCATTCAGGCTATAGCTGCGAAAACTGTGCGCTAGACTCGGATGCCACCAACACATCATCGTTGGGGAATAATATTGATTGCATGCGTAGACACAGATCCCGGCATTATGCGTCGGCACGTTCTCGGGTTTCCCTACCTGTGTACCGTGGTAGTTGCTCTCGGGAGCCGACTCCGCAGCTGGGCGCCTACTTTGATCCTTACCAGGCAGGTGGAGCCCCACAATGGGGTTACTTTGTGCCATTGCCGGCGAATGGTTTCTTTAGTCCGCCAATGCAGCGTCGGTGCTACAGGTGGGCGGGAGGAGGAAGCACTCAGACAATCACAGTATTATAAACCTAAACATCAATTTTCTTCTTTTTTTGCAGAGAAGAGGAAAACGATCGGAATCGTCGTGCGAAAAGCTACGGTGGCGCCTCATCTCCTCATTCGGCGACCATACCGCGTGCAGCACCGCGCCGTCTTCCGCTCATGAAGGAACCCCCACCACCACCGCCCCCCAAGCCACATCTGACATTGAAAGCATCGTTGCAGTCGTTGGACCCGCATGCTTCCAATATCATTCCCAGCAAGTTCCCGCACTCAGAGTACAATCTTATACACAAGACTGATTCAAACAGCACTCTGACGGCGGCAGCGCAGTATCAGACCCAAAACGTTTACGCCAATACGGGCACTATCTCTTCCACGAACGGCTACGGATCGCTCTTGTGCCATGCCAGCAACACTGGAAGTCCCCTGGCAGTACGCAAGCGCGACAAATTACTCCATCGGTTCAGCGATGCCGCCACCCTCGGACGCAAGCTCAAGAAAAAGAAGAACACGAATCGCACCTGCCGATCCATGACTGAGGCTATTGAGATGCTCGCCGATCCAGTAATCGAGGATGAATTTTTCGTAAGTACCACCGTCTTTATCCTTCAACTTTTTCCCAAACAAAAGCTATGTATTCTTTGTTAAATACATATGTATGATGGGTGTGTGTTTTTGGGTTTTAAGCTCTGTCGCTATTATCGCATTTATTCTTTTTTTTTTCTGTCTCTGGAAATTGTATTACGCCCGATAATTTTTTGGTTTTTATCTCCATCGTGCATTTCCAGTGGAAAAAATGTCGTTTAGCTTGCTGCCAGAATATACATATCTATAGGCTTTTCAGTTTCAATTTGTTGTTCATTGCGTTGTGTGTGAATCGTATTCGTTCGAAGCTTGCAAGTTCGAGGTGCAAAAATGTTCAATTTTGGACAACTATGTGCTTGAAATTGTAGCTATAAAAAATGTGTTTTCCCATTTCCTAGTAGGCTGCTATTCGCTGTAAAGAAATGTTGGAAAAAATGTGAAAAAAAATCGTGTATTACACTTTTGTCAAAAGCCAACTTGTCACGTAAAGGGGGCGTACTAACTAAAGTAAAAAACAAAAACTGCCGCCTATTTGCGTATCAGTTTCAGCAATGCAATTGGCTTTGGAATAGAATTTGGGACAAGACTTAGCAGTAAGCCCCCATAGTTTGCAAATCAAGCTATCGGATTAGCACAGAATTTGAGTAGCTCGTAGTTCGTAGCTCGGAGCGTATTGGAGGTATAGCCGCCACCCCTTGCTATGCATTAGCTAGAAATTTAAAAATTCACGCTGCAGGAAGAGACACACTGCTAACAAAAACAAAGTAAAGTAGATGGAAAAACAAAACTGTCATAAAGTGTGTCAATTCTTTAGCTAACATTTGCCTTGCCAAGCTATGCTATATACATACATATGTATATCTGTACATATGTATGTTTGTTTGCATGTACTGTTTGTGATATATTCAACCAACAGAGGCATATAGTACAATAAAAAAAACTTAAAGCAGAGTGAGTGAAAAAAATACAAGTGCACGTAATTGGATTAGATGCGTGCCCGGCTGCCTCGACGGCAAATAGCAGAAAAAGTTGTTGCAATAAAATCAGACAATTGCAGTGGAAAATCGAACGTGCAAAGTGTTAAACGTGTTGTGCGGCTCTCGGCCAAGTGTTGTCGTTGTCGTTGTTTTTTCTTCTTTAAAATTCTTGCAAGTTTAAAGTGTTCATAAGTGGAGAAGAATTTAGGCTTGCGCATAATAAAAAAAACTGTAGCATACTTTTCGGTGCCGAGCAAAAAATGAAGCCACCCACGCGTCGTCGCAGCTTCAAAACGAAACAATTAAAGGCGAATGCCTACAACCCCCTTGTGCGCTACCGTCCCGCCGCCTATGTGCGTAACGGCATTATTGGCGGCGGCGAGGCTCCCGTCGCCAATGGAGTGTATCAGGTCGACGATCGTATCTATACCACAAACAAAATGTTTTTGCGCGACGGCTACATGTATCCCCGCCAGCCCGGCCAGCCCATGGATCCGCGCTTTCCGCTTGAATTGCACCAATTTCCGGAACAATTTGGCGCTACAGGGCTGCAGTTGGTCAACACGCCCAAAGTTCACATTTCGGGCGAGTATCTCGCCAATGGGCAGGAGCAGTCTGGCGGATCTTTGGGGCGTGCTGCACGTAAAGCGGCTGCCGAAATCAACATGGCAAACGATGTTTTTTGGTTGCAAAAGCAACGTTCCCGCTCCCACTCGCACTCCCGTTCCCGTTCGCGCTCCCGTAGCAACAGTCTGGGCAACAAGAGTATGACCAGTTGTATGGGCAATGGCGGAGGGCTAGAACGACCCTGCATTCGCAATGTGGACGATTTGCTGCACGCGATTGGCAAGCGCGAGGGAAACACTAACAAAAATAGTGGCAGTCACGACACTGCCTTGATAAACTCTTCATCGCAACGACGCTTTAAGAAGGTATGTGTTTAAATATTAGGTGGGGTGGGCTGGTATGAGGGACGGCTAACAACTGCATTTTTATAAAAATAAAAACCATGGAGGGGGTCATTGACTCTATTGATTAATTCCCATAAATCTGCCACCCCTTCTTCTTCAGAGGAGAAGAACGATTTATTTATATAAACACATAACTCTTTGTTCTCATTTAAAAACAAAAGCATAGAGCTAAAATTTTTACTTATACGTTCTTTTTGTGAAGTACTTTAAAAGAGTTTTAGAAAATGCAGCTTCTAAGTGAAAAATAACTTTGTTTTCATTTGACTTACCCTAGGCTTGAGTTATTGCGTCCTATTTAGCAAATATATAGTTGAAAAAGCGTCTTCAAGCTGTAAAAGTATAATAAAAGTATATGGCTTAGTTAGATAAATGGCAGGCAATAAATTCATTTTTAACAAATCAAATTGAAATTATTTCCACAAATGTTAGACAATATACATAAAAGTATGTATATTTCGGTCTATTTTAATCGCTACTCCAATTAATAAAAAAATTTCTATTACGCTTATATATACTTTCACTTCAATTGAAAGGAATAGGATTTTTGCTTTAGATAGAGCCCTATTAAAGTACAATTTTGTATGTATAAGGCACTTGATGCAACTTGCAATGGTTTTTGAACAGTGTACTCATTTCGAATTCAGAGCAGAACAGGAGCTGGTACGGCAACAAAGAAAGGGCCACATTCCTAAAAATACCAACTTCACACTATCGGCATGTTTTTCATTTCTCTATGAATGCAAACTTGAACGAGGACACGAACGAGAACTACCATAATACTGCTTCCTCGGATGTTGGGCAGGCAGGCAGGCATAGACAGGCATAGGCATGCAAACAAGAAGCACTCCTTTGCAGTGCCCTCCCAATGAGTAAAATCTTTGAAGAGGCAGAGCAAACAGCTCTAAATGTGCAACCAATTTGAGACAACAACTCTCCACTCTCCACATGCTCCACCATGCAGCAACGTTGGGCAAACGGGTCTGCGGCTGACGCTGACGGTGACGCTGACGCTGAGCCTTAGTCTGAGTTTTGAGTCTGAAGTTAGGGGCAGTGTAGCAGCAAGCAACAGCGATGGCTTTTCAAAAGTTGCCCAGCAACATTTTTTCCAATCATAGATGTATGGACATGTGCGTATGCCTGTGTGTGTGTGTGTCTGTTTGCCTTAAAGGTGCGCACTGCTTGTTGTTTACCTGTGCTGTTGATTTGCCTATGTGTGTATGTGTGTGTGTGTGTATGTGCATAGGTGTGTGTAGGCATTTTTCAATTTATTTCATGTTATACACGTACGAGCGCTGGCTTTGCTTGCTTTTGCTTTCTTGAGCGCGCTCCGTTCATTTTAAAAGTCGACAACATTTGCTGGCGAATGGACGTGATTTACGGATGAATTTCATTTGATGGTGAAGCGGACTCGTTACTCGCCCGCCTGCCTTTTTTTCATCTTTTTGTTGTTGTGTTGTTTCTTAAATTCGCTCGCTGACATTTTTGCCGCCGCCGACGCCGCCGCGGCCGCTTCAGTCTTAAATCGACGCGCGCGCTCCGGACTAGCAGGTCTCTGCCTGGACATACACAGCAATATCAAATGGAATACTTGTGCCACTGAGCTCCCAAATGAAGGCTCTTAATATCTAGAAACTTGTGCTGCGAAAAAATACTTCATAGTTAATACTCAAGTGCCGTAAAACCAAAAAATTATACATACATTAATGTATGTATATTGTTTAAAGTGCCACAATAACGCCCTCAGATAGTTGTAATATTTATAACAATTAAATTGTTATACCAACATCACACCTTCAAGTAACGAATTCTCCAAAAACATTTCGCTGTCGCTTAAAGAGAAATTTGAAAGAATTTAATTAATGCAACATGTTGAGCTCTTCCCTCATCAGTCAAATAAAAAATCTGTTCACTGTTTGCCAACTCGGTGTTTCGTACTAAGAAAAATTAATACGTGGATTTAAGCCTTCAACATGGATATAGTCGGCGCCACCAGTGGCAATCCACACGTCCTGCCGAACAATCATTTTCGTCACGAGTCGCTGCTGCAACAGGTAAATGGAACGCGTTATGCTTAAGTTGTTCAATTTTAAAAATCAAAAACTATATACATACCGGGATGGGGACTGCACTACAGAATTTGCAAAAGTCCCCAAAACTTAAACTCTACAGCCAACAATGGCAGGCCAAGCTGCAGCTCCAGCTCCAACTCCAGCTCCTGTATGCAATAAAACCTGTTCAACAAATAAGCCAAATGAGCCGATTTGCAAACTTAAAGCTTCAAGTTGAGTGAAACTCAAAATACGTTTGACCCACAGCTCAACAAACTTTATGCATTTATATGCGCATATGTACATGTGCATATATATATATATGTATGTATGTATGTATGTATATTCAGTGTACATATGCATACATACTCGCACACACATATAGACTCTTAACTTGCCTCGAAAGAAAGAAAAAGTCTTTGAAATCAAGTTTAGTTGTTCAACTGGTTTTTTCTATTCGCTGTACCTCCGAAGTGGCTTTTTGGAGACTTACGTCGCGATGCGGCTTGCCGTTCTTTGTATAAGTGTTCGATTTTATGGCTAATTCGTAAAACTTCTGACCCATCGTTTTAACCATTTAGCGCCATACCATTGAATTGTTGTTTCATTCGAGCTCCGCTGGAATTCAGGCGAGATCTTAACAATCATTTTTAATCATATACACACTGAAAGAACCCACACTGAATAAATATTGGGATTTTTGCGAAAAATGTGGTCGTGAGTCAGCCCTTTCGACAGCTACCTGTTAGACGAGTAAGTACCTCGAATAGAGAAAATAATAAATGACAACAGCTGTGATATTTATCTCTGGGAGGATAAGTGTTGGAACTCCTTTTGGAATGCATGCCGCACCCAGCTTTAAATATGCATAAATATTTGTATATCTACATATATTCGTACATACATACATACATACATACATACATATGTATGTGTGTAGTAATTACTTGTGTGCACACACTTAAACGAGCAAATTTTCAATGTTTGATTCATTCGAGTTGGGCCATAATAACAAAACGAGTTTTTTGGTATGCGCAATGCAGTTTCACGGCTTGTGACACCACCAGACTGCATAACTTTGTGTGACAACAAAGTCTTTTTGTTTTATTAAATTGACTTGTTTTAGGCACAAAAAGGTGGGCTATTATGTTATTCAGTTGGCGCTTTGTCAATTTTCATTTTGTTATTTCGATCTCCATAGGCATTGCTGGGAATGAAAACCATCTTGTAGTAACGCACATACCATATTTTATAATGAATTCTAGCAAATTGGTAGCAAATTATTAAAAAATTAATAAACCTGTCTATACAATTCAACGTTTATTTCTTTAATTGAATAATTACGTCTCTCTGACGTATTTTGCCACCTAAAAGTACTTCTTCGATGTCAGAAAAAGCTATAAATTTGGTAAAACCCGACCTTGATATTGGATATTGCAATTCGATTTGATTTTTGTGTTTGAAAAAGCTAAAAAGAAGTCATTCACAAATCGCTCCATAGTACTTTTACTTATCCAATTCAAGAAATGATTTGAAACAGAGAAAAGCTTCAAGATTACATATCTAATTCACTGAATATGTTATTAGCATTCTTCATAGAAAGGCAACTTAGTGAGGGTATTCTCAGCTTTGGTACTTGCAATTTTTGTAATTCGAGATAAAATAATTATGTTCTCCTTAGAGACATCTAACAAAGTACAATTTGAGTATTCTTTTAAAGGAAATACTCCCAAACCAAACATGTTTTTATATCAAATAATGAAAAGAACTGAAGAAAGTGTTGAATTCATTCCAAGCTGACTTAAAATCACTACAGAAACACATCTTTAAGCCATATAAACGCACGAACTAATTAGTAACTAGCTTAAAAAAGTCCGAAGAAGTAGCTGATATTAAAAGAAAATACTTTCAAAATTACTGCATTGTTCAAAACCAAATGAATTCAAAGATTATCAGCGTGGTTGACAAATTCTTCGGCATTGCGCTAAACCCTCCAACCAGAGGGTACAAAATATATAGCTTTGTTTGTTTGAATCTAAAAGATCTTTCAATGGCACTCAGTGAACGTTGTCTCCGGTTCATAAAAAGTTCTGCAAGCTTGCACTTTTTGTGTTTCGCATATAAAGTTTAATTCACGGAATACACAAACATACTTTACACATACGAGTACATACATATATACTTCATATATGTACATTAATTGTGGATGATGACGATACAATGAAAGCGACTCCAATTGTTCTCATACATACTTATATACTGTCCGAGTATATGTACTATATTTCTTTGGACGTATATTCTTGACACTTAAAACGTTTAATAAGCACTCTTGATTGAATTAATGTCAATCCGTTTATAGTTGCAAGCATTGCTGGAGTCAGGGAGCGAGCAGTTCAATTGTAGCTGTCATGAATTAAGCTGGAATTGTGTGAGCTTTTCCACATAAAATATATACACCCATGTATGTACATGTGGAGGATTTGTTCTTTTATATTTCTTATCATAAACATCACAATACATAGATGATCAAATATCATTTGAAATTGAAAGAATGCCTGGGACATATGTTTTTCACTAACTAGTAGAATAAACGAAACTTCTCTGTTCTAGAGAGTATGTTTAGTATCGAGAATAATTATTGATTTTGTATTTGGTATTAAGAAACTACCTTTAAATCATAGAAAATACATTTTCTTAATCATTATTTTGTTGGCAAATTAGCAAGATTTAATAATTACTAAACGGTGACTATTTGCACTCTGAACCCGATGTATTTAAAGGGTATATTAGGTTTGCAAAAAGTAGGTAACAGACATTTTCGATCCCATTAACGTATATGTATTCTTAACGAGCATGTCGCGACAAATCGATCTAGACATGACTGTCCGCCTGCCAAGATGATTGTCTAGATTTCCAAAACGATTGTAAATACATTATCCAAACTTGGTATATGGACTCTCCGAATCCCTATGTAAACAATCCCTCATTCTATTGGCAGATAATTTGCTTCTTCTTTTTTATGTCTATTATGTATGTCAACACACTGTCCGGTTTGCTCGATTCCAATTCCAATTTATGCAGGCTCATAAAGCATTTCCCAATAATATTTAATGTTTTAAAAGCGAAGTCATTTCATAAGATGGAAAAAAATATATTAAATATTACTTGTTAAATTGTTTACACAGATTTGTTTAAAAAAGACGACAAGTACCTGCGAACAATAGGACACAGAAAAGATTTAAGAATAAGTGCCTACATTTTTGGCTTGAAAAAAAAAAAACACATGCTATCCAGACTCAATTATGAAGTGTCCAAATAAACGAGTTTTTTCTGTACACCCTCTTTTATCAGTGGGATTTCCAGTAAGTGATTTTAATTTGTGCTCTGCTTCAAATCTTTAACGAGTATTCATAAAGTAGAAAGATAAAGAAGAATACCGAAAGAAAACGCTAATAATAACATTAAATTCAGCAGTTTGTCAAATTCTATCAAAATGATTTTATTATTTATTGAAATATTATGTGCGGCAAGAATTCAATATATGTAAATGCATTCATTAACTGACAAAAAATTACTTAGACAATGGCTATATCATATGAAATACATATGAGTACTACAGGTGATCTGCGCTTGAAGGGCTATGCCCTAGTACTGCAGGGGATATTTAATATCTTGGTTTTATTCATTTCCGTTTAAAAAATCGCTGTTTACTTTTACGTTTTGTTTACATTTTTCTGTTCGTTGTTTCTTTTTGCTCAGTATTAGTGGGGCGGTCACTTAAATAATGAACGCCGCTACACAGGGTTACAGAAATGCATCCAAATTGTATTTACATACATACATATGTATGTATGTATATATGCACATAGATACATACATACATATCTATGCTGAATGCACTCCTACCCAAAACTACTTGTGAACTCTCTCTAAACAGCATACATAAATATGTACATACATACAGACATGCCGACAAATTCAAAAAAAAACACATACATACACACATATGTATTTATGCACGTCGATTTGTATATGTATGTGCATGTATGCAGGCATATACATGTGTATGTATGCCTGTATGTGTTTAGTTACAGAGCTACTGCATGCCGCATGGAAAGTTGATGTTTATAGCTGGCTGGCTGCGCTGTGCTGTGCTGCCTGTCTGCCTGGCTGGCCACTTATTTGAAGTTTGTTTTGTGCTGTGCCTTTATCTGTTATTTCTCTATTCACGGTTCGGTGTCTTTGGTGCGCTCCGCACTCTGCACTCCGCGCTCCGTTCAACGACTCTCTCGCTCTCCCATTACTTCTGAATCTTGTGACTGTCTGCCTGCCTTTCTGTTGTTGCCTGCTGTTGGCTTCTATCCACAATCGCGAGCAGTAGGTAAAATAGTTTTGAAGCGTGTTTCAAGCCGTCAACGTGAGTTCGGGAGAAGTTCGGCGCGACCAACGACCTAGACAAGGCGTTCTTCGCATTTTTCTAGATACTAAGTCATAAATTTGTTGTTTACCCTTCTGAAGTAAAATGATAATTTACATATTTGTAATGGGCAGTGCCGCAAACGATATTTCATAAATTGTGTCATATGTGTACCTGTAATTTTACCTGTATATAAATGTATTTCTATATACATATGTACATACATAGTATATACATATGTACATGTCGGACTAACTGATGCATCAAGCTATGCACAACTGAATGCACACGAATGCAATCCACTTTCAATGCATCCAATAGATACGTAAAGCCGTGATTCGAATGTGCAACAAAACAGGCCTTTGTACAGTTTATGATTAATAGTCTGGCCCGAAACTTTAATTACTTGAAAAGTTTGAAAAAATCTTGTTTCGAATTAGAGTTTGTTACCATAATTACAATGGAAGCAGTTTACATTTTTGTTGAATTTAAACAAAAGGACTAAATTGTTTAAGCAAGCAAACAAATGCACGATTTCAAAAGTTCGAAGTGCGTTTAATTAAAAAAAAATTCTCACACGCAACGAGAACTAAAATGAAATTTCCGGATTTTGTGCCGAATAATATGTTGGTAAGAAGCGCTCATTAAAACTTGTAATGATTTATTTTGTTTTCGTAAAGTTCAAAGTGTCTTAAAGTTCAAACTCTTATGCATAATAAAAATTACATTTTATAGACGTAGCTCATGGTGTTATTTTCAAGGTTGTTTGTTGAAAATTTCATTTTGAAATGATTAATCTACTCTTATACACATAGTATGTACATAAGTATGTCTGTATATAAACTGCAGCAACTGTTGCCCACACTTTAAATTTCTATAGAAGCAACGCATAATTTTGTTTGTAACTGCTAACGGAAGTCTTTTATACACTTCCCTCTCCAATAAAACGTACATACATTTATACATTCTCCTATATGTATGTATGTATGTATTGTTGAAGCTTTGTTGAGTTCGTCAACAAAATTATATTAATAAACATGTATTAAAATAAATTGAAAAAAGTGGGATATGAAAAGGAATGTCTCCCCGCATTTGTTTAGGAAAATCGTAATGTATTTACTCGTACATACATACATACTTGTATGTATATTTAAATCACATTCTAAACACCATTTATTTTCTTCAGGGTGATCGCACTACATGGGAATACCATACAGTTGCAGTGACGCGTGTGCCTGGTTATGGCTTCGGTATTGCCGTTTCCGGTGGGCGTGATAATCCCCACTTCGCCAATGGAGATCCCTCTATCGCTGTGAGCGATGTGCTTAAAGGCGGGCCAGCAGAGGATCGTTTGCAGTGAGTGTCAAGTTTTGAATTTATAATACAAATACTGAATACATATTTTGATGGTTATCAGTCTCATACGTCTCATACATAAAACATCTATGTAAATATTTACATGTAATAATGATCATAAACTTATAAAAATGGTTGATATTTGTGTCCTTTAAATAAGGCTTTTAAACGCAACATATGCACAGAATTTGCCTAAAAATGTATGTTATCTAACAAGTAGGCTTTGGAAAGTAATTCGCCTAGAAGCTTAGAATATAAAAGTTCGAGTTAAGAATAAAGAGGTACTACTAGTTTTCTTTGCAATACCATTACACTAATGACATACTTGTAGAATTCGAAAAATTTGCGTGCCCAACCGTAGTCTAAGGCTCTTTTTTATAGCGCTGTCGTCTAAGCTATCACACATTGTACATAGATATGTACATACATACATATGTACCCTTTGTACATTATCGTTGACAATCAAAATTCCAATGTCATCATCTCTTAACAAAAACGACAGAAATGGTGCCAGCAGACAGGCAGCTAGAGTTTACTTAACATCGGTATCAGGTGAAATACCTGAGCTGTTACAATTAGAGAGAAGAAACCATTTAATATGGATGGTGTGTAGGTGTGAAATGCGGGGACAAAAGAGAATTAGCTGTAAAAAGAAGACCGCTCAGACGCTAGCATTTCGGAAGAAACTTGCCATGGCTATTGGCTCCAATTTATTTCTAAGATCTGACCCAAAATTGTAATTTTGGGCAACCTAGTCTCGCTTTATCAACAGGCCCCAAAATCCAAAAGAATTGTAAACAAATGGGGTCTACATGGAAGGTAAAAATGTATGATAAGTTTCCTCCTATAGCTCCTTAGTTTAGACCCGCACTGAATAGGAAAGTAAAAAGCCTTAAAGAGCCAACTTTTTAGGAAAAGAGTAAAAACAAACAAAATGAAGGCAAGAAATTTAATAACAAAACAAAATTCATAATACTAATAACAATTGTAATTAGGTCTATTTATTTATTACAATTACAATGATGGATCTTTACTCACCACAACGATTTCATTTGATTTTCTATTTAGAGTTAACGATCGCATTATCTCCGTCAATGGGGTGTCTTTGGAAAACGTTGAATACGCCACCGCTGTGCAGGTGCTGCGCGATAGTGGGAATACTGTTACGCTCGTTGTGAAGCGTCGGGTGCCGGTTAATGCTTCTTCGAATGCGGTGCCACAACAACACCAGCACTCGAACAGCATGAGCTCTGTCGGGCTGGCAAACGGCAGTGGCAGCGGTGGACTGTCCAACCAGACATCGATTGCTGGTGCCGTACTGCCCGGCGTAAGTCAGCCTAATTCGCTGAACTCGTCCCTGGTACAGACTGCCAGCCAGTCCGGCCAGCCCATCAAGGTCACGCTCACGAAGGGCAACAAGAAAGACGACTACGGAGTGGTGCTGGGCTGCCGGCTTTTCGTCAAGGAAATATCAGCTAAGGCGCGGGAGCAGTTGAACGCCAATGGCTACTCCTTGCAGGAGGGAGATGTCATAACGCGTATACACAACACCAATTGTGGGGATACAATGAGCCTCAAAGAGGCCAAGAAGATCATTGATGGGTGCAAGGAGCGCCTCAATCTGGTCGTATTGCGCGATCTAACGAATCAGGCAATGGTTAGCCCACTTAACAATTCGGGCCAACACGCGAACATTTATGCGACGCATCAGCCGCAGGTCTCCAACTGCAGCAATAATCTGGACGACGCCTATTTGCCCGGTGGAGCGAGCTACTCATCACAGAATCTCTACGTGCAGCCCCCGACACGCACCTCAAACGCACCAATCAATGGACTCACCGACGAGAAGAGTAATCTGACCCCGCGTGGACGCTCCCGTGGTCCTCTGCTGGATGGCGTTTCACTGCAACAGCTGGACCAGCCAGTGACGCCAACAAATGGACGGGCACGTGTCAACGAACCACCGCGCCCGCCACCTCCACGCGGCAGCGGGGGCGGCGGCGTCAACGAAGACTTCTACAGCTCCAGACGGCAGCTATACGAAGAGGACAACTTGGTCCGTAACCGTCAGTCCGCCGAGCCGCGCTTCATTTCGTTCCAGAAAGAGGGCAGCGTTGGCATTCGTCTGACGGGTGGCAATGAAGCGGGAATCTTTGTTACCGCCGTGCAACCGGGCTCGCCGGCTTCACTGCAGGGTCTGACACCCGGTGACAAAATTCTCAAAGTCAACGACATGGATATGCACGGAGTAACCCGCGAGGAGGCCGTACTCTTTCTACTAAGTCTGCAGGATCGGATCGACCTCATCGTCCAGTACTGCAAGGAGGAGTATGAGGAGGTGGTTACCAACCAACGCGGCGACTCATTCCACATCAAGACACACTTCCACTGCGATAATCCTTCCAAAGGCGAGATGGCTTTCAAAGCCGGCGACGTGTTTCGGGTCATCGACACACTCCATAATGGTGTTGTGGGCTCCTGGCAGGTCTTAAAGATTGGACGTGGTCATCAGGAAATGCAACGCGGCGTCATACCAAACAAGTCACGGGCTGAGGAGCTCGCCACAGCGCAGTTTAATGCCACTAAGAAAGAAATGAATGCAAACGAATCGCGAGGAAACTTCTTTAGACGTCGACGGTAAGTTCATCTAGAGTTTTCGAATGTTTACCTTGAAATAAAAGAAACTTTCCCCCAAAAAAAAAAAATTAGGGAATTCTTTCGATTCCACACATGAAAAGTCAAAATTTGAAAACCTAATAATTAGATCTTTTTCAATCCGAATAAAAATGAATCTTAAACCCCCTAGTAACATCATAAAATATGTAATAACATTAATCTCTGCACCCTCTTAACAGGTCCACACATCGCCGCTCGAAGAGCCTCTCTCGGGAGAATTGGGACGATGTCGTCTTTTCCGACAGCATTTCCAAGTTCCCCGCCTACGAACGTGTAGTGCTACGTCATCCAGGCTTCGTGCGACCCGTTGTGCTCTTCGGACCGGTGTCTGATCTGGCGCGCGAAAAACTCGCCAAAGACTTTTCCGATAAATTCTCGACACCGTTACAGGACGACGACAAATCGAATGGAAAGTGCCGCATCGTGCGACTCTCCAATATCCGTGACATTATGGATCGCGGAAAGCACGCCTTGCTGGACATAACACCCAATGCCGTAGACAGACTTAACTATGCACAATTTTATCCCGTCGTGATCTTCCTTAAAACCGATAGCAAGCACGTAATCAAGCAGCTACGCCACGGACTACCCAAAGCAGCCCATAAGAGCTCCAAGAAATTGCTGGAGCAGTGCACGAAACTGGAGAGACTCTGGTCCCACATATTCAGCACACAGATCGTTTTGGGTAACGATGATTCGTGGTATCGTAAGTTGCGGGATGCAATCGATCTGCAGCAAAGCGGCGCTGTCTGGATGTCCGAGTCTAAGGTAAATTCATCGTTTGTCCTCATTTTTGTAACTCTACATACACATATAGTGTAGTCTAATGTAGTCTATTGTCTAAGGTATAGGTACTTCTGCATTTTTGTTGTGATCTTGATGATGGTCTTGATGTCGTGTCTTGAATAACATTTACATAATTGCTTCATAATTTTCGGTGAAGGCACTTCCATTCTAGAGAATTTTATTGCATTAATATCAGTATTTCATAAAAGTGTTTACTCTATATCATCTCTTATATCAGGGACATTTATGATGCAGCTAAGAAACTCTATAGTTTGTAGATCATGGGCTCTGGTCTTTTTCCAGAGCTTCCTTCAAGATGTGCTCGTTTATTAAAAACGAGATCCCAATACCAGGGAGACAAATTTAGGATTAGAGAGGAAACTATATGGAACTTCTCCAATGTTAGGAGTGCAATTAATCTTTCATGGTGGAGTTGGCCTTAATCTCTAGAAACTCTTTCTTAACATCTTTTGTTTGTATTATTATGGTAAGAGATCGACTTTATTGGTAATTCTGATGTAAAGGATGTGTAGTTGAAAAAACCCAACAAGCCCTCTCCCAAATGTTCTTAAGACCCACCATAACAAATCTTTCGAAATGGAAATTAATGATCTGTAATATCTATAATTTAATCTGCAATTTTTTCAACTGCTTTTAGTAAACATTCTAATTATTGTTACTTTCCTTTTCTCGTCCCATAAATACACTTGAACTTTGGTTGCCTCTAACAGTTCCCCGATTCCCCAACTGATTTGACATTCCCACCTTACATCGCACCGCCATGTAAATTCAAATGCTGTCGCTCCACACTCTCCGTGCCGCGCTCCAGTGCTGACCTAGGCAGCTCCTTTTTGGTCGAGAAAGCGCAGGATTGGTCGCAAGCACCGCCCCCGCGTCCACCCACAGCTGTATGCTATGAGTCCCATTCGTTTAGGGCCGACAATCATGTCAATAGAAAGCAACGCCTTAAGTCATATACCATGGTGCCCATAATAAAGCAAGCATGCTCAATGCCAAGCGGCCTAGCCCCAGCCAACCAGGGAACATCACATAATGCTAGTGTGGTGGGCCAGATTCCAGCGGCTGATATAGACGCTGGATCGCAATATCACAGTTCACAGCCCAATCTCTTGAGTAATAGTTTGAATACACACCACCCTGAATATCGTTCGATTTCAAATTTTGGGGACAGCTCGGCACTTGTTGCCTCCACCCAATCCAATACCACCCTAGCCAGCAATGGTCGACCCGCCAATCCCCATTGTGGGAAACGTGGGGTGTCGATTGAGCGACGAACAACGCCCTATTATTATAATGAGCTTCTGAAGAAAAATGTGTTCGATTCGAGTCTAAATCTGCTGCAGGAGAAGAACACAAACATAAAGCAAGATACGCCAGGTAAACGGTCCGAAACTCACATCCAGAATGGCAGGTCACCCTATGGGGGTGGGGGCTATGCTTCCTCCAACGAACTACTCAGCAGCACAGGCACTCTAATAGACGAGAATGGCTTTGATCCCAGCTCTGCTGCTAGGAATTTGGCCTTCAGCACGATTACCAAAGACATCGCTAGTCTGAATAATGCTGCCGATAACGAACACAATAATATCTGCTCCGATCCGAATAACAATGTTGGGCGGACTAACCAGTGCGCTGCATGACAATCGGTGAGAGGTGGTTGAGGTTAGTTGATAGGCCTATCTGTCTTTGTCCGCCTTGGCGACTGAGATGGCGGCTAGCTCCAGGTGGGTGTGGGTGTGGCCCTGGGTGTGTGTTCGTAATGCACCTTAAATGTACAAATTTCACGGGGCTTGTTCAACATTGAAGTTGCGGCACGGAACCTTCTAGCTGACCTTTGCATTTTGTATGTATTTATTTTTTTTTTTTTTTGAACTAACCACATTATAGTAAGCGCTGTATTATATGTATGTTTTATGTCGTACATCTACTAATACCCACATATATCCGCACCTCTAGTTTAGTCAGTTGATCATCAGCCTTTACTGTGTTATTATAAATGCATAAAAGCTTTAAAGAATACGAGCTTTATAAGTCTAGCTCTATGGACATCTCTAAAAACATCTGTCATTCGTTGAAGCTGCGGAAGCTAATGGTTCATAAATTTCTATTATTAAGCTGTCATCAAGCACGACGAGTGGCAGTTACTAACAATAAACTATAACAGCATCATAAATATCATTAAGCACACACACACACACACACATATATATACTCCTAATCCGTTGAAAGCATGAACAGAAATTTGTTGCTCCTACGCATAATTCCAGTTCAGTGCTTGCGCTACCAATAAATTTTTATAAAGTTGCTAACTAAATGTTTTTCGTTTCCATTTGTTTCTTTTTTTTACATATCAATCAATCAATCAAATCCGCAACAAACATCATCATGCCCATTTCCCGCTTAATAATCCTATTAAAATGTTTATATATTAATCAAATTCCAAACACCATCAAAAATATCAACAAATAATTCGTAAATTGTCCTCGTCCCAAAAAAAAAAAACAACACACAAATAAATAAAAAAAAAAAAAAAAACAATATCTTGTGCTCGTCCGCAAATTTCTAATTATACAAATGCTTGGCAATCGAACAACTATAAACCCAACGTACCAAATCAAATCGGCTCAATCATTCTACATTTATAAACATTGTTCCTTTATTAAAATAACTGACAACCCAACCCAAAACACTTTTGTGGCTATACAAACGAAACAAAAAACCAAATCCTCTCGCGCTAAATTAAAAACTACGTATGCTAAACAAAATATTAACCGGCCATACCACGCGAACCTCTTAATCACTAACAACCCCAGCCCGTTGAGTCCCTATCCGACGATTTCCTATTCCCCATGACCACATCCCGTTTGTCGTATGCATCAAGTCCTGAGTCTGACTTGGAACTAAGTCCCGGGCCATCCGCATCATTGTCGCTTGGAAACTTACCGCAATTGGTTAAAGCGAGCTCAGATCCATCAATTGCAACTAATCAGGATAACTTGGATAGGGATAGAGACATAATTGGTGAAGGACTACCACCTCCATATACGGTAAGAGGCTAAAACAATATGCATATCAATCAATTATCTTAATCATCACGTGCATCATTATAATAAAAAGGTTCAAGCTCCAGCAAACCCAACATTTAAACTCTCTAACTCTTCCGTTTATCATATTGCTTATCCGTCATTCCTTTGGGAACTCAATTCACCAAACAGGTACCCTATGACCATGGAGTGCAGCCGCCCTTGAATCGCCGACAGGCCATGGAGTCCAGCAAGTATAATCTGTACGGTAGCACTATAGCCACCCAGCAGCAGCACCAGCCATCAAGTGATCCCTCTTCCATCGCGCCACGCCCTCAACTATTGTATGGCACGAACGCCCCCGATCTGCCACCACGCATTGATCGGCAGTCTAAGCCCGGCGATATGCCTGCCAACCTGACAGGCTCATCGCGCCACAGCAGCTCGGGCGGAACTCTGGGTCGTAGCGCCCAGGAGCGTCTCTTCGGCAAGGCTGTTATACAGGACGACGTGCAGGCCGAGTACATGTCCCGCAATGCCCTGGCCGGGGGCGACAGCGTCGAACGCCAGCAACAGCAGCAGCAGCAGCAACAACAGCACGCCTCGCTGGAGCGGCAGGCGCGCTTGAATGCAGCCATGGGTAGTCCCGCACAGCACAAAGCAACCAGCGGAACTTCCACCTACGACAGTGTTTCCAGCTACGATTCGTATAATACGGCCCAACTGACGATGCAAAACCTAGGTCGACTGGGTCCTAATGCGCCCGATGATCTCAAATCAGTGCCAAGTGCAAGGTAAACCCTACAACTATTAGAATAATTGACATATGTGTTATAAGGCCATCAAAGGGTGAAAGTGTAACGAAGTCTAAGAAAATTTAGGTAGAAGGACCCATGTTAGAGACGACTTCAAATGTTCGTCTGTATGAACGCCGAAAACTTTTAAGTCATAACAGCTAGGGAGACAAGAGTTGCTAGCTAGACTGCTCTTATCCTTATGCAGACGAAGTTTATTCTGAACCACAATACCTTCATTATTTTATATAGCTGCCATATAACCGATCGTTTACTCAAAAAACTTCTTATAAGAAAGTTATCTAAAGGGCAATTTGATATTTTAAAGATTTTTATAATGTCTGCCATAGGAAATATAGTACATATAGCTTAGCTGTAGGATTTAGACGAAGAAAGGCGCGCAGGTTCAGAGTCTGGTTCGCAGGGCTTTAACGTTCTTTCCTTCCATTTCCTTTTGTAGTGCTCGACCATTGCCGCCTGTGGGTCAGTTACACGATTATAGCCGCGTCCCGCACGACCATCGCAGTTTCCCGGCGGCCAACGACTTGAATCGCCAAAGCAGCCCAGCCAGACCGCATTATCACGAAATGAACTCGTCGCGTAACATAGGTGAGTGTTTTCTTCTACCACTGCTTCCTTCATTGGGCGACCCTTTTACGCTTTATGCAATTCAAATTCCATTGCAGATCCACACAACGGCACGCCCCAGCGTCCCTCCCATCTGGGCCTCGAAAGTAGTCCCCGCAAAGCAGTGGTTGAAACGAAAACGGATTACGGCAAATACAGGTAATTGCACTAGAAGAATTGCCATTTAATGTACATACATAGGTCTCTGGCGCAAGCCCCGCCCACTTAAAACTTCTGATCTCTTTTTCTTTTACACTTTCCCCCTCCAAAAAAAAAATATACGTGTTTATTTAAAAACAAATTATTTTTGAATTCACGGCTCATAAGACGCTACCATTTGCATGTCCCGCCGTCTATCCACCACAACCACCAGAACCACCAGCACCACCACATGCACCACACACGTCGCTCTCCCTGTACTCTACAGTGTCTGCCACGTTCAACCTTCACACCTGTGCTGAGCAGCCTGACGCGCTTCAGTCGCAAGGGCCTAGCTGCCGAGGATAGCCTGAGTTTTCAGCCCGTTATCCCTTCTGGCCAGCATGCGCTCGTACCGTCCTTTTCCGTGATGCGTATGGTCGTCTCCGCATATGACACGCTTGTTTAAAACGAATCACTCAGCCACTCGTCAAATCTCTAATCGAACGAAACTACTGTCCCCATCCCTAACTTCGAAGCAAATATTTGAGATACCTTCTATACGTAACAAATAGAACCCCCGTCCCATGTACGCCGACAATATTTGCTTCCAAGTTGTACAAGCTTTCATTTCGAAATATTGTCTATTGTCTGATCGATGACCAATAAAACCACAACAGACTTGTCTCAATGTTTATTATTTCCACTGTCTCTCGCTGTCTCCGTATCTCCATCTGTATCTAGATCTGTATCCGTATCTGTATCTATGTATGTACTTTTTAGCAGCTCATGATTTTGTATAATTTATTCCTTCTCGTTGTCATTTGTATTCGTATTCGTCTTGTCCCCAACTATGAAACGTAATGTTGTCACCAACGCACCCATCCAACGCATCCACCTCCACATCACACAGTCGCAACAGTTCTGTTCCACAAGCCGATTACAGCAAGCTGCCACAGAACGCGCTCGCGAACAACAGCCAACTGAACGAGACGAGTGCCACGCCCAGCAGCAATGGCAGCGGTCCCTTCAAGCCGGTGCCGCCGCCCAAGCCGAAGAACTACCGGCCCCCGGTGCAGAGTGCCAGCAGCGGCAGTGGCGGAGGTACTCCCTGGGAGAATGGGGTAAGTGCTCCCTAATCTCTACACTTGTAGCCATGATCATTAAATCGTTGGCTTGCATTACAGGATTCCGGTTCACCACGTTCACCGAACGGCTTCTTTTATCCACCCACACCATCCCATCATCATTACACACAGCAGACGCCGAGCTCTCCCCAGCAGGGCCAGGCAGCCAATGGGCATAGCACCTATGGCGGCGGAAATGGAAACTATGGCCAAGCGCCACTATCGCAGCAGCAGTATACGGCTGCCAATGGCTACAATGGCAGCAGCAACAGTCATCATTATAATGGCGGTAGCGGCACAGGTCCATATATAGCACCACACCGAGGCATTCCACCCCCGATTGGTAAGTACCAGACGTCTACTTCACACTACAAGTATTCCCAAATGCACGGGTATTTCAGTGAAAGTTTAATTCATCCAGTTCTCAAAGAGTAGAAGCACTAACTTAAACTTAAACCCCATTAAGGTGCAATAGGGAATCACTTTTGGGATCATTCGTGCCAACTAAGAAGTATGTGATTGCAGAACTGAAGGATCGGTGAACTATTGAAAACTTTCGAGCTCTAGATGATGGTCATTGGTAGAATTGAGTCGATTCAGTTCCAATTGGTTCCAATGACCGGTTCATTCAATTGAGCTACTAAAAAAGGGGAAAAAGGGTAAAAAAAAGGGAAGGAAGCATATCCGAAGATAAGTTGGTTACAAAGTAGGATCCGTTGGTTCCCCCTTTTTCAGACAAAGTAAGAGTAAAAGTATAGTTACACATCCCTTTCAATGTTGTTTATTGTAATTGAAAGGCTTTGGATGAACGATTAGTTCGCTTCTCGCAAGAAAGCAACTATCGAAGAAGAAATCTTAAAGCTAAACCTTAGATAATGAATCGGTTCAGTGGAATGTTTTTCAACCTAGTTTATCACTTTTGATTTCTAGTGGGAACTGTCCTGAATGTTTTCCAAATTGAGTCGATTCTGTTCCAATTGGTTCCAATGACCGGTTCATTCAATTGAGCTACTAAAAAAGGGGAAAAAGGGTAAATTATGTTCGTGCTAAGTATGTAACAGGCGGAAGGAAGCATATCCGAAGATAAGTTGGTTACAAAGTAGGATCCGTTGGTTCTCCCTTTTTCAGACAAAGTAAGAGTAAAAGTATACTTACACATCCCTTTCAATGTTGTTTATTGTAATTGAAAGGCTTTGGATGAACGATTAGTTCGCTTCTCGCAACAAAGCAACTATCGTACTACTTATATCCGCAGAAAGAAGAAGAAATGTTAAAGCTAAACCTTAGATAATGCTCTTTCTTCTGACAATTGAATCGGTTCAGTCAAAAGTTTTCCAACCTAGTTTATCAATTTGGATTTCCAATACATAAGTGGGAACAGTCCTGAAACCCACTTCGAAGGCACTTCTATTGGACTTTAAGAACCGATGTACGACCAAATTATTTGATTTTTTATTTACAGGTAACTTACCACCCCAAACACCCGAACGTAATGCCCTCGATCTGGCCGGCAGTCGAGAGCAGCGGGGCTCGGCATTCGAATTGTATCGTAAACCCCAAGCCGGAGCAGCTGCGGGGCACCATCACAATATGAGGTAGGTGCCATTTGCTTATATATATATATAGTTATATAGTATAGTATATAGTTATGATTCATCCGCCCTGTAAGACAAACGAGCTACACAGTTAGTCGGCGATCTATCTCTTGAGATATCATCTTCTATTCGAGAGAAGCAAGAGATGATCTCTACACACCTTGTACTATATTTTCAAACAGTCCACAACTCCTTCCTTGTGTTAACGAAAAATGTTTTTATTTTTGTTTAGTTAATCAGTGAATAATTCATTCAATTCTCATAATGCCAATAATCATTCTCATGCGGTTGCTGGTCATTTTGATCGATTATTAGAAATCAAAACGAACAAAAAACGATAATAATAATCAAGAAATCAAGAAATCAATAAAATCGACGAAAACTTCACAAGACGCACACCAAACGCATACATATATGTTTAATTTGCTGCATTAAATTATTATTTAATGGTTTCCATTTGGCTTAAAGTACGCGCTTATTCTCAATAACCATATTTTTATTAACCACATTGTTTAACAAGCTCAGAAATTGTAAAATGTTGAGATTTGAAAAGTCACTTGCCTAAACAAAACAAAAAAATAGTAAAAGAATAATGAACTCAAAACGAAAATAAAACATTTTTCGGGCTAACGTTTTTACGATTTTTCCACCTGAGATGCAGGAACTCTCTTTCCAATTTCTCTCTTCAATTTCTTTACATTTAAACATCTTCATATAATGCTTTTAGGAACGTTCTATTTTATTTACGAGTACTTGTCGTTACCAGTTTTTGTGGCTGGACTTTCGGTTTTGGGCTAATGAGGAATTCTCTTAACGTTAATTGAACTAACACATTAAGAAAAAATAAAAACAAACTAATAGACCTCTTTCATAAATGTTGCTAAAGTTGGAAACCTGGTTAATGGTAATTTGGTTAATTTGCAAAAATTTAAGCAGTTCTTTAAAACAAAGCTTAACATCTTCACATTACATATATATGCGCTTGTGTGTTTCTGAGAAAGTTTTGTAGATCCTCTTATTTTAAGCGATGCGAGACTATTTCTATTTCTCGGATAGATCCACATATAGTCCTTACATGCCGCATTACTTACGAGTGTGCGAGTATTTGAGAAAATATCCAATTATGCTTTATTGATGGAGGAGTTTCCATAATTTTGGTTTTTCCCAAAACCAACCACAAGAGCACTGTTCGTTATCTCTAGGAAAAAATGTCGTATCACCATTTAAAATCTTAGTTACCCAACTTTAAAATTTAGCGATGTGGAGCCAGAACATTACAAGGAATACTTTGCCAAGCCGCCGCCTCCTCCAATGGGTTACAATATGCAGCGTTCCCACTCGGCGCCGCGTTACCCCAACGAACGACCCCAGCACCAACACCAACAACAACAACAACACCAATCCCCACACCATCCCCATCCCCATCCCCATGATCCGAACTACTACAGCCACTATGCTGTGCCACAGCAGTATTACGACGATCATGGCTTGGAGATGGCGCCACCACTGCCTCCGCATAAGAAGAAGAAATCGATGCTCAAGAGCCCCCTGACTGCGCTGAAGAATGCGTTGATTAAGTCCACCCGGCCACTGCGCCGAATGAACAGTATGGTCGAGCCGGAGAGGAAGTCGAAGGGGCTGCGGCGTCAGCAGTCGATGCTCGAACGCAGTCTGCCTCGTCCCTACTATCCCGACGAATATCCCACGTATCCGGCCCGGTACCCCGAACGTCCAGGATACGCCCCTGGTGGCGAGAATTACTATCCGGGAGGACAGCCAACGCCGTACATGCACCATTATGGCGCGCAAAACATGAACAGCACGTATCAGAATCTAGAGAGCGAGGACATCTATGGCAACATAGACAGCAGGACAACAGGACGCATGCCAAATGCCGCACATAATGGTTATAGTAGCTACGAGCAATACGATCTTTATGCGAATCGGGCATGCATCGATCTTGAGCGGCGCCAGGCAGAGGCGTCAGCAGCAGCGGCGGCTGCCTCCCGAAATGGACGTGGCATTGTGCGTCGTCACAGCACCACAACGGCGGATCGCGGTGGTGGCTCCTATCGACGACCCATGCCCACAGCAAGTCCCGGTTACGATAACGATGTAAAGCACATTTATCAGGGCGGCCAGGAGAATGGTGCTTTGCTGGAGCAGCGACGTGCTCCGAACTCGGAGGTAATGGCACGGCGGCGCTTCTATCCTGGCGCTGCCAATGAGCAGTGCGAGGAGCCGCTTTACCAGTCCCGGCGGGAAATGCAGCGTGAGATGCAACGAAATCATCTCTACCAGTCCAAACGCGAAATGCAAGAGCGAATTTCTCAGGGCAAGCGCGATATGGAACGCGAATTTAGTCCACAGAGCAGCAGTCAGTCGGAGTACGATGATCGATCGGAGCGTTCGGAATCGAACTACCTGCCTAAGCGAGACATAAAGGAGGGCGCACTGAAAACACGCACCCAGCTCAGAGAGCAGATTTATCAGACGCGGCGAGAGGCTTTGGAGAGCATGGCCGAGCCGATCTATGTGTCGAAGCGGGATGTGGGGCGACCGGCACCGATCTACGAGACGCGAGAAGAGAGCATTCTGCAGTCGCGCGAGAATGAGACCGACGAAAAGAAGGAGGGCAAAACTGAGGTGCAGGTAGAGATCAACGCTCAGCAAGTTTCCGAGGAGGACGAGACAACACTAAGTCGCTCCGATTTGCAAAAGTCATCGGATACTGTAATTGAAAACACAGCGGTGTCTCCAAACCCAATGCAACAGGGACGGGCACCGCTCGTGGAGAGCGAAGTGGATGACGATGAAGAGTTAGACGAAGCCAAGCTTGACGAGTCCACGGAGAATGCTACGGCCATTGAGACTAACAAGCACAACGAGGGTATGTTGATGAGCGACACACAAACTAACTCGGACGTGCTTGAAGAGCAGCCTGTGATCAATGAACTAACCGAACAACCAGACCCAGTACCGGCCCCAGTCCTCCCACGTGCTTCACGTGCACCCTTCCATATTTCGAATATATTGAAGCGGACAGCGCCGCCGCCGACATCGGCCATTGGCGATAGTTCCACCTCGATTGAGACCCAGTACACATCGCAAGCGAGCCTTCGCGTAGGTCCTCCGAATGCGACTAGCACACCGTTTAGCAGCAACATGTCCTTGCCGATGGCCGGTCCAGTGCGCACGCCAGGATCCGCACCGCCCGACTCTGCAGCCAATGGGCCCTTCCCAGGTGTGCCGCGCGAGCCGAGCACCACACGCGGCATCTTCGACTCCAAGGGTGGCACGCTCGCCGACAAGGTATGGCCACAAGTGTGGCTGGAGATACCGCCGGGCGCCATTCCCCCTGGAGTGCGCCAGGAGATCTATTTTACGGTTAGCGATCCGCGCCTGGGGCAAGCAGAGGGCGGCCCTCCATTGGATATGGAAAATGGTTGGTTTCACTTCCGTTCTACTACCCTTACCAACTCTTAAAACCAACTACTAAAGCCGAGGCACACATTTGCTACTCCTATTTGATTATATTTCGAATGCAAATTATCGTCAGCATTTTATGTTCTGTCCCTATAAACATACTTGTGTACTATTCTCTCTATCTATCTATCTATCTCTATATATATGTATGTACATATGTATATAACTTGTTTTGGAACCGATTTGTGTTTGTAGAGTATTTAAGTGTGGTGTTGTTTTTTGTTTTTGTCTGCATGGTTTAATTTGTAATTAGATTAGGTCTAACATCTGTCTACATACTACATCTCTGGCATGCTTTATATCTCATTATCTATCACTAATCCCGCTGTCTATCGACTCTTTGTAAATATATTTATCGTTGGGGAATGTAAAATAAGCTCGACTACTACTGTTTGACCAAACTGTTAAATCTGCGCCGTATAGATGGCCTTTATCTATCGAATATACGAACAATATTATTTAAAAGTTTCTTAATTTGAAGCAAATAATAGAAAACTAACCTAAAAATGAAATCCGAAACTTCTGAAACCTCAATACTACAATACAGTTTCAAGAAGCTATGAAGAAGAGCTCCTTCTTCTCTCTTCTTCTGCACTATTTAGCTACTTTTCCAGTCTAGTGTTAAGCACAGCAGTCAAAATCACGTCAATATCTTTTTTATATGCTTTAAACCTTATCGGAACATATATCTTATCGCTATGCAATCAACATGAAAAGTAAAGCTTAATTATTTATAGCACTACATTTTTATGGAACTTTTCAATACTCGAGTTTTTCATTTCATAGAAGCTCAATAAATCGACGTTTTCTATTTAATTTAAGGCAATATTTCGAAGTCAATTCCTTTAAAATCCTTCACTATAATTATATAGTAGTTAGTAGTAACAAATCATGGATTTACTTTTGCATATATAGTAAGAATGTTAGAGAGTATGGGTGTCCTGTATATCCAGCAAAGCCTTAATTTATGGCTCACTTCTCTTACACAGAGACTCAGATATTTTTCTTCCACTTTTGAGTGCTAATAATTCGCAACTGTACTTAGTTCTGGAAATATTATTTTAAAAAACAGTCAATATTTTTAGCGATTTATGGCCCAAGACTTGTTGAGATCAAGTCTAACTTGACAAATAATGAGGCATAATTTACTTCTTGAAACATATCTGGATAGAAAAATGATACCATATTTTGTAAAAATATGTTATAGTCAAATTCAACCGTAGGATGCAATGGTATTTAAAAGATACAAATGTATCTTTTGCTAAGGCAATCACTTCTTTTGCTGAAATTGCTTTTACTTCTTAAATATTAATGATTCCTGATATAATTCTAATAATGGAGAACACCTATTCAAGAATTCAAATCTATTATACTTTATTATTATATTATACTTTAATATTATTATAAATCGTTATAACGATCTTGTGCCATTAAAAGTGGTCACATTTCCTAAACGCTAATAAATTAATATTCCATAAATTTATAGGCTATGTAAATTCTGTTATAATTTTAATAAAATATTATAATAGGTTGAAATTTCAAAAAGATGAAAATAAGTTGCGAATTCTACGGACAAAATATCATTTAGGACATACATTTTTTAAAATTAGCGTTTATTTAGTTGAAATATCATTGTTTCAGAAAATAACATATTTTCTAGCTTTTCAGAATCTAAAAATCAATTCAAATCAATTTTTAAAGTTTTTATATACATAGCTTGTTTTCTGTTCGAAGCACACGATGATACTAGCTCTGTTGCAAATAAATGTCAGATTTTGTTGCTTTTATGTTGTCTCGATCTAAATACGAATATTACTAATACTATCTACACCGATCCACTACAAAAATTTCTTGTTACTCTTCACAACTCAACACATAATACTATTTTGTTAACCCATCGAATCAAATGCAAATTGTATTAACATATATATTTTCTTGCTGTTTTTTTTATTAACTAATTTAGGTGAGACAATGCTGTCACCCCTCGTTATGTGCGGTCCTCAGGGCCTAGAGTTTTTGGTGCCTGTAACCCTCAATATACCGCATTGTGCAGGACGGACCGCTTCCCTGGGTCTGGCCCTAAAGGCGACCGACAGCGAGAAGAATCTGCACACTCAGTGGGACAACATCGATCTGCCGAGCAATGCCGCAGCACACACGGTGTCCGTGAAGGTGGATCACTTCTAGAGATACACGCATATATGTAGTTTCATTTATTCACACACACATAGTAATTTATAAAGGGCGATCGCCGATTGCTGATCGATATAAACAGAATTGTATATAATTTCATATGTATTTGTTAGCAAAAACTTCAGAGCTACTACCAACGGAAAAGATTTAAGAAGCCAAAATTCAGCTTTTTAATAAATTGTTTATATTTGTTTAATAGGAAGGGACTTGAAGCGATTAAATTGTACTGAACGAATACCGACCAGGGGGTGCAAACCTGTGGTGTTTAGCTTTTATGGCCTTAAAGATCTCGACGTTGATATAAATTCAAAGATTACATCGACAGCATCGACTCATACGTATAATAATCGTGCTGATCATTAAACTATAATTCTTTTCTATCTTTGTTTCGACGGGCCGTGCGTAGGAACAATAATCTAATAATACGAACACTGTAGAGGTTTGCAGCCAACCCTTGGATACAGACGCGAATTCTGTATAAAGCAAATATGCATTATTAATATTAATCTAGGTACTTTTATTGATATGTACATTACTATGTTTTCTAAATTCAACAAATTATCATTATGTTCAGTAACTTGCGATATGGTTTATACATACATATATACATTTTATTTGTCGAATTTCCTTTGGCCAACATTTGTATAACCAAGAAAATTATTATATACATATATTTTTATATAAATATACTTTTGTATGGACAAATTATAAAGCTTTTCTTTGTTCGTGGAGGACTTGTGAACGAGATAAGTAAGTAGCACCGTTCACAAACATTTGTAAATAATTTATTTCAAAAATAAGGATTCTATTTGCGACTGCAAAGCAAACACATTGTACAACAAAAATAAAACACTTTATCAATTGTGTTAAAAGTGAATATTTATAGAATTATACAAAAAGTAACCGTTAAGCAGGCAGTCTGGCGGAACTAAGTGGGCGAGGCGGCGGTTGAGGTCGTCAGCAGGACCTCCTGCTCAGGTATTGAGACCGCTTCCTTCACATAGCCATAAATATGTTTGCGGGTATCAGCCACAACATCGCGCACCATGGCCTTAAAGAAATTGCTGTGATATGGCGCCTCAGCATATCGTTCGTACTGATCCAGCGAGTCTTGCAATTTAAGTGTCAGGTCATAGTTCTTTCGAACAACATCAAGTATTTGTTCCTCTGTCGGCGTAGAGAGTCCTTGCTCCGCCAGCCATTCCTTGATTTTATTTTGAAAATGCTTGACAATGGCTAATATGTTTACCAAAGCATTCAACAGCTTTATAACATCGTCTTTGTGCTCACATTCCGGAATCGTTGTATAGCGCAATACTATAGGGGAAAACGTTTAAGAATTAAATTAAGAATAAAATTTGAATTGAATTACAAACAACTCACCCATAGCATGAATCTCTGTGAAGACTTTCTCCTCACGATTCAACTCATAGTATAGTTCGTCATAGCTATTTGTTGTGGCAAGGAATGTGTCGCCGTACGTAATGAAAAGATTGAAAATGTTCACCACCTGCAGGGCCAAATGGAATATATTGCTCTTCTTGACTAGCGTCTGCTCTTGATTGACCAGAAATCGCAGAAGTGTGATGAGCGCCGACCAAAGCTCCTTCCAAGGATAATTCAGTCGTACGCGGCAGCGTTTTTGATAGCACAGGATACGATGTATGACGCCAATACAGAGCAGATAAAGTTCCATAGGGAATTTCTTCATTAAATGCGATACAATGAACTCCACGAGCAGATCCAGCAGCGTTGCCGCTAACGGCTGTGATTTGCCGACACGATCCACATTTAGCTTTCTATGCCGCATCTGGGCTCGGTGCAGCATTACCTTGAAGGTAAGATTGCTATCGTGCATCATGGAGTTGGCGTACTGATCCTCCGATATGCATGTTAGTATGAGAAAACAAAGTTTTAAGTTCGCTATGCTCGACTCGTTCTTGTTATCCTGCATGACAATCGAGCTAAGCCAAAGAAGAATCAAAAAATTAAAACCACTATCGCATTAATATGAATTTAAATTATGGCATACCAGTATTGAAACACAGCCACCAGCAGATTTGTCGGGTACTGAGTCATATCTATAATCGGCGCATTGGCCAAATCAGGCACAGGCTGGGTCAGACTTAATGTGTTACTAGGCGATGGAGGTGCGCTGGATGATTCAGCCTGAGTGTGTGCCAGAGTAGTAATAAAGTTGCGGTTTAAATGCACAGCTTCATAGAGCGCCAGCAGCAGACCATTATTAGCCTTGATCTGCTGCACTCGCTCGCAGCCCTCGTCGGAGACAAACATGTTTCCCACAATGTTCGACAAGGACGAGAACCAAGAGGATGATTGCACATTGTTAAGACTCTGCATGTACTGGCGGCAGAAGTCGATCAGCGATTGCGATATCATTTGACCGTAGCTGTGGATATATAGAACAGTTTTAATAAATGCATTCGTTAGATAGATAGATGTTACTTACCCATTCAATGCCAATTCATCGGCCAGAATGGATAGTTGTACCACATAGGGATTAGTCGCTTCATGCTTGCGATAATTCACTAACATCGTCAGCAATATAACGACATCGTGGCCATGGGACCGAAATGATGGATCACTTAATAGCCGTACAAAGGCATCAAACAGACTGTGCATCATCAAATACTCGAGCAGCACATTCTGGCTGACATTGTCTGTGCCCGTCACAAGCACAAGCAACAGTTTAAGGCACATGAAACGCGCATTTTCCGAGACATCGCCCAGTAAAATGCGATTGCAATACTGCATCAGCAATTTCAGCCATTCATCCATTTTCTCGTAGCCGAAGATGTCGCTAAGTATGTTGAAAGTGCCATCCGTGTTGGACTTTTTAAAAATTGCATAGAAGAGCGAGCACAACGTCTGCAAACTGTTACACAAACGCTTTGGATGATCCTCTGTGGGCAAGAGAACAATGCGTGAATAAATATTTACATTTGCATAAACCTACATACATACATAAATATGTACATATATGCGGGGCAAGGCAGTAACAGGTCGACTTACCAGTGTTTAACATTTCGATGCATTTTTGAAACAAGGTATTTAAATTGCCTTTAACCAACTGCAGTTGCTCGCTATTGAGTTTCATGATTTCATTGTCCAGCGACTCCACATTCGGCTGCAGGAGAAAGAACTCATTCCAAAACTCTGGCGATCCATCTGTGGGATCCTCGCCTCGGAAAAATAGCTCATAAATGTAGACGACTTTTCCCTTAGGTCGCTTCGACGAACTGCCACTGCGCTTACGTGAGGTCATATTCTTCCACCTTGGCTACTGGTCGGCGCTGCGTTAGCCGTCAAATGAAAAGGATTCAATAATTTGTGGGCGTCTCTTTATTGCTGACAACGACTTCTTTTTCCTGCAATTTGACAATCGTATTGGGTGGAAAGGCCGCCCACACGTACCGACCCAGCAGTTAGGAATGTTAATCGTTGGCGGTCTGGACGTGTAATCGCACATCAAGCAGCGTACTTTCCAACACTACATCAGCTCTTTAAACTGATACGCAGTTGACTCTTACGTTTGTGTGTTATTATTGAAGTATTTGTGAGTGCGAGCTATTTCACAAGATACTTTTGATCGATACTGTTCTCGGGAATTCTAACAAAATAAACATGTCGTTGGTGCGTACTTCCCGCTTGCTGCAAAGCCAGCTAAAACGCGTGAACAGTGTACCTGTCATGCTGTATCATGAAAATGTAAGTTAATAAATATTCAGACCGGGTCGATGATCATGATTTCTTTCGTAATGCCACTTATAGTATATATGTATGTACATACATACATATGTATGTATGTAGTTATGTGTTTGTAGCAGCACGTTGGTTTCGTTAATGCTATAACAAATACCCGCAACCGATAACGTTGATATGTTCGTTTTGACAGGTCGTTGAACACTACGAGAATCCGCGGAACGTTGGCTCTCTAGATAAGAAGGATGCCAGCGTCGGAACTGGCCTGGTTGGTGCCCCAGCTTGTGGCGATGTGATGAAATTGCAAATCAAGGTCGATGAAAATGGAAAAATCATTGATGCCAAGTTCAAAACCTTTGGTTGCGGCTCGGCAATTGCTAGCAGCTCACTGGCCACTGAATGGGTCAAAGGCAAGTCTATTGATGAGGCCGGGAAACTGAAGAACACAGATATTGCAAAGGAGTTGCGTTTGCCGCCCGTCAAATTGCATTGCTCCATGTTAGCTGAGGATGCCATTAAAGCCGCTCTAGCCGACTACAAAATTAAGAAAGAAAAGCGGGAGTCTAATTGATTTCAAGCAAGTTATGCAAATACATAAATACTTTTATGAACTACAACAACTATACAACTATAAACGATAAACTATACAGTAGATGTACGATTAGAATGTTTTCATTAGTTTTTAAAATCGGAACTTAGAGGTAGCCTGAACGTTTCCGCTATGGTAAGTAAAATAGCCAGACACATTATCTTTTCACATAATTATATTTTATTCATTTTCTTGCAGAAATTGTGCGCGAACCAAACAGAAGAAGGCCTCTGATTTTGTTTGGTTGTGAATGGATGTTTGTATAAAGTGTGTTGAAGAATCTATTATTCTATTATAAAACGCTAAGGATGCATTAAATTTTCTGCTTTAGGCAATGTAGCTTAACATAAACATATTAAATTAAAGTTGTTTTTCGTTAAGAGCAAAAACAGTGTTTTTATTGCAGCATTACAGTTTGATTATTACATACACACCACGTTATACGAATACTTGAGGCACAATTCTTAGGACAGGCGCACGCTTACGCCGCCGCCGCACTCTCCATTAGTTTTCACCTCAAACGCTGCAACGGAATCATGTTAATATTGGGAACACCAGCGCCTATACAAGCTACTTACGATCATCGGCATGCTGGCAGTTGTAGTTGGACAGAACGCATTGACTTCCAAATGTTAGAAGGCGTTCCTTGCTACTGTTCTTAGCCTTTGCGCAAACGGGCTTATAATCGTCCTCACATGCCCGGACGCAAGTATTCGCCTGCTTTTTATTGTCCTTGGCGGGGCCTGCGGTAGCCAACGCTACTAAGCAGACGGCTGCATGAAAAATGAAGCAAAGTTGCAAATAAATAATTGATTTTCCGAATAGCTCGCGCTATTAAGCCACACAATAAGTATGTGAAGAATTACTTTGTTTTCTCAGCTTAACAAGGGTCCATGAAGCTTATTTACTTGTATTTATTTTTAATAAGCTTATATTGGTTTGAATACATACAGAGGAAACACAATGAAATGCATTTCAACTGGAAACAGCTGTAAATGAAAAAAATAGCTAAGGAGAAACTTAAAACAGGATGCCTTCCAGCTAGATAACATTTTCGTTTGAACCGGATAGTGATCCGAAAGGGGCAGCTGTTCTAAAATTGTAAACCATTTCTTCAACTCGCGGGACATAGGGATTCCAAAGCACAGCACAAACTCAAAGGAGTCTTTGACCGATTGAGCGGACAAATCGTGCCCAAGAAGACTCTCAAGTGTTAACTCGGAGTATGCGTCGACGACCGCTTCCAGTATTTACTACAGTATTGGTTTATTTCCCTTTGTTTGTCCCTTTGTTATCATATGTATACATATAAGCGAAGAGTTCTACCGATGTACACTCATTTAGTTACCAACATGCACTGTGTACTTGAACATTTTATATAGATATATATAGTATATGTATATATTTTACAACATAATTGGCGATTATTTACCCAAAAGAGCCAACACAAAGAATCGCATTTTGAATGATTACAATAACAAAATTCGTCAAAACCGGCTTTGTGGAGCTTTAGAAATGAACTGACTTCTAGATTGTGAAATGTGTCACCTTTATATACATAGATTTATATATATGTTAAGCTCGGACTCGCATCACAGCTCGCAAATAATAGCTGGAAAGCAACACAGCCAACCAACCATACATACATACATATATTTGTATATACTTCCCACATCAACATTCAAATTGATAAATTGTATGGAATTAAGTAGAGAAGGCGACGATGCTCAGCCGTTCAAAGGCAAAATTGACTGCCCCAATTGGATCTCAGCTATTCACCTCTTTATGGAGGCTGATAATTTAATATATGAAGGCGGCCCTCCCCCATGATACAATTTGTCTAACGATCATGAGTTCTAATTGCAATTTATTTACTAACCGTAGTAAGAGCTCTCTCAAGGTGAATGAGGAACATGAATGGAATGTAGTGCCGACTCTTAAAAATCCTCTACCCAACTACAATAACATTATATAAAAAAATTTACATCTTTCTTCAGAAATAACCTATCTAAATGAAACTGAACTTGAGAGAGAGTTGTAAATAAATACTGCAGCAAAAAAATATTGGCTTCAAGCGAATGATATTGATGTCGTAGATGGGTCTGAACACATTAGAAACTCCGAAATTATCAACAGCGTATGTATTCCCTAGTTGGATTACAATTCAAAATTCAGAAAATTGGAATTCCCTAACTCTAGAAGACTGGATGAAATCTATGGTAAAGCTCTAATTAGAAATGAAAGAGATGTTGGTCGGATTCAGTTAAAAAAACACTCGTAGTTATCGTTTTAATTAATAGTGGTCAACAAAATGTCGTTGAAAATCAAGTGGGAGTGGTTTGATTAAAATTACTTTTAATCAACGATGTGATATTAAAGATAGTAAAATAACCCATTATAAAGGTATATAAAGCTTTTGAAAGTATGTATGTAGTATTATCAGAAAAAGCTTGTATTACCAATTGCTAGTGGATAAGGCTCGTTCTAGTCCTTATACTCTTTTATTATTCCATTACAGGAAGAACATAGTTTATTGCAATCAAAATAAGTTGTACAAAACATTTCTTCAAGTCCTTATACTTAAAACGAGGATTATGTTTTGTTACTGTAAATGTTGTGGGAATTTCTAAAATGGCTGCCATACTTCACATCATCTTATATGCATACTAATTGTACACTTCAATTTAATTAGCTTATACTAGCTAACATAGCTTATACTTGCTAACGCGGGCAGCCCTCTGTTAGCTAACAGCGGTCGCTTACATCCGTTAGCTTCAGCTGTAGCTAACAGCGCGCTGCCACGTCAACAGTAACTTCTTGAAATGTCTGAATTTCGAAAAACGCTGCCTCTAAAAAATATCTAATTTCAGCACAAACGACGAACGATTTTGTTTTGAAAATCATAGCACGTATTATTTGATGTGTGTATTTCCCAAAAAGTAACACCACCATGTGATTCGTTTTACCTGTAAAAAACACAATTGCTTTTATGCAGGTCTACTATATTTTATATCCGAGAGAATTACTGTGACCTTTTTGTCTTAAAATATACTCGACAACCGGCGTGTTAGTTTTCATGTGAAATAAATCAGATAAAAAGTAAAAACAATACCTTTACCAAATCCGGAGTATAGTTGATCATAGACCGCAGAATAGTGCTCGTCAAATTGAATGATTACCAAAAACATCTAGCCAGTAACACCAACTAAATACATATGTATATTAGAATCGTCTCCAAAGCCAACTAAATATTACCAACAGTTGCGACCATTGTTTGATATAAGCCCACAAAGGATTTTCCCGCTGAAAATTGGTAAAAATTAGTTATTTTTCCGAATCCAACATTTCCAAGTCAATAAAAAATACAGCGTGATTTTTCTTTTAATGATTTTTATTTGAAATGAATACGAATGTCAGTTTAGCTGTTGTTGTTTTCATTCAAGAATGTTCTTATTGTTGCTGTGGTTCTGGTTTATGCCTAATTAACTTTCTGCACGACTTTTTCGAGGCTATAATTCATGATATTTTTGCCAACCATTTTGCGCCTCATTTATCATCACACCACACGGAATGTGTGGTAGGAACGGGGGATGGGAGGAAAGGGCAAGGTTGGGGTTCAGTGGAGAGGGGAAAAGTGTGGTGAGAAAGTTAAATTGCTTTTGGTTTCCTTTACTTGCCATTTCATTTGTTTCTTGCCAAACACGCTACAATAATTTTCAATGTTTAGATTTTCTTTCGCTAAATAAATGATATTTTTAACGGCTTCTTCGATTAGTTGTTTTGGCTGTTTTAGTTGTTTTTCTTGTTGGGCTTCTTGATCTTTAAATGCAAACTTTTGTTTTCGTTTTATCGCTTCTTCCTCTTGTTCTTGTTGTTATTGCGTTTGGGTCGTTGAAAAAATTCGAAATTTCTACAAATTACATAAGTGGTATGGTAGGCATAGAAAATATACAAGTATATATATATATATGTATATACTAAAGGTGTATACAATATATATGTATGTACCATTTTTTTTTTTGTTTTGTTTGTTTGTTTAGCAACTACAAATACTTTCTTTTATTTTCTTCATTAATGCTCATTTTAAATATATAGGTTTATATATAATGTGATTCTTGTGTTGACATGCAAACAATGTATGGAGATTTTTTGAGAAAACATGAAATAAAATCATTAAACAAGAAAACAGACAACTAAAAATTGAACAGCAATTGACGAGACGATGAAGAATGATTGCTGCTGCTGCTTTTGTTTTAATTGCAGTGTAATTGTGCTTGTGTATGTGTACGGATGTCTGTGAGTGTGTGAAACAATACACTTACAATTTAAGCTTAAGAATTCGTTTCCCTCGCCTGCGCTATGCCATTTATTTTGCTTTTATTTGCTTTAACATTCTCTTTAGTTTAGCTTCACTTTTTATTTTTTGCTCATTTCGTTTTCTCACATTTCGGTTTTATTTTATTTTTAAATTTAAATTATTTGCGGTTTTCGAGTTATTTCTTTTTTGCTTACACTTCTTTCTTCATTCTTTTTAAGTTGCAGTTGCGTTTATTAATTGTTCTTCCATTTTTTCTTTTTCTGTTTATAATCAATATATATTGAATTTGTTTATAAACGTTACTTTTATTTGAATTTCTGCTTAAAATTAAAGTTGTATTATTACTGTGTATGTGTGTGTGTTGTATGGTGAATTTCATGCTGCTGTACGTACGTCTAAAATTAATTGTAATTTTTATTCTTGCCAACTCTCTTGATGAATAGAAGAGGCGCCATTTTGTTGTTTTTGTTGTTGTTTTCATTAATTTTGTTTGTTTAAATGAATTTTTATTTGTGTTTTTGCTTCTCGTAATTAAATATAATATTTATTTATACATAATATATAATGCTTTTTCTCGAATGCAAAAATTTCAAATGTAGTAGAATTTGCTGCTGCTGGTATTGTAAATGTTCTTATGGATGTTGTTGGTTACACAGAGAAGGGCCGCCGGCCAAATTCGCTCGATGAAGAGAGAGATAAAACACAACACAACTCTCTCCCAAATCTTTCTCTCAGGCGTCGCAGCTACGCCCACATGCAGTTGTTGCTATTTGATGTTGTTTTGTGCCGTTACTTATTCTTTCTTGATTGCTGTTCTCTGATTGTTGTTGTTGTCGCTGCTGCTTCTGTTGCAATGCCGTTGCCCAATACTGTCGCAATGCGTTTGATTTTGGTTTGGGGGTATGGATGCGGGGTCTGTCTCTGGTATGGTGTGGTTGGGTTGAATTCTGTGTGAGTGGTTGTTGTTACTCTACCCGGTTGTTGTTTTAGTTGTGGTTGTTGTATGCATATATATTATATGTATTATATTTACTTTAGAAGGTATATAATGTGTTTAAATGGAAGGGCGGGGGTTTACTTAAATTACGACACATCCTGATCCTCAACATCCTGAATTTGCTCTTTCTGCTCGCCATCACCTGGTTGGGGTTCCACTAGATTAGTAAAATTGATTTGGATTTTGTATTTTTTGGTTTTCGATGTGGTGGAAAACACTGAAAACGCTTCCTCAACGACAACAAAATTCTCATTTATAATATGAAATTAAATCATCAGTCGAAAGTCTTTTTGGGAACGTCTTCAGTGCAGAATATATATGTATGAGAGAATCTCAAGAATGTGAAGCATTGGTTGGAACTTTTAACTTACCATCTGCCTGCATATCGGACGTCCATAATGTGAGGTTGTCTCGCAGCAGCTGCATAATAAGTGTCGAGTCTTTGTAGCTCTCTTCGCTCAGCGTATCCAACTCAGCAATGGCATCATCGAATGCGGCTTTCGCCAAGCGGCAAGCGCGATCCGGCGAATTGAGTATCTCATAGTAGAATACCTATATCAGAAAAAAGTACAACGCGTAAGATAAGATATTAACTATCACATAAATCGTCTGCTAAAGACGTTCCGTCAATACGTACCGAGAAATTCAATGCCAAACCCAAACGAATTGGGTGTGTTGGTGGCAGATCGTTCATGGCAATATCACTTGCTGCCTTATAGGCAATCAATGAATTCTCTGCGGCGTCCTTGCGATCCGAACCGGTGGCAAATTCAGCCAAATAACGATGATAATCACCCTTCATCTTATAGTAGAATACTTTGCTTTCGCCAGAGGTGGCGCATGGAATGAGATGTTTCTCTAGCACATTCAATATATCCGAGCAAATGTCGCGCAGCTCCTTCTCAACTTGACCGCGATAGGTTTTGATCATCTCCAGTTTCTCTTCGGCGCCTTTGTTCTCCTCTTTCTGTTCAATCGAGGTGATAATACGCCATGACGCACGTCGTGCACCAATGACATTCTTATAGGCAACCGAGAGCAAATTACGCTCCTCAACGGTCAGCTCAACGTCCATGGAGGCGACCTTCTTCATGGCCTCAACCATTTCTATATATTTATTGTATGGGAGAGAGGAGAGACACAGAAATTCATAGAGTTCATTAGTTTGTGTGTATGGAATATGACATAACACGTTCGGTTCGCCCCTATTTTGATAACCATGATTTATGTCTATTTGTTTTGCTTTTTCCACCTAATCAATAATGATATAAGTCTTTATATTTATGCATATCGCTGTGGTTTTTAGGAAGTGAGTCTAGGCGCATTTTTGGCTTCGTTTAGTCATGATTATGATGTTGTTGTTCTTGTCATCATCACTGCTGCAAATTCTACATCACACAATCAACAACTACAACTACTACACAAATATAGATAACAGTCGCGAAGTCTGATTAAACGAACATATATAGTGTCTTACTATTTTGTTGCAAATCAAGCGTCATTGTCAAAGCATGTCATGCACTGCTATAATGCGACTGTGCAATACCTTGTAATCAGATAAAGTATAATTTACCAATCCCATAGAAGTAAATATACATACATGGTCGAGCATACATAATTTCAATTGGTTCATGATTAAGAAATGTTGAAAAACAAATAGGTGCACATCTTAGTCTGATTATTCTTCTGAGACTGTATAATAGATTATCGATTTGAGCACACTTTACATCACAATTAATATGAAGCATGACTTGGAAAGAACAAAAAGTATTTTTCAACTAAGGAAGTTTTGATGATTACTCTGTGGTATGTGTGGTGAGAGTTCCCAAAAACCATGTGACGCTATTTGGACTAATCTTTCCATTATGACGAATATAGGATTGATTTCTATTAACCATCACATCGCTATTAATATTAAGCTGGCTATGTAGTCTGAAACATTTCCATTGGAATATATTGGATAACAAAAAAAAAAATACGGCAAGAGTAATTTTCTAGAGAGTATTAAGAATCAAATGTGTGTGAAATATCTTGGATAAAAAGAACTAAGATAAATGTTGTTAATTAATGCCACGCACTATGTGCAAAAACTGAATCTAGGATTTTAGGTGGGCAAACTAATTATTTTTTTAATTTTAAATATTTAATTGTGTACTATTTAAATAACAGTACGTATTGTTGAAACTGGAGGATATAAGAATATCGATTTGTTAAACCAGGCTGATCTTAACCCTTCCCATTTTTACAAAACTTTTTTCAATATATATACAAGTATGCGTCATGAATCACATGGCAAGGCTGGATCTACGGAGTCTACAACACAAGAATGCGATCACGGCCGCGTCATTAACGCATCTTAAGGTTCTGTTTTTGTTTTGAGTGCATTTTGATAACAAGAAAACAACTCTTTAATAGCAAGCAAAGCTTCCTGGCTTTGTATTTACACAGATACCCGCTTACGTAGCTAGGCGCCCACTCACTCACGCAAACATACGTATGTATAGATATATATACATATATATGTATATGAGCATAGCACGTAGTTGTGAAGAAACAACAAAAATGTATTTAAATTTATTGTGTGTATGAATGAATCATGGGATGAATAGATACATACATACATACGTACGTAAATATGTAAGTTGCTTTGAACTTCAATTCGCTGTACAATGTCAATTGCAACTGTATTTTGTTGTTCTGGTGGCTTTGCTAGAATGAGCAAACATGCTGCAACTAATAATGAGCACTCGTATAATAAACAGCTAATTAAGTATTTAAAACCCCCGCCTGCAATAGAACACATGTTTTAAAAGAGATACACCACAAATATATACATATGAATGTACATTAATAAGAAAATCAATAAATATACATGCATATTATATGCACGAAAATCTTACAAATTCTCACGACATGACGAATCAAAAGCGCCGAAAAAAGAGAATAGCTCACCGCCTTCAACCCACCCATTGCGCCTCACTTATTCACTCATTTTTAAGACAACCGCAAATGTGCCACAAAGCCCCAGCACAGTCCCACTTTACCACCAAACCACCCACTTACGCACAACCACATGGGGAGCGCGGCACGCGAAATACAACAACAAAAATTGAAAAGGCAAGGCAAAATTAAAGTTGGCGCTTATGACAAGAAAAAAACATAGGCAACAGAAACGAGTTAGGAAATTTCCTTCCTCTACGCGGAAGCTATATACCCTCCAACGCTTACTAAATATAAACCCTAAAGCTCTGTCCGTTCTATGAACATATATAGAAAGATCTGATCTATTATTAGAAATCATTTTATCTTTTTTCGCATTTGGTTATTCAAGGCCACTATTTCCAACACCGGAGCGATCCAATATTATACTATATGATTCCAAATTCGTACAAAGAAAATGGTTTTCCATACAAAAGAGTAAGAGTAGATACTTACAACATACGTACACTATTTATGGACCTATAAAATGTAGTCTACGTTGGTTTCTTATGGGTGTTATAAGTTCCCCAAAAGAACAAACGTACCCTTACAGTTTTCAGTGAAAAGTATATAAATGGGAGCATAGTAAAAGTCTGGGGGCGTGTCTGTCAAAATATGTACGTATGTGTATGATATAAGACATAAAAAAAACATGCGCACATACCGTTACTGACATAAAACATAAAAAGTGCAATTAGACAAAGGAAAAAAACTAAGCCAACAAAATGAGCGATTTGTGAAAAAACAGGAGCCAGCTTGTAATACTCTACAACATGGTGCGCAAGTACAATGCATGCCTACCTCTCTCCCCCCAAACCACCCACAAATTATGCCATTTTCTAGGCGCTCCAGCTACATTCATACATATATTTTTTTTTTCGCGAATTGACGACATTGACGTGAACGTCAACTAAAAAGCAGTGCGCGACCTCGAAAAAAGCATCTAGAACGACGAGCAGCACCTGAAAGCACACTTAAGGCTGGCGAAACATTCTCCCTATGATCGTTGTTGTTGTTGTTGTGTAGCTTCTGGTGCTGACGTTAATGTGTATAAAAGGGGGGTCGACGAGTTAACGTTATTGGAGCGCCGACCAGGCGGGAGGGAGCAAAGACAGGCAGCGGCAGCAGCAGCAGACATCAGCCGGGCACACATACATACTTTTTGTACGTTGCCGGCTGCCGCTAGTTTGTATGATTGTGTGCTTGTATGACAGAGTAAGGGGGGAGGATTGGGACTCCAGTTTGGCGCAACTAACACATAAGAGCGACAAGGCCAACGACAAGTGTTCACAGACACATACATATAAACAAATGACTCGCAGCGCACGCAGGCGAAAATAAGAGGAAAAACATGTGATACAGACACAAAATTTGTTTCAATTCGTCTGTGTGTCTGTCTGAGTTTGCGTATGTGTGTGTAGTAGCTGCAAATAGTTGATTGACTTCTTTAAGAAACAGCAGCAGCAGTAATATCAAGTACATGCCGTGTACCATTTATAAATGTTTGCCGTTCTTAATGTTGGTCAATTTACAAAGCAATTATCAGTATTACGTTGTATGTTGGCCGAATAACGCAAGTGGTATTCCTGCTAGTGAATTAGGTTTGTAATAGATAAATATTAATCCATACCAAATCTATTAACGAAACCATTCCAAATAGTAGAAAAACAACATAAAATGTTGGATGAAAGCGGTAAAGGTAAAACGTAAATATGTAAAAAATGGTTCTTAAATAGATTCAAGCTAATAGGGAGGGCGTAATTCTTTACTGCGAAAATGAAGATCATAATAATATTTAGTCAGTTCTCTGATTTTCTTTGTTACAAATGTTAATTCTTTGATTAGTACAAAATTCGTACGCTACATAAGTTAACAGCTGTTCTATAAAATATATTACAAATTGTAGTAAATACCATTGCTATTTGTAAACTTTTGCTTGCTACTGTGTTTCTTGGACGCTGTCTCTTACGTAGAAATAGCATACTAGTTATCTCGTTTTAACGCATATGGCCAACGCAACGAATGCGCGCGTTTTTTCGCAAAGCGTTAAAATATGCTGCTAATGTACTTTGCATTTTTCCTAGCACAAGTGTTTAATTTAATTGGAGTATTTCTTAATTAAATAGGCAGTCTCAACAAAAGCGCCGACAATTTGGTTTAGTTTGGTGTGAGCAATTAAAAGCGGAACGGCTCACTCACACATGCGCATAAGTATGAGTAATGCAAAAAAAAAAAATTTTTTTTCTTCTTCATAACAGAGTTGCCGCCACTGACAATGTAGCAAGCAGCACAAAAACTAATGTAAGTAGCAATTGTGTTGAAGTGCTAGCACTGCGCGCACAAACATCCGAAACGTCAAAAATAATTTACTAAAAATTTAACTCATTAGCATAAAGTAACAACGACAAAGTAGTAGAGTACGCTGTAAAGATATTTCTGAACGACAACTCTGCGTCGCAGTCCCACAATCGATTCATTCATCGATTTTTCGCACTTACGACTAAATGATGACGCCCGTCCCTTTCCCTACCTCTTCGAAACAGAACCACATTTTCAACAAATTATGATGTTTGAGCAGCAGGAAGGTTCAATTCTATGGAAGTAGGAATGTGGGGCGCGTGCCACCATTAAATATTTAAATATAAAGCAAAATTATGCTACGTGCACTACCCGCTTCTCATATTTTCCTTCTAGAAAATACGCCTTGGCAACAACAACTACTACAAACACCCCTTAGCAACGACCGATGATGACAGTTTAACCGCGCGCAGCCCTCGCGTGCGCTCTTCTATCGACTAGAAACACTAAATACACAAAATTTCATTTTGAAAATTTCTCTTGCAAAAAACAATAACTGTTCTTGTAAAATTTTAATACGCAATTTGAAGTCGAGTATCTGTCTCTTTTTAGTTATTGCAAAAGCCACGCGAATTTTTGCCGGTAAAAATCAGGTTTTACATTTTTTCTTTCTTTTTCATTTTCCTTCCCGTCGTTTCTTTTGTCGCTGTTGCCTCTTGGTTTCGTCTTTTCGCAGAAAACACTACTCATCGACGGCGACGCCGACGCTGCTGGGCACCTACACACATACACAGGCAACACACACGCGAACATAAATGTGTTTTGCGCAAATTGAAAATTCCCCAATTTTTCGTTTTCCTCCGCCAATAGTTTTGAAATATTTTTTAATTGGCAATTTTTGGACGATGCAGACATTTTAAGCAATACTTTACGTAGCACAAACCACGCGACGACGCGCGATTGACGGCGGCGGACCCCTCCCTGGTGCTCCGCTGACAATTTTTTTTTTCCAGTTATTCGTTGAAGTTTTTCTATACTCACCATCGTATCGTTCAGCCTGTTCGGCCAATTTTGCCTTGTAGACATTGTTCTCGCGTTCAGTCATTGTGTTAAATCCTTTTTAGTTTAAATTAATCCACAGAAAAAATTATTTAAATGCTCCCGGTACGTGCGTGCGGCGTCGATTTTGCTGCTGCCTGTCTTCGTCGCCTTCTTTTTCTCTACTGCTTTTTGGCTGACAGCGCTCTTGCTCAGCGCACTCGCTCGTTTGCTCGTTCGATTGCTCGTTTTCAATGTCGTCGTGGACGCTACACACGAATCTACGAGTACAGTAAAGAGAAACGGTAGAAATATTAATTTAAATAAATAAGTTAAATTGTAATTGTGCAAACTTTCTTGTTTGTTTAATCAGTATTTTACGAATTTTAACTAATAATTTATTTTTAGCATACTTGACGTTTTTATATGATTCACAGGAATGACTTTTAAATGCCGCAAACGATTCGCCTTTTCTAATTTTTTTTGAGTGCTCTCTTTCTCTGTGAATGAGAGGTGCGGTCGTACAAAAGAGATGGCTCTTTACTGAATTAAATAGGTTGGCAGCTCAGTATATAATGAAGTGGTCAGTACTTGATTCCATAAATTACGCAGAGAAATCTGGCAACACTGAAAAGTGCTCAGCAGCTGGCAATAAAAGCTTAAGCCGCAGTTTCTTCAAAAATTAAGTAAATAGGAGAAACTCAAAGTTTAATAATTAATATTAAAGTTGGTATCATGAGCCTCAACCTAGGAGGTTGGATTCACAGCTTTACGGTCACAGATACGCAGAAACATAAGGGAGGATACACTATTTACAAAATTACATCGATTGTAAGTGCCATTCATTATACATATGCAATTAATGATGTCCTCTCCTTTATTAAAATAATTGTTCACATTTATAGGTCTTCCCGCGCTCAGTGCCACAAGCATTAACCTGTCTGGTGGTATGGAAACGGTTTCATGAGATAAAACGCTTGCATCGCGAGCTTAGCCGCCGACACAAAAGCCTTAAGTTGCCTGGAAAGTTGCCGGAGCCCACAGACAGCACGTATTTTGCGCGATTCGATGAAAATGTTATACAACGTCGTAAGGATTACATCCTGCAGCTGCTCGATGCCGCCGCTCAGCATCCGGCGCTATATAAATGCTACTTCTTTACCCAATTCTTTAATGATGCGCATTCACCCAATACATCGCCTTTGCGAAAATTATACGTTGAGCGCACATTCAAGTTGTCCAGCAGCAGCGATATGGAACAGACTGAGAGCTGTATTGGCGAGAGCGGTGCGATAGCAGAGATCTGCGATAAACTTGATCTGCCCTACGATCATCACGATGCTGGCGGTATAACCCCACTTGACCCACGCTGCGATAAAACCGGCGTAGACGATGGCGATGAACAAATAAACAATGATAAGAATGAGGCCGCAGATGACGATGAAATCGATGAAGTGCCAATAGGTGTTCATAACAAACGAGACCACACACGTTTCCTCACGCCGATGGCTTCAGTCGAGAGCGATGACAGCGACTATATATATGAAGCGGCTTTGGAATTCAGTCATGCTGTCCAAGCTGAAGTGAATTTGGAGTATAAGGTAGCCCATGATCGCTACAAACGTGGAGTGGAGCTATTGCTCAGTGGCGCCAAGGACGATGCCAATGATGACCGCAAATTTATTGCCAAGGCTAAGATTGCCAAATATTTGGCGCGTGCCGACGAAATACAAGCTCGTTTTCTATCGGAAACTAATGTGGCTACCGGTACCAAGAAGCTTCCGTTCCAGCTCTCACTCGATGTGGTTGATAGTGGCGGCGATGTGACCTATCTGGAGTGCGCATGGAATCAACTGGCCAAATATAAGGTGCTTCAAATACTCGGCGAGCGCGTTATGCAGGTGCAGTGCGTTACTCAGCCACACCAGCCGGCGGCGATAATGAAGGGCGTTGAAAAGCCCGCCAGCAATTCGCCCACACAAAGCATTTTCCTGCCGCAACAGGTGCCCTACATGGTCGAGCTACTAGCCTACTTTCAATCGGAACAGAAAATATTTCTCCTGCTGAAACAGGCAGAAGGCGGACGCCTATATGATTACATAAAAACCTATTCGCCAACATCAACCAAATGCAGTGACTATGCTGAACTATTCCCAGCTCTTGGTGATGAGCTGTCAGATGAACCGCTGACTGCGGTAAGCGATGTCAACGATTTGGTGCGGAGTTCACAGCAATTGCTTAAGTCTGTTTCGCATACGCTTCAAGCGGTGCAGGCGGGCACGCCACGTCGCCTCTCCAGGCAGCGGCAACTGGAGACGAGTCGCACGCGTTTGCCGGAAGCGTCGATGCGACAATGGGCCTGCGAATTGGCGGTGGCCATACACTCTCTACATGGCAAAGGAATCATATTGAGGTGAGTGTATTAGCTTAATGATTTCTGAACTCTATTAAGTATTAGGTGAATGTTCAAGTTATTTTTCAAAGAAATCATTTGACGACATACATACCACTTTCGAAGCCCAAATTGTAGTTTGTCTTAAGTTGCTGGCTTACAGTTTTGCCGAAAAATTAAACATATTCCGAATTTATCATAGAATTAGCTTTAAATTTCGGATTCCACTTACATTCTTAGAGTTAAATTTTTTACATGAAAATGTTCGTTTGATCGAAAGTTGATAACGAAGTCTAAACGTGCCTGATTTAAATTGAAGATTTAAAAAAATCATAGCTTTTTACACTTTAAATAAATATACTGTGTAAGTTTGAAAGTATGACAAGCTAATGAACATTCGATTAGAAGGTACGATTTAAGAGACCGGTGCTTGCCTAACATTTAATCCGAAATTCATTTCATAAAACAACTAACAGGAACAAATGCTAATAAAACTTCGATTTTCTGCATAACTTCTAAACCCTAATACCCTTTAAATAGTTGTGGACGGTTTCCCATTTACTTCTACAGAGTTGGGATGGTATTCGATGGTTTCCAAAATTATTTGCTATTTTAATTTAAAAGCTTTTCAACTTATTCCTTACAGAGATCTAAACATGGCCAACATTTTACTGGGCGCCAAGGGCCAATTACTTCTCACTTATTTCTATCAGAACGAAGGCCTTAGCTCCGATGATAATTACGTTCACAAAGCTCTAAGTCTGACCGCCGTGGCCGGTCATTTTGTGGCACCGGAACGGCCATTAAGCTTCAAATCGGACTGGTGGAGCTATGGCGTTGTGCTCTATCAGCTACTTCTCGGTTTGGTATGTTATTTGGATTTAATTTTCTTAGCTCCTTCGTAAACGAGCTGTTTTTGGTTCTAGCCTTACAAGACCACGCACCCGGGTCAGGTGGGATTCTATGGTTGCGTACAGTACCCCGATACTGTGGATATATCCGACAGTGCACGGGATCTATTGGACAAACTCTTACAAGTGGCGCCAGAGCAACGTTTGGACTATGAGCAGCTGCAATCTCATGAATTTTTCGATGGCATCAACTGGCAGGATGTGCAGCAAAGAGGCTGCTCAGGATTCTAGTTAATCCGACTGTTGTATTACGTACCTTTCACAATTTTGTTACGTCACAAATCTCACTTGGCTAAAATTGCCTAAATTTGTTGTTATTGTTTGCTTTTTGTTATTGTGTATTATTATTATTCAAATTGAATTTATACTTCCTACTTTTGGTACAAAATATGATTTGTTTTCTTAGTTTATATTTCTAATATACATATATGTATTTACAATCTATTCAACTCTAAAGAGGTTCTTAAGACTCAACACTTAAACACAATGGCATAAAGTTGCTAAAGTATTTCTGTATACAATTTATATGTACTATATATATACATATTCCAAACTATATAAATAAGAAGATAAGAAAGTATTCAAAACAATGCTAAAGCTCAGCAAAAGTATTTGATTTTGCACAAATAATGAACATTCAAGTTTTTATTGTCTACTACACAACAGTTTTTCATTTAGAAACTAAAGCTAGGAAAGAAAAAATCGGAAACTTGTTTTAAGCCGATAATGCACAGAAAGTGTGTAAAGCTCACAATCAAAAATGTTGTGATTTTTTTTTAATTTTCTACGCATTCTAAACTAATAAGGCACATTTGGAATGCATTTTGGGGGCTTTGGTGCGCCTGCTGCTGTAGCAGTGACCTTTTCCGCTTAAACTATATTCAAACTAAACTAGCAAAAACTGTAACTGCAATTAAGTTTTGGCAAGACATGTGGATTTTGTTGTTAGCAACTTAATGACGAGCTTAAACATTAAAAGGAACCTATGGCCAAAAATGAAATCAAAAAATTTAATCGCAAAACAGTGAATTGAAATGCTGCACACACACACTGTAAATAAAATGCTCGGTACGGACAGGAGTTTTGCACGAATGGCGCCAAGGCTGTCAACTTGTTGGTAATACTGAAATAACGGTAACAAGAGAAACGAATCGATTGGTAGTCACACGATAATTACGCTGCCTTATTGCTTTTAGTTGACATCGGACTATCGAAAGTGTCGAAGTAACAGTCAGTTATTCGTGCGGAAACTCTAGTACGGGCGTTTGAAGCGCGGCATAAATGCAATGCGTTGTTGTTGTTGCTGCCGTCGTCGGTGTGTGAGCATTTCCCTTAATGCAAAAAAGGCGGCAACACGTAGCTTTGTGTTTGCTGCTGCTGTTGTTGCGCAGCTTCCTCGCTTTTAATCACAGTTTGCAAGCCACTGTCATTATCATCATTGCCCGCTGCGGCTGCTGCCGTCACTGCCACTGCCGCTGCGGACGCATAATGCTGCCCATCCACATGTTGCATGTGACAGGCATTCGATTGATCCAGCCCTGGCCCTGCATTGCACTGCACCTGCACGTATTTAGCCTCCTCGGCACTCAGATATTTGCCGTTTAGTTGGGGATGCACTGTAACCACCGTACCGTCAGCCAGTTGGGCGGTTCCGTCGTGTTGCAACTCAGCCGGATTGTAGCTATCATGCATGGTGGCTGTGGTCATGTTTTTGCTAGCCTCAGCATCGCCAGCAACGGCACCACCAGCGCCACCCGTGCCCCCACCACCTCCACCACCCATTTCAATGCGTGTAGGACTGCCATAATCGAAGGCATGACGCATGGGAAATAACTGACTTTCATGGACATAAGTGCTATATTGGCCCGAATAGGTGGCATAGGGACTGGCCGCCGGCGAGAGCAAACTGAACTGCGGACTCAGCTCGTAGGGGGTTTGATAGCTTGTCCAACTGTCCATGCTACCCGGTGGCGTAACCGTTGTGGTTTGTGGAAAGCTTGCAAATGGTGGCGCCAATGTACTGTTCAACGCAGCCGACGGCGGAGTATTCGTCTTAATGTAGCCAGTCTTCCGAGGTGGTTCGTGCTTTCGCCATTTGGCGCGACGATTTTGAAACCAAACCTGAACACGCGATTCACTCAAATTGAGTTTTATGGCCAGCTCCTCCCGAGCAAAGACGTCTGGGTACGGAGCACGCTCGAAGGCTCGCTCCAGTTCCTCCAACTGATAGGCGGTAAAGGTCGTTCTGAGGACGAAACAGGTAAAGACAATTTAGAAAATTGGAAATAGTGTCACTCTTTAACACTAAAGCTACCGAGCTTTCTCATATAAAATGAAAATGCTTTGAAGAATGCGATTGATATAATCCTTTAAAGATTGATGCTTAACGTTTCGTAGAATTTAACATTTAATCACATAAATTAAAAAGAATTTTAGAAAATTTTAAACTTAAGAAAAATAGCCGTTCATAATTGACAACATAATCCAATTATTTTATTTATTTAAAAAAAAAAACATGATGTTCTAAACAATTTTGAAAAAGGATTCGTATTAAATGTTGTCATACATTTACTGTATTTAAGCATCATTTTTACGATAGGAAGGTTTTCTTTGGTTCTTTGCAAAAATCAAAACTTGTTTTATTCATTCTGATATGTTCAAGTTGGAAGGAGCTTAATGAGAAAGTACAAAGCATAACATTTTCCTTTAAATAACAAAAATCTCTCTAAGAATTGAACGTCAATTTTTTTGTAAATGTATGTATACACCGGAGAAACTTGTTTACTAAAGTGTCTAATGCTTTAATGTTTCTATTTATTCAACCAATGCTTTGGCTGAGTGTACATCACGCATACGACCTGTCCCCTATGTTCCCATAATATAACGGTGCACATAAATTCATTGATTTCCCGTCGTTAAACTAATTGAGCTCTTGCAGCACTCACCTCGTTTTCTTCTTTTTAATGCCATTCGGATCGCCTTTCTTCTTGCTGTCCTTTTTTGTCGCGACGGGCGTGCCGACATTACCGTTATTATTGCCTCCAGCAGCGTTGCCATTTGTCGTAACAACGGCAACGGCATTGCCATTTATGCCACCAGCCTCCATTTGATGACACATATCATCCGGCTTTTTATGCTTGCCACCCGTAGCGTTGCCCACACCTCCAGAGTTGCCGTTAATGAGGACGGGCGTAGACTCCAGCAGTCCATTGGCATGGGGATCTACAGTGTCGTGTCCATGGTGGTTGTGGTGTGGACTGCCGCCATACATATGCTGATGTTGCTGCTGCAATTGTTGCTCGTATTGCTCCTGAAGTTTGCCATTTGGCGAATAGTCGAGTTTGCCATTCAATGCGTGATAGTCCGACATCACACTCACAAGTTGTTGTTGTTGCTGCTGCTGCTTATGATGCTGCACTAGACCATTGGGCGGCGGTGGTGGAGGCGTGGCCGCATATTGCTGTTGTTGTTGTTGCTCGACAAGTTTCTGTTGCGTTGCTGGCATATATTCGTACTTTTGCGTTGGGGAGTAGCAGCCCATTTTGTTAAAGTCCAGCTTTTGGGCATAGTTGGGGGAACCACCACCCCCGGCGCCACTTGCACCACCATTGGGGAGAATGCTGTTGCAATCCGGCAGTCTTTGCTGTTGCTGCTGCTGCGGACACAGCTCATGGACGCTGCCCAACATGACAGGATGCATGGTGGCGTGCGTCACAGTGCCCAGACAATTTCCACCCGCAGTTGTGGTGGGAAGCAGTGGTTTGGCACCTAGTGGACTCAATGGACCGGCAAAATCACTAAAGATTTGATCATCGAAGCTGGCGTGCTCCATTTCAAGCAGATTCCTAATAAATTGCACTTGCTATCTAACTGTCTCACTCGCACAGACAATTTAATAATCCATTTAGTTGTTGGCTGCGCCTTTTACTTATTCGATTTGCCAAGCTGCGCTAATCAAAGTGCGCGTGAAAATTAAATCAAAATCAATTAATGCAATTACACGAAATTGAAGACGCTTCGCTTCTGTTATTGTTATTGTTGCCGCACAGCTAATTGTTGTAAATTAATTAATTGCATTTAGTTTTTGGCGCACGCGCAAAAACATTGGCTTGACAACTTTCACTTTTGTTCACTTCCACTTCACCATCACACACACGCTTATTCCTGGCAACAACATTTAACATTTACAGTGACATTTAGAATCTGATGCTTATATATACAGTGAACAATATATATATTTGTAACGATATACTTTTATTCCTTCAGCGTCGCCCGTCGCTTCGTAAATGAGCCCGCAAGCCTCGGTGATTGCCTTTTTATACCCAATTTAGGTTCACATTGCTAGATTGCATCGCATCGACCAATCAGCGTCGCGCAATGGCCGCTACTCGCCCCTTTATTGGTGCGCAACGAGCGAGAGAGCACTAACCGCTTATACCCTCTCTCTTTTCGACGTTAGCTGCTTGTTCGCTTGTGCGTTTTATGCTGGCGCGTGTGACTTTTTGATTTTTCTTTGGCGGGGTGTGGTTTTTTCCCTCTCTGTGTGTGTTAGGGGCCCTGAGAACTGCCCGTGTCCAGTTTTTGACAACAGAAAACAACAACAATAACAAAGCGTGCTGCATAACAGCTGACTGAATGGTGACGGCAGGAGTGTGGTGAGATTTTTAAAAGAATGTCTACCAGCATATCAGTCCTGATATCAACATGTCCTGGGAAAGTTATGGCCAGGAGTTGGGTCGATGGTGCTTAGTGCGATCGCAGAAATTTCACTTAAATGAGGTAATAAAGATGTAAGAGGGTCTAGGAGGGTATTAGTGTGAAAGAGAAATAGAGAGGAGTTTCAAAAGGGACTTTTATATTCATTTAAAAATATATAGATATTATGTGGAATATAAATTAAAAGGCCATATGCCCGTGAGAGGTATTAAAATATAAATAAATAATAAATAACAGTTCTGTTTTACAAAAAAAAGTCAAAAATTCCAAATCATCATGTGTATTAAAGGAGCAACATTAACTACGAATCACAATGACTTCACAATGTATTCAAACCCAATACTCCTTGAAATGTTAATGCAACAGCTGACCATACAAATTTATTCTGCATTTACACAGCTTTAGCTGTCCTACCAACATGCCCACACATGGTCAGCAACAAGCCATTACTAACATGCCCATACATCACATTGCCATAAAGTTCCAATTGGAGCCGTTCACAATTTCGTGGCACAGTCGTGGGCATGAGGGTGAGGTTGAGGGTCGACGTCGTTTTCGAAGTTTTCAACCACCGCGTTGCGCCGCGGTTTGTTTCAAGGATCGTTCGGCACGCTTGCGATCTCCTCGCGTGTCAGCCACCCTCTTGTCATGCTCAAGCGCTCGGCTCGCGTTCTGCCAAAGCGTGTGACCTTTTGGCCATATGCTGGTACTGAAGCCGTTCCGTCAAAGACCATGCACTTAGAAGCAAGTTATGGGTCATTTAGATTTAAAGATTTTGTGGCGAATTTAAATATTGATATACTTAGGTAGGGTCGATTATGTGGGTCGGCGAGTGGCTGAATGCTGATGATACCTAGTTGTGCACTCAACTGTTCTTCGATAAGAAAATATTATTAGGTTGAAGCAGTTTCTATGTAAGTTGTAGGCCAGAAATTGTTTTAACTCTCCATATCTGACAAGCATTATCATTTTAAAACCCTTCACATTACTTATTAAATTGCAATGATTTTTAGTGTTGTTAATTCTTATTACAAATGAAATTATCAGATCGTAGAAACAAATCAACATTGTTCCACTTTTGACTTCTTAGAAAGACTTTATGCTTGCTTTTATTTGTGCTTTGGTTGGCTTGGTTTCAGAACGTTTCTTCTCCAGTCCCAAAAATGTACCAGAAGTTTTGGTCTTATTTTGACTTCTTGATAATTGATATCATTCTAATGTTGAGCTGCGACTGTTTTGAAATTAAGGAGGAATGTTGTTAAAAGGTCTGCCTAACTACCATCAGTATAAGGCATCACCAGAAAGGAATATTTTAAAAAGTCCTGTTTACTTTGAGATGCACCTTGTAGCATATTGCATATTTCACTTCGAATCATGAGTTATATTCATATTAGGTCTACTATAATTATTAATTAATTATAACCTTCATTGTAAAATCTTTAATTCCTCTTTCACTGAAGATTTGACTTCAAATTCTCATTAAGTCTGCCTTTTGCTTCACAAAATTGTTCTAATCTGCCTAAAAAATGTCCTGGCGAGCAGGGAGACGTATCTATATCAGGACTTATCTATTTATCTACAAAACATTCCAATAGCGCTTAGTTAGTGAAAACTTTTAAATGTTCTCCGTGTCGCATGAAGTAGCTGAGAAACCATTGGCCTAGTCCGCATTGACTTTGGCTTGAAAACAAAACTTCAACTTCCCATAACACAAAGGAGCAGCACCACCTAAAAGGATCAATATTTTTCCCATCGTTGGGCGAAAAGAAAACCCGTAAAATTCCGCACAAACTACACTAAATCTCACAAACAATTCGATACTTTTGGGCGCACTATGTGGCTGGGCTGGGCTGGGCTCGGTATGCGGGCAACAGCGACCCCGAGCCCGACCTCGACGCTTCCTCACGGAAGTGCACGGCAAGAGCGCACGCGATCGGTAAGGAACATAAAGAAAAATCACCCCAAATACAGTTCGCTGGTGTCGCGGCCCATCTGATAGTTTAGTTGCGTGTGAATAATCAGACAATGTTTTGCATTGCGAGTCCGCCAATTATGTGGGCACAACGCTCGAATACTCGAACAGTTGAATATATATGGGACGTTGACGTCACTTGGGCATATCCTGCTGCTTAATGACGGTAGCTGATGGCACTGAGGTCCAAAAGTCGGCCACTCAAGGTTGATAGCATCTTCCTCTCGTAAGATCAAAAGTTAATTATCGCTAGATGATGTAACTTTTGAACCCAACTCAGGATGATAGAAAAGGGCAGAGGTAATCAGTCTAAGAGGGTTCTGCAGATTCGGAGGGTTAGTTACCTCGAGCGCCGTGAATGCTGATTAATATCTTGATTAACTTAGGGAGTTCGAGTTTTTTCTTTGACTTTTACAATTGGTATTGGTAAAAGTTAAGGTAATAATGCAGTTGCTTTCTTCATACTTTACTAGACGATTTTTGTTCTAAGCTTGACATTACAAGAATCTTTATTTTATATAATTATTTAAGCTCTATAAAAAATCTTTATAAGAGTAAGCCTAAATATAAAATATGACAGCTTAATCTTCCTAAATCTATTTATGAGCGAAGTCAACTTTTCAACTGTTTTAAAATCACTTTCTTCATTTACATTGGATTTAAAAATGCATAACTTCGATTTCTTATACGATTTTGTGTTAAAAAATGAACAACTGGTTGCACTTTGTGTAGACTTAAGGACTAACAATGATCGAGAATCACATTTAAAGATGAAGTTGCACCTAAATTAATCCCAGATTCAAGTATTCAAGCAAACTTAAAGTGTCATATTCATGAAGTATTATACTCAGTGGATCCCAATAGCTTCAGTGATTGACTGTAATTCCCAAAAAACTTTTCTAAACAACTGTGTTTTTAAAACTTAGGAATTCGGAGCCAATGTGAACAATAATAAATAAATAATGAACAATATCATTATCATTGCGCAAAAGAATAAATGAAATTATGTGGCGTGAATCAAAGCAGCGTCAATTTTCAAAAGTAGAAATGTAATATCAAATCAAGTCGAAGCAGGATTAACAAAAAGTCTGCAATCAAGATTTTAAAAAATGAAGAAACGTAATTAAAACAAGATTTTTGGTGTATGTATGAGAACATCCGAGTAGACCGTTCTTTCATCTCCGTTTTATATCGAATTAGGTATAAAATTGATGTTTTTTTCATATGTAAGCAAGCCTAATTAAACATTTGTTTTTATAGAAATAAATTATTCATTAAGAAGAAATGCAAATAATTTAAACAGGCAAAGGATATGGTTACAAATTTTCATTTATCTAACTGCTACACAACATTTTTAACAATCCAAAGTCCTTTTGGATCCTTTTATTTCTTCAAAAGTAGGGATATCAATGATTAGATTTCTGTTTGCGGTTCTTCAATTACCCTTAAGCTATCATTATATATCTGCTCAGTCTTATGACGGAACAAAGTTAGTTATTTTTTTAGAATTTTATGAATATATTTCCTCTTCCCAAATGAGTCTAGTTTTCCCATGGCTTTCAGCTCAACTCTCCATGCTAGTACAGTTGTTACGCAAAAGCAGAGTGCGGCTCTGTTTTGTGCTTGTTCTCTCTGTTTTTTTCCGTCTTTTTTGAATATGTTTTATTCATAAGTTTTCCATAACCAAAGAGACATTTACACACATTCGGCCCGCTGGCAGTCACTCACAATCAGACCAGAGTCAGAGTAATACATCGCCAGCCGCAGCACCACATTATGACATTTTATTACGATATATATCTATAGTATATATGTATGTATATATACAAACGACTTTTTGTTATACATTTCTATATGGTTGTGGTGTTTTTTATGGTCATTTTTTATTCATGACTTTCGTCCGCACATCGGCGATTGTGATCTGCGGCAGTCGCAACCAAATTCCAATATGGCGTATATAGCTGAACATAAATGGCGACTTGGCTGTATCGGACATACATACATCTGTTTATACGTGTATATGTTGTATAGGGGTATCTGTAGAGGGGCTTGAGTGTATTTGGAGGCACTGCCTAGTGTCAGAGTCCAACAGTGCGCACCAATACAGAGGCAACCAATTAAGCTTCGTTAAGATCAATTTAAAATCCCGCATAAAATATCAAATAGTTTTTGTACTTTGTGTAGTTCCATTTCTTCAGTTGCTATTTGTTGTCATCGTGCTCTTCACCAGAGCCAGACCCAGAGCCAGAACATTTCGAAATTCAACAACAGCCCACGACAACGACGACGACAACCACGACAACCATGATGATGATGATGATGATGTGCACTCCAAGTTGCCCGACATGACGAAGATGTATAGTTTTTTGTTAATTTTCTATAGCACTTTTGGGCTTGGCACTTGCCCACAAGCAACAACTATTGGTTGGCCCGCTACCTCAATCCCCGCATCCCACTTCGCCTGCTCCATATCAGCAGATGATGATGATACAACGA